TCACAATCCCATTTTTATATTATTTTTCTCTCTTCCTCTCACGTTGCTCGGCGTTTTCTCGCAAGGGGGGATTATTTTCTTTTTCTTCAGGTATGTTCTAACTTTCCTGTTTAGATTAGCATTTAAAAATTTATTTAATTACAAAATTAATTTTATAGTTATTTTCTAAATAATATTAGCTTTCTAGTGATATGATTATTTTGTAGGATAGAGTAAATATTTTGATTAGGATTTTTCTATAGGATAGTTAATCTGATGATATGATGGATTAAAAATATAGGTTAAAATTCTTAGGGATATAATAAATATTATAGAATATTTTCTTGAGGTTGAAACTCATGTTTAAGAATTTTTGAGTTAAAATCTAGATCTATATGGTTGAATTTATGTGGAATCTGAGATGTAGGGATAAACCTATGATTATTAAATATTTATTTAAGTATGAATAGGTATTTTTGAGGTTATAGAAAGGTGATTTGAGGCTTCAGGATAATTCTAAAAATTTAATTTATTTTTGGATGAATTTTTAGAATATAGAAGGATGAAATTGTGATACTAGAAGTGATTTGAGGATAAAAAAAATAGTTTATTAGGGTACGAGAATTTTAGAAAAGAATTTGAAGTTAAATGAGGCATAAATCTTAAATTAGTGTTAATATGGATTATAGATCTAAGACTTTCTAACTCTTTAAATTAGAGTTATTTATTTTAATGTAAAATTAATATATAGTATTGTGAAATAATTATGTAGATTATATTGACAAAGATAGTGGTGAAAAAGGAGTTGTGAAGGGGAACTTGTTATTCAAGACACAAGGTAACCATTATTAATGTGTTGTGATGAGTGTGTTTGTGAATGGTTATGTGTTGTTTTGTTGTTTGGAAAAATTATGAATTATTGAAAATAAATACTGTATATACTTGTTTGAAATTATTGCCAAGTGGGTTAAAAATTTATTTTTGTTTATCATGATGAGATATTATTGTTCGGATATATTCCTGTTTGGATATTTGAATGATGCATGACTTGTCAGGGTATTTTAATGTATGGTGTTAATGGGAATTTCTGTTCGGTTAATTATTACCACGTGGTAAGCCCTCATTGGACCCAATGAGTGGCGTGTCGCTTGGTCCAACTCACCTTTGGCCGGGTGATTTGGCGTCCGAGCATGGCGAAAGGAGGATATAAGGTGCAGTCATGCAAATTAAATACTTGTTCGGTTTGTTTGAAAGTATTGTTCGGTTAAATGTTTTGTGTGCCCACTTAGCAATCGCATGATTAGTTACATCCGCATGCATCATTACATATTAATTTTTGGTTACTGGGACTTTTAAGTCTCATTCCCCGTGGTTAATATTTTTACAGGAGCGAGTCCGGCCGAGAAAGCACCAGAGGTGTAACTGTGGTGTATGAGACACCATCTTTTACGTTGCCTCTTATTTTAGATTATACAATGTATCTTGTGCCAACTTAGGACATATCTTCTTTATGAAGCATGTAAACTCTAATCCTTTTTATTAAAAGTATTTATATGACCAAGAGGATTATGTCTGTCCCTCTTGATTTATGATCTGATTTGAATAACATGCTATGAGGATCATGTCTGTCCCTCATGGTTCTAATTGTTTTTTTAGATATTTTAAGACCTGTGGTATATTGTCTTGGATGTATCGTGGTAGAAATTTTTCTACCATGATAAGGGTTCAATGAAAAAAAAAATAAAGAAAAAAAATGATTTCTTGAATTAATAATTTGCGAAAAATCGGTCTGTAAATTTGAGGGTGTTACATCAGTTGACTCAATGGTACCAGACTTCGCCTCAACTTCGTTAAGGTGGTAGAGGTTGGAGGTTCGAGTCTGGGGAGGTTCCAAAAGACCCCCGTGAGGGTGGGGTGAGGAATAACCACTGTACCACCAGTGGGAAAGCCGGCAATCATGTGGTGACATGTGTGTTGTCCAGCGCCTGGGAAAAGACCCTGGAGAGGCAGTGGTGACCCAGGAGGGCTGTTACAGTATCAAGTTGAGGTGAAGCTTGACCTGTGCACCCCTAAAAATTAAATCTAGTCATCATCCTTTTGCGGTCTTTTCCTTCAAGGCTTCAACACACTGTTTTACCTTTAGCTTCTTGACAGTTTTCATTCAATTCTCCTAAGCCCTACCTTTCAATGAATACTATTTATTGTGATTATTTTTTTCCCCTTGGGGATCTGAATATTGCCCATTCCACTATGTTTGGTTGGAGAGAGGAAGGAGAGGAATCCCTACAATTTTGGGGAGGGAAGGAAAATGAAAAAAAAAAATCCCTTTCCTTCATTTTTGCCAAGCAGGGGTAAGTGTTCGAGGTTTTGAATGTTTGATTATTAAAGCATCTTATCCATTGAAATGCATAAACCCGATTTTTTTTTATGCACTATATCTTGATGGAGGAGCCCAACACAGATCATTAGGACAGCGAACTAATCTCAGAGTTCAGACAACAGGGCAGAGATTGGGAGGTCCATACACGACACGTCCGAGGTGAGACTAACACGGCTGCTGATATGTTGCCAAAGAAATGGCTTGTCTGCGACACCTAATTTTCATGCCGTTTTATAGCCTTTGATGGAGCTCAATAGGATTATAAGGCTGGCATGGGTAGTACTTAGGTAGTTTTATATATATATATATATATATGAAAAAAAAGGGGAATATGCACGTGGCACTTAGTGTGAGAAATGAGTCCATATTTTCAAGATTTCATTTAAACTCAAATCCACGGCCCACAAAAGCCAAGTTTCATTCGGCTTACTGGCCACACGATTGCCTTAAATATTTTTCAGCTTATTTGACTCTGGAATGAAGAGGAGAGATTGTCCATGGCTTTTCCACGAGACACGACTCAACACTCTCATCATTCACAAACTCTTATTCTTAAATGCAAAAAGAAATTGCTCCTGCTAAAAATCTTTCTATTTCACCGTATCTCATCTAATAGTTAACCTAACGTTCGGCGCTCGACTATTCCTTGTTGTCCCCTGAGGATTCACGAAACCGGTTTTGGGGCTCAACGAGCATCATAAGAGAGGATCTGGGCCTTAGATGGTAATTTTTTTTAATTTTAATTTTAATTTTATAAAAATAAATTTTATAATTTTTTTATAAATATATTCATCATCAATCTACACAATAATAATTGAATTTAAATAGTTTAATTTAATGTTATAATTTTCATAGATTGACTATTTAGATGTATTTTGATCAGTCTATATTCAATATTAAATTTTTATTTGTAATGTCTAAATTTATTTTAATTTTATATTTATTAAAGCCATACAAGATATGTATGAGGGGGTAAAAACTAGTATAAGAACGCCTAGTGGTCAAACAAAGGATTTTCCTATAAAGATTGGACTACATCAGGGATCATCTCTGAGTCCTTATTTGTTCAACTTGATTTTAAATATTTTGACGGAACATATCCAAGAGGAAATCCTGAAATGTATGCTCTTCGCGGATGATATAGTTCTTATAGCAGAGACAAGAGAAGAGGTTAATTGCAAACTTGAGTTATGAAGGAGGATATTGGAGTCGAAAGGTTTTCGTCTGAGTAGAAGTAAGACGGAATATTTATATTGTAAATTTGGTAAAGGATTATTCGAAAATAATTTGGAAGTGAAATTGGGAGATCAAATTATACCTCAAGTGGAAAAATTTAGATATTTGGGAGCCATTGTTCAAAATGATGGCGAAATCAGTGGAGATATTTCACATAGAATTCAAGTTGGGTGGTTTAATTGGAGAAAAGCTAAAGGAGTTATTTGTGACTGTAAGATGCCTAATAAACTTAAAGGAAAGTTTTATCGCACTGCTATCAGACCGGCAATGTTATATAGTAGTGAATGCTGGTCTCTAACGGGACAGTAAGAGCATAAAGTTGGAGTAGCAGGATGAGAATGTTACGATAGATGTGCGGACATACACGTAAAGATAAAATTCGAAATGAGCACATACGCGAAAAAATGAGGGTGGCGCCTATTGAGGAAAAAATGGTAGAAAATCGGTTGAGATGGTTTGGGCATGTATAAAGAAGACCAAGAGAGGCACCAGTGAGAAGAGTGGAACATATAACTTTGAGTCCGATTAAGAGAGGTAGAGGACGGCCTAAGAGAACACTTTGGAAGTTGTTGAACGTGATCTCTTAATTAATAATATTCCTAAAAGCTTGATAAATAATAGAGCACAATGGCGTCTTGCAATCCATGTAGCCGACCCTACTTAGTGGGATAAAGACTTGTTGTTGTTGTTGTTATATTTATTAAAATAAAAAAATATTAAAAAAATTTAATATTGAACTTGTCTTATTTAGAGTACATCTAGATAGTTAGTTTATGAAAAATATAATATTAAATTGAATCACTCAGAGTCCCAAATCAAATCAATACTATCGATAATAAATATATTTATCAAAAAAATTATAAAAAAATAAATTTTTTATAAAATTAAAATTAAAAAAACCTGGGACCATTTAAATTAAAAATTTGAATGCCCAAATCCTCTCTTGGATGAACACGTGGGTGCTCAACACTGAAATTGGACTCGGGATTCATGATGCACGTGGACGCCAGTCTAGCTTGACTTATTACCAACGCACTAAGTGTTTTCAGTTGGTATAATTAATTATAAAAATAATTAATTAATATAATTAATTTTAATTATAATTATTATGTTATAATACAATTAAATTACTATAAAAAATATTACTTTTTAAAATTAAATTATTAATAAAATTATATTTAATATTATTAAATTTGTTAAACTTTATTTAAGAAATAAAATATATTATTTAATAATAAAATTAAATTTACAAGTAATTTTTTAAAGTTTATTTCAAAACAAGACTCTGACTTAATAATTAATTATTAACTTTTTTTTTTGATTGCTTGGGTATTTTTCTGAAAAATTGATTATTTGAACCCCAACATTGATTAATATGATAATCCAAACAGGCTGTAAATTGAGATATTTGTCACCCCTAAAAGTTAAAAAGGTTGAAATTTTATTAAAAAATGCAAGTCACTCAGAATAACAAGATAAACCGGAATCCTGATGGCTTTGCGACGTTAACTAACAATAAATGATGAGGAGGATGAAGCTGGATACCAGCAGGAGCAAGGGCCGGTCTACTGGTGCGGCCACCGAAGGAGAGGAGGGTGTGGTGGGGATGGTCCTATTTGCAGCGCGCTTCCTGGTATCAATCATGATCTTGAACCTGCAGCTACTTTGAGGGGGCGAAGGATCCACGTTGGTGATTATTGCCATGTTGTGGAACTGACACGCATCCCTACTCTGATTCATGGTCTGGTAATACGAGTTGAATGCATACGAAGCATTGGTCCTGGGGTCCAGGCCGGCGCAAGACGAGCCGGGAGCAAGACTGGTGCAATCGGCACGTGCACAGGCTTCGTTGATGCTCTGTCCCAAACTGTTGGGGTCTGACACAGCCGCTTGAGGCGACACGACGCACCATCTCTTGGGCAAATACCTCACTCCTTTGGCACCCACCAGTGCTTTCCCATTCCCCAATCTCACGGGGTATTTTACGGATCCGTCGTAGTTGAACATGCCCCAGTGTCTCTCAAAATTGCCCGGATCAACACTCTTGGCATCCTCGTCGACAAGTGCAAACACGTATATATCCGGCGGGGCAGCTCTCCTGGGACTTCCCTCTCTCTTCACTATGCGATCCACAAGGCCCTGGTTGAACCTCTGCGCATTTCTCAAGTTGGCGTTGGAGCTCCCGTCAGTGGGCCATCCTACCTCGCCGATCATGACGGGCATGGACCCGAAACCGTTCTTTTCAAGAGCCGCAACGAGGGTGTCGAAGTTGGCATCCAGCACATTGGTGTAAGTCACGGAGCCGTCGACGACAGGGGGCGCGGAGCCGTCGAAGAAGGCGAATTCTTTGGGGAAGTTGGGGTCGGCGTCGAGGCTGAGGAAGGGGTAGATGTTGATGGAGATAGGAGAACCGTTTTGGTGGAGAAACTTGATGATGGAGATCATGAGGTCGTGAATGTCAGGCCTGAAGTTGCCTCCGGAAGGAAGACCAGAATCGCTCTGATACACATCCGCGTTGAGAGGGATCGTGGCCTTCACCTGCCGGGCCAGCCCTGCAGTTATGAGAGCCGCTTGAATGTTTTGGAGTGCCGGGAAGGTGGAGTTGACGAACCTCCCGTTGTAGCTTTTCAGGAACGGCTCGTTACCCACCGCGACATACCTGCCGGCCCAAATTTCCTCAAACACAAGACAGACGCGAACAAAACGAGAGAGAGATCAGGTGCTATTAATGAGCAAGTTACCTGATGTCGACACGATTTCTGGAAATGTAAGAGGACACATTTTGGGACACCCAAGCGGCAGCAGCATTGGCGTCGGTTGCGAGGGATGCTAAGAGGTCATTGGGGATGCCGACCATAACTTGGATGCCGGAATTGCCGAGAGCCTTAAGAGGTCCAGGCTCGGCTTCAAACAGCTTCACTTTGTCGAATCCATTGTCCTTCAACAGCCGCACTACTATGTTGGGAGGAAGGGGATGAGTTGAGCGCGTTCCCCAGTTGCATGCCAAGCCATCCGCATTGCTCAGCATTATGCACAGCGCTGACAACAAGACCAAGTGGAAGTGCTGGAATCTCATCTTCTTTTTCTTCCGCTTTCTCGCCCTTCACTTCCAATGGGCCCCTTGCCGACCTCCTTCCCCCGTTCAAGTACCCGCAGCTGCTCTTGAAAATTCATGTCCTTTTATTCAGGACAAAGTTACGTGAAGAATTATATTGCATAAATCCTCAAAAAAGAACTCGATTCGTTTGCTAACACCATCCCAACCGTACCCTTTCCTGCCAGGAAAGAGAGAACAGCGTTGCAAAGAAAGGAAGAATCAGACAAATTAGCTTTGTAATGTTTTTATGCTTGGCATTTATTTTTCTATACTACGGCTAATTCATCAGCCGACAATCCTGAAGGCTTAATTCATGCTTAAGCAAAGAACACTTCGAATTCTTCCTAGTGATGCAACAAGTCCCTTTTTCCATATTATTCATCAATTTCTTCTTAATTATATTATCTCTTATAGCACACAGCACAAATTTCTTCTTATCTTGTTACGCTCTTCAGGCCGGTACGCATTCATCTCGTGAAAGAGCCAGCTGAAGTGTTACACTGACAAGGACTGAGTTTTATGAAAACTACTTAGCCAGCTAGATCATTTATCAATTTGAAAGACATCGTGGCATCGAACCAATTTAAAAGGAAATTAAACTTCCAATGTATAAAAACAATTAACATTGAATCAAACATGCATAGACATAAAATATATAGAGCTTGATTTACAAGCTTCCTTTGAAAAAGTTCTCCGGCAAGGCTTGGACGTGTCTGAAAAGTTGTTGCCTTTTTTTTTTTTTAATTGTTATTAATATAATATATTGTATGCGTTATCAAGAGCATATATTTGACACTTCTTGTGAGCATGCATTACCCTTCCCTTGCGATCGTACACAGCATTCATCGTGCAAAAGAAATAAGGCTTATTTAGGAATCATTGGCCATATACTGCCCTGACAAGTGATCAAGTTGTATCGAACTGAAGAATTCAATCACACTTCTATATGCCCTTTCATTCTACAAAAATGTTGGCGGAAGCACAAAATCGCCGTGATAACTAACAAGGATGCACGAGTGCACTAAATAAATCCTATTTCAGATGCCGAAGAATGCATCTCCAAAGAATCCTAATATATGGGCTGCGGTAAAATTGCAGTCAACTGTGCTTGGAACACATCACCCAGAGCTCCTCGAACGTCCATCTGATCAAAACCACCATGGGATCATCACATTTTAGCAAATGACCACTGTTTGGAAATATAACAGAAAAATAAGTTTCTCACAGAAGAATGTCTGTTTATCAATGGCCTGTCAAGGGATTCCAATGTTATGTATTTTGACTCTCTCTAAAGCGAAAACACACCATTTTAAAGATTGAAGATATTTGGTAATGTTTTATTAATCCTCTTTTTTCTAATTATTTTCATTAAGAAAAATGTTTACAAAGAATAACTTGAAAAAGAGAATAATCTTTTCAGAGTTAAACTATATATTAACAATTACAAATATTAATAAATATGTGTATGTATAATTGCTTTGGCCTCAGTGCATATTGTCTTAATTCATTTTCTTTTAAAAAAAATTCTAGCCTTTTTTCTCTGGAAATATTTGTAAGGCGGGAGCCTACCTTTATTTTTACTCCCTAATCTGTAAAGCAAAAAGGCCAAACAAAAAAGTCTTCGATTGTTGCAAAAACAAGAAATTACCTGGTCACAGCATACAAGTTTTGTTAGCAAAGGATATAATTCTCTGAGGTGTCTTCTGAAAATATTCTTGTTCATAGAGCACATGCTTCTAAGCACCTGAAAGAACAAGGTTAACAGATTTATCTATTGGTGACAGGAAGCAAAGAACGTAGCAAACAATTCCATCTCAAGATCTAACGAAATATTTAACAAAAATACAGGGACATTCAGGCGGACACAAAAACCAATATAAAAGAGAATGCAGAGAATGTAATCATGAACAGAAGATATGAACATTAGCAATGCCCCTGCGCCCCCCCCAACCCAAAAAAAAAAAATGGAAAAAGATAGAAAGATAAACAGATATGAACTCCATCAATACAAATGGAAAAGCAGCAGCATTCAACCTTCAATGAATGGTAGATTCTATGCATCCTAAATCTGAATTAGGACACCAAATACTTTATTGCATTTCAACTTTCATATAATAACAGAAGATATGTTTTGTACCATAACAATGAGGGGGGCTCGCAGCTCCAAGACACGGTGAATGTCCATGTTAGTGGCTTCTCCAGCACTAGACTGGAGATCTGATGCATCCCCGAGTACCTGTTCAAAGAAAGCTACCAATTTTCCCTCAACTATTTTTCCAAATTCAGTCTCTTGGTCCAAATGTTGAGTAATGGGTAATTCATTATCTGATATAAAGTCAGAATTTTGAAAACCACTGGACCGTGGATTTTGCTGTTTGTTTGTATCAAACTCACAAGTTGATTTCTGTAAGATGTCCAAATATATGCTCATAGCAGCTGACTCCTGGCGAAGAAGATTCACTGGTGGCCTATACAACATAAGTTTACTGATGACTGAATGCTATTCCTTTTTTTTTTCAACCAGCAAATACTATTCCTTTTTGAATAATTAATTAATAAACGAATAAATGAAATGCACAGGATTCGCTACTACCTTTCAGCAGGAATTTGGTGTATGCGAGTCTTAAGGTTAGCGGATGAGTTATATGACGCAGCAAACTCCAACGAAGACAGGAGAATATCCATTATAGCAATCTTCTGTTGTGCCTTTAATTTGTTCCAATATTTATTCTGCAAGTTGCAAGAAAAGCTTAAACGGAGAATTATATCAGCCCACCGGTGGGTAGTCTCTGAGAAGAAATGTTTACTAATTTTGTTATGCAATAATGTTTTTTTTTTAAGAATTAAGGTGTATAATTTGGAATAACATAGAATTTAAATTTGATGAAAGTTTGTCAGGCTGAAGTTTATATTTGTTATTTTTTCCTTTACAAATCATAGCCTATATCCTTCCTTTAAATCCTTCCTTTAAACACGCATGAGATTTATTATTATTTTTTTAAACTTCCATTTTCCAGTCTTGTATTAATTTTTGGAGCTAGCAAAACTACTCTGCTTATAATATTTAATGCTCTGCTCATAATATTTCTTAAATGCAAATAAATGAACTTGATTTAATTTGCTTGTGAATTAAGCAAGCCAATCTACTCTGGACTCCAATCCAAGTTGCTATAGGTGGTCCAAAAATCTCCCATCTCTTTTTTTTGCTGATGATTTGATCCTTTTTGGGTAAGCAACGTCTAGTCAAGTAGAGACTCTTGTGTCATGTATAGAAAGGTTTTGTGCATCATCAGGGAAAAAATGAACAAGTCAAAAACTAGAGTATGTTACTCCAAATCTATTCACTTCTCCAGAGCACATGAATTAAGCAGATAGATGGGTGTGGTCTTAACTAGTGCTTTGAGTAAATATTTAGGCATTCCTCTTATCCATAAGAGTCCTTTTTGCCCCGATTATGGAGAAGACCCAGAAAAGGCTTTCCAGTTGGAAAGGGAAATTCCTAAAGATGGCTGGTAGAGCAACCCTCATCAAGGCAGTATTGGCAACGCTGCCATTATACCATATACAGACTATGCTCCTTCCAAAAAAACTCCTTGACAAGCTTGAACATATGAGTCATAATTTCTTGTGGGGTAACAAAGAGGATAGTAGAAAAATTCACCTTACATCATGGGAAAATGTGACGCGGGAAAGGAAGGATGGAGGTATGGGTATTAAAAGCCTTAGACGACAAAATAAGGCTTTTATTATGAAACTTTGCCGGAGTCTTGTTAATAATGAAGATGCGTTACGGGTATGCGTATTAAAGACTAAATATAAGTGTGATAACTCAAGCATTCTAAAGATCGGCAAGAGGAAAAAATCTTCCTACACTTGGAGAGGAATTTGTGAGATCTAGAGTAAATCCAAGGAAGGTTTTTGGAAAAGAGTGGGAAATGGTAGGAATACTTCGTTTTGGTTTCAAAACAGGTCTATGATGAACATACCCCTTATTGAGCTTGTTATAGGAAGAGGGGGGCTTATTGACAGAAATAAGAAAGTAGTGGACTTTGTTGATCATAATGGTCAATGGGATGTATGAAAACTGAACTCTTGGTTCCAGCCTAACACAGTTGCCTACATTACCCGTGCCCACCTGCCTAGTGAGAAAAGAGGAGAGGATAAACACTTTTGAAAACCATCATCGGATGGATATTTTAATGTTAAATCCACCTATTGTTTTGTGTCTGTAGGTACAAGAAGGAACACTGACAACATTTGGAAAAAGATCTAGAGTTGGTCAGTTTCTGAGAAGATCAAATCTTTTATGTGGATGTTTACACATGGAAGAGCGCACATAATGGAACTAAGACTACGAAGAGGACCAACAATAGAGCAAAGTTGCCCCTTTGGATGCAAGTCCTTGGAAGATTCAATGCACTTGATGCTTGACTATTCGCACACTATAGAGAAGTGGAAGGAAGTTGTTAGGAGAAACAGTTGAGCACTTTCATGAACCTTACCAGAGCTGATTGGGTTAATTGGAACCTATCTAAAGATGTAGGAAAAGGCTTTACGAAAAAGGTGAATTGGGATATTTTGTTTAGCTATATATGTTGGGACATTTGAGTAGAAAGATGTTAGAAGGTTTTTGATAGCAAATTTATAGATAATCATCATAAAACACTTTCTACCTTCTTTAGAGCCTATTTGGATATTGATCTTCTTCGCTTGGCCATTTCCTTAAACTTTGAGACAAATCTTTCTCGAATTAAATAATGTCACGTGAATGATGTAGTTAGACTAGATATGGAAAGGACAGTGAAGGTTGATGGTAGAAGTAGTTGCGGTGGTGTGTTTGGGATAAGCAGGGAAATTGGGTTAAGGCCTAAGGGTTTTAGTTGTAAGATTATCAACGTTCCTCGTGCAATTGTGAAGATTTTGGCTATAGTGCAAGGCCTTCAACTCTGTTGGTCTATTGGTTTTAGAGATTTGAAGATTTATAGGGATTATATTCAAGCAATCAAATTGATACAGTATGGGTCTGTTACGGAACATCCTTTGAAGGACATTATTGAGGATGCAAGATTGCTTTACCATAGAGATTGGAAGGTTATGATCCATTATGTTAATAGGAACTGTAACTTTACTGCTGACAATCTTGCTCGTTTAGCTCATAATTTAGTTCTAGTTTTTATACTTATGATCTCCCCCTACCTCTACATCAGGAGGTGGCGGCAGATGCTAATGTCTTTTACTTTAGACCTCAGAATTTGTATTCCTCTTTTCAGTAATGGATGCATCTTTCAGTTAAAAAAAAAGCCAATCTGTGAATTAGTTAAGTTAGCTTGTGTAACCTAGCTAACTATAAAATAATGATATGTGTAGAAATATTTACAACGATGATGAAGCTGCTGTGGCAAGAATTAAATATGTTTAAGTTTCTAAATGAAGTGTTAAATTTATGGTGTAGATCATCCATAGGTACATTACAAACCTGAATACCGTCAATTGCACCAAGAAGCAATAGCTGAGTAACGCACTTGCCCCTAACAGTTACTGGCCAAGGAGTGTCCTGATTCTTGTCTTCAGGTCCTGCAGCTTCAGCATCCTCAACCTAAAAGCCAAAGAAGAAAAGCGCTCACATCACAAGTTGATGTAGACCAAAAAAAAAACAAAAAGAAAAAAGTTTACAGCACAAGCACGTACCTTATTTGGAGAATACGGTCGAGAAGCATCTAATGTCTGGATTTTAGGTTTAGAAGAAAAATTTTTGAGGAAGAGATTATCCATAACATTTTCCACAATCCGTTGCCCCAATGTTTGACTGCGCTGAAGACCCCCTGCATCTGCTAGTTTAGGAGTTTTACTATCAGATGCATGTGGTGATAGAAGACCTACAGGAGCAAAGATATCGTTAATTAGCATGAAACATGCCTAAACATGTACCCACAAGTTTTGAAAACCAAACCTTCAGAAGGATTCGTATTCAGTTGTGCCCTTAAACCTTCAACTCCAGAGTATGTATTTAAGCGTGTTAGTGGGGATAACTTTCCACTGTCATTGCCACCAAGCTGATGCTCCACCTCTTTGTCAGAAGACTGTATGACAACATTATCACCTGCATTGGCATCGGAGTTTCTGACAATGCCTCCATGGTTCCTCATATTTTCTCGATTTAAATCATTAAGGAGCTCTACCGATTGCGTTGCGTATGAAGCATCACTGGAAGACCAAAAAACAAATTTGAATATAGCTATAAACATTAGAGTAATTACATAGGATCTTCGTGAAATCAGATAAAATGAACCTTATGCTTTTGAGTAACGCGTCCCAGTCACTGTCACTGAACCAATGCCCCCCAACTTCAATGAGATGCACCAAAGCTCCCAAAGATATTGAGACCACTGTTTGATCTGTCTTTTTGGCACAATCTAACAGTAAATCCAACAGAGACGGCAGCATAAAAGAGACCTCCTGGAAGGAAGTTTTGTCCCAATTTTTTTTATTGAGATGAGAAAAGAATTTATTGATGAGAATAGACAATAATACAGATGGATATAGAATCAGGAGATAAGAGATCCTCCCCAAACAGAAGTAAAGAGCCATGAGAAAAAAATGATCTCAGTAACTTGCTCGAAAGAGTCTCTAATCCCTTCAGCACTCCACAAAGAAATCATAAGCAGAAAGCCACAAAGAGAACAAAAATAATTCTTTCCCCAAAAAATATGCGATGGGAGAAATGGAGAAATCTTTGGTTAACACACACACACACACACACACACACACACACACACTAGCATGCGCGCATAAACACACGCATACACCCACTAGTATTAAGTTGCTTATACTAGGATTTAGCATCAGGATGTACAAGCCACGATCGATTTGTCCAATCTAATACTAGGATTTTCCTATTTACCTTGTAGAAAATGTTGAAAAGGTTGCAAAGCAGCAGAAGCGAATGGATGTTTGTTTCACGAAACCAACCATCATCACCAGAAGCAAATCCTTCCATTCTAGCATGTCTCACAAGATCAAAAATAGGAAATATGACTCGATGGAAGATACTTTCCCAGAATGACGCAGAGAATCTTCTGCCTCTTTCTTTCAGTAAATCAAATAAGACCTCAATTGCACAACTTCTGACCTCGGGACTTGGGTTTGATGTTAGATCAGATAAACCAGCCAGCATTGGGAACCAATAATGTTCAGCCTCCTGTAACTTTGCAACACCCACATCGGCATGATCACCGCCGAGAATAAGACCCTTGAAATGCAAAACAGATCAGGACGTTTTTAGTAGTATCATGACAATCAAGAGAGCATTTTAGAGAAAAATATTGAAATCATTTTAACTTCCAAAATTGTATTATCTGTGAACTTCAAGATATTATATGCTAAAAATTGAAAAGATTTGAGAGCACATATCACATAAAATAATTATAGAATGAGATTCTATGTTAGAGTTGTGGGCATAACAAATTGTCAGTGATACATGGGAACAAGGATAATAGGAGTAATTAAAGGAATTATGAATATAAGTATAGTTTGGATATTTAGTTATATTTTCTATATATAAGTCTTTAGGTTATAGTGGTTGATTGTGAATAGAATTATTATTTCTCTCTCTATTTCCCTTCTGCCTCTTCCTTCTCCCCCTCTTTATCTTCTACCTCTATTAAAAGGTATCAAAGCCTCCTCTCTAGCCATAAAGGAGCCACTGGAAATTCAATCCTCATCGAAGCAATGCCTTAATTTTAAGCAATCCATGTCTCAACTTTCCCAACAGATGAATGAAATCTCAGCCATGCTCTCTGGGCATGTCAACAAATGCTTGTACCCTCCTTCAACAGTGATGACCTCTACCTCTACTACAGATATTCCTCTTTGGCTCAGTCAATGGAACAATGATCATCACAGATAGAGTTAGGAAACAATGTTTCAGCTGAGTTCATTGACCAACAATAGAACAGTAACATCGATACAAAAACATTAGAGGAATTGAATGACGTTGATAAAGATGAAGAACAACAACCTGAGAATGACATAGAGATTGGAGAGGGTCGAGAGCAGGACATTATGGAAGTGATGCAAGACAAAGTTGCTAGACTAACTAAGAATGAAGAGGAAGTTAGTGCGATGCTCAACACATTAAAGCCCAATGGGACCTCCTATATTGGTGGTAGTGTCTTTAGAACTTTCACAGCCATTGAAGCTAAAATCTGCAATTTCCCAAAGCCATATGGCCTTCCTTTGCCTCCCTTAGAAGATGGAGAAGTTAAACATTCCGACGGCGTCGATTTTGGGGGTGAATGGTTTGCGTCATACTTCTAAGACCTTTCCCTTCTCTTCTTCAACTCAACCTCCGAATTGATCGCTTTAGAATTTCCTCCTATGGCGGAGTTCTGGATTCCAACAGCTCTCATTGCAAAAGAGGGAGCTGTTAAAGTCAGTTGTACTTGCCATGTGTAGTTCGGTCATTGCAGCACATGAAACATAACTATCCTTGCTTGATTTTCACTGCTATTGCTATTACTTCAAACATTGGCCACGACTTATTGAGGAGAAGACGAGATACACTAGACTCTTACTTGTGATACCTTTTCTTAGCACTTGCCGAAGATGATCACTTTATTCCCTTGCCATAGGATTTTCGATTGCAAAGTTGAAAGTGAAATATTGGTCGATAGACGCAAAAGACGACTAAGAGGTGAATAGGGTTGGGGAAATTCTGTTTTTAAGTCGGGTAGGTTTGCTGAAGGAATTCAGTTGGGTAAAGCTAATGAAGAGATAATGGGTTTTGGGCAGGTGTTTATGCAATATTCTTCACCTGTCACCTGGACGTGCATCTACAATTATACATAACTAGATTGTTCATTGTTGCTAGTGACAGGTATATTCTATATTTCCTCCAATTGTTCCCTTTGTGGCAGCAAGGGTAATGAAAATGCATCCAATATACTTAGGATGACTAAGGGCAGTGGAATTGGGCTACCCCAAAATGATCCAACAATGCAAAAATCTTTGAGTAGTAATTGGAAGCTTGATATGGGCCTCTGGACAACAATGCTTCAAGTCCAACATATGGGACCTGTTGTTTCAAGTATGATTCGAATGCAATTATAGGCATTTTTACAACATTTTAGCAACTCAAGTGCATTCTCTGAGTTATTTCCCAACAATTCTAAGGTGGGGGTAACCTATAATCAAGAGGAGCTTTGTGAAGTTAGGCTGAAGATGGGCGAAGTATGGACCTGTTAAACAATTATGGATCATCTACTTATTGGTTTTTAGCATCAACAAATCTATTTGGAGGGTGACAATGGGCTTCTGTATTCAAGAAAAATTGTAGAAAATCCAGGCTTTTTTATGTCCATTAATTTTGTTTTCAATTTTTTTTACCAAGCCATGGTAATTTCTGGTCTAGTTTACCAAAAAAAAAAGTCTTATTTTAAATACATGTTTAACTTCTCGTTTTTGCAATGGTCCTTGAGGACAAGGATTTTTTTTAGGGGAGCATATTGATGCGTGGATTAGAATAATTGTAATTAGAGGAATTAGAGATATAAGAACAATTTGGGCTGGGTTGTAATGGGTGACTGTGAATGGAATTATTATTATTATTTCTTTCTCTTTATTTCCCTCGTGCCTCTTCCCTTTCTCCCTGTTTCTCTCCTACCTCTATCACTCAATCTATGAAAATTGTATCCAATTATCCAGCTGGTTTCTAAACTACAAATGATCATCAATATAACATTAAAATATAAAACTATGGGGAAGCTGCACTACTGCTAGTTATGAACACTGTGGATCATCTGACTCCCTGCACTAAGCTCACAATTTATCATAAAAAATATCCAGATAACATTGGCGCTTATGCTATAAAATTGCAATTCTCAATGGACAGCACTCAACAAACCTCTGCTAAACGGTCTTCGCAAATACGAAGGAGCCCAATTGCCTTCAAACTTATACGATACAAACTTTTATTGTTGGCAAACCTGATCAGACAATTCACGCAATCCATGAAACAATCTCCCACCGCTTGATCAAAGCGTTCTAAGATGACTGCAAATTTTCCCAGTGTTAGGTACAGCGAATTTGCAGCAGAAGATTGCATTGGTAAGACCAAAGAACATTATTCCTACCCTGCTCAACATTTTCAAATGCGCTCTCAACGATTGCTTCTAGTTCATCATCCGCCGCAGCAGTGAAAACCATGAAAACACTATGCCACCCAGATTTTATGCTTCCAGTCTTAGATTTCGTCATCTGAAATAAATATGTCCAATCATATGGGCCAAAAAAAAAAAAACTAAATGAAAATCTATGCCTCTACTTAAAGAGAATCGAACAAAGGAAGAAGGAAAGCACCACTGTTAAAGGAGATGGGGGTGGGAAATGAAAAGACACCTGAACAATGCAGTCTACGATTAATCTTCTTGTCGATTCCCCAGGATTATTCCGCATGAGAACAACAAAAGGCTTGAGAATGTCATTTTGGAAAGTGGAATTGGCCAGTTCAGCACGCTCCAAATACTTCATAGCGAGCTGCCTTAGAGAATCTATGGCATACATAGCAATTTTCTCTTCATGATAACTTCCAGCTAAAATAAAGTGATTTGCTAGAACAAACCATATCCTAGACCATACCTGGATGACATATCAACTGTAACTCAGAAACTTCTAAGATAATATCTCAGTATTTGTAGCAGCATCAAAAACAGTACCATGACATTGAGCATCATTGGTTCAAATGGAGTAATAAAAATCTTATGTTGATGTTACTCTCAACAGTCCTAAGCAAAATCATAAAATATTTATAGTAGCATAAAAAACAGTGTCATGAAAATGAGCATGCATAGGTTCCGATGGAGTAATAGAAAAGCTTATTCATGTTGGTGTTTCTTTTAACAGTCCTGAGCAAGATCACCTTCTCAAATTATTCCACTGTAGACAAGCATATGGACTTGCTTACAAGTGCTTTTACCTGTGACTGAAATGCATTTCTTAAATGAAAACAGTAGATTGCTGGTTAAAAAAATAAAATAAAATGAAAACAGTAGATTTGAGCTGATACATAAAAAACAAAAAGCAAATTGTCAAGAGAAAAAAGAGGAGTGGCGTGAAAAGCAAACTAAGTAGAAAATCCCACAAAACTCAATTTACAAGACTAGATATCAATTGAACTAAATTTGTGGAATATTATTTGATCAAAGATATACCAGACGTATACGGGTCATATTGTAATAGCTAATCTCAACAAGCTTTTGCAAGCCAAAAACACGAGGTGGTCTTTGCTTTAGTTCCTCTGCGGATACACTGCAAAGAGCAGTGAAAAATTCCACAACTGAATCACTGGGTAGTTTAACACTATTTATGAAGACTTGTTCAGAAGGTTTGCCAGCCAAGTCTCTGAGAGATTGAACTACTGTCACCCTGGAGATTTGGTTTGATCCCAACATGACAGTGATGGAGATTGCAGGAGTAGTTGTTATAAAATTAAGGCGAGAAATACATTCCAGAACTGCATTCCACGTGTTTCGAAGGGAATCCATGTCTGAATCACAAAGAAACAACAGCGTCTGCAGAGCTTCCACATTTTTACTGCGCATTTCCTTTGGAGCGTGCAAGAAAGTAAACCTGAGGTATCATTTAGAAATGTAATGATTATGGTAGATCGTCTCAAAAACATAAGTTACTAAACTGTATATTTATGCACAAAGAATTGCTTCCCTCAAAAGTCAAAATGAAGAAAAACAATATGAGATAATATCATGGTCAAAGTGATAAAATAAATTTATTCAAGGTGAGGAGGGCAAGACAGAAAGAAAAGATCATTACCTAACAAGAGATGTCAAAAATGCATAGCGCATGGTATCCATTCCAAGCACATTCGTAATATTTATCCCAGCTTTAAAACCCTCCATACATAGAGCAACACGAGATTTATTATCACCTTCCCCCATAATAACAGAAAAAGTTGCAAGCAGAGGCCATCCAACAGCTTCTACCATGGGTCTTACAAGTTCAATCTGGTGAGCAAAGCAGAAAATTCCCCTCTTCACACCTTGATTTCTGATAATAGCTTGTGTTCTTTTAATGGTGGCTTCACTTTCAGACTTGGCTTCTCCTGATAAATTGCTTTTGGGAAGAGCGAGATTAAGAATACTGACAAGAAGTCCTTCTTGGACTTCTAGCTTTTGTCGGCTGCTTTTTCCATTAACAGAGGTATCATCTTGCAGTATAATCTCTTCTTTCACAATAGAATCATAAATCTCTTCCAGCATTTCTGTAGGAGCGCAATCTTCAGTATCATTCATGGCATTCATGCGTTTAAAATCTGACTTGGACATTTTAGGCCACACCATTGGGTTATGAGCATCAATATTTAACATAATAACAGCATATGCAAGGAAATATGCTGCATCTGCATTTTTAAATAGACCTGGATTATCTGAATAGTATCTGCCAAAGACAAGATGCAGGTGAAAATATCACTAACCGAGCTAATACAAAGATGCGTTAATTTAACATTTTATATATCTGTATTGTGTGTGTGGGGAAAATTACGATACAACATTAAATAAGCATATGTGAGCAGAGCATATCATATTATTTTTTGTTAATTAATGATATAGAATGCAAAAATGTCATAAAACCAACTAAATATATTTATTAAAATTATATATACACAATTCAATTCACAGAATTAGATAAAACATATTGTCACATCTCCTTACATACATTAAGAGAGATGTTACATCGTGCATATGAAGCAAGAATGAAAACCCCAAAATCAACAATTGAGTGGGCAACAAATTGGATCCTTTGAATTGAGTATATTGGACAACAGATTATGAAATGTACTAATGATGACAACGCTTGAAAGAACACAAGAAGTTGAAACTAACTAGATGCATTTACCAGGGTTATTGATCTATGTAATCATTTTGATTTTTGACATGATAGTTTTAATTTCGACCAAGGTTTGACATTTAAGGTACATAACACCCAACCCAGGGACATCTCAATTCCAAGCTAAACAAGGGGAACATGTGAGATGGTTAAGGCTTTTTCTTCCATCAGTCATGATTCATGATACTTGAGCAAATGAGTAACGGGCTCAGGCCAAGGGCAATATACAGGGAGACAAAATATATAAATAAGGATATCAGATAATTGTATCAATATATATAAATGAAACTTTAAAGCAAGAATGTTGCCACTATAAATAATCATGCGCGTAACTTTTATCAGAATTCAACAATAGTTAGGAATAAGAGTGTCACTCGAGTTGAGACAGACAGCAGCCCTTTCCTGGGCAAGGGGAAAGGGTGCTTGCATGCATGTACAAACTTTATCACTTACCTCTCGGCAAACTTTTCCATGATTCGATCTATCTTTTGAGCTTCCCCTGGAAGTTGGAACCCTCTAAGAAACTCGCGGATTGCGGCGTCAAACTTCATTCCAGAAAATTTCATGGAATCTACATAAGCATGCATTACAGCAAGGGGACACTCTTCATGCTGACCTAAATACTCACCAACTGCTGCCTGAAACCCAGAAACAGTTAAATAGTCCAGATCAAACTTTATTCTAATGTCAAAATATTAACTAAATTGAACTAAATAAGAGTCACAACGTTGTCCACGTTGGGAATGTTTTTCAAGAATTGAGCGATCGAAGCAGGTGAATTTTCCACCAACTTATTTGATATTAGATGCTCAACTCCTTTTACTGGTTTCCTGTTAAACTGAAATGATTAAAACCATCGGTCAGTCCCCAACTATGGTCTTTGAATTTAATAAGGAAGCTTAGTAATTTCGCAAAAGACCTAGCCAGCAATCCTTTCTCAGTAAAGAATTTTAAAGAAATTATGATCAGTTACCTCCGCAATAGCAGCCTCCAACGCGGTTTTATGAGCCTTTGCCTTCCCGAAATCATTGGCAGAATCTTCCCTGGATCTTATTTCAACAGTATCTTCAGCTAATGTCCCTTCATAGCAGTTAATCTTTCTGAACTTTCCCGATTCCCTCTGTGATTTCTCCCAATCAATCAGTGACTTGAGCACATTCACAACGCTCTGGAAAGATAAAGAAAAGTGGAATGAACCAGAAACTCTGGTAGATATGGTTGTTCAATTAAATGACGACTTCCAATAAGAAAAGCAACAACTAGGCTTACATGAAGTGATGAACCTTTAATTGATCCAGTTTGAGACAAAGCAACTGAATTTGGCTCAGCATTTTGAGTGTTTTGAGCTATTTTGGATAGTGAACTAACCTGCATGGAAAATTGGAATATAAACGATATGCTTATAAAGATCATAGACAGTTAAATATAACTAAGGCACTGCTTATAAAATTAAATTCCAAGATTAGACCATTCGTTCGAACAAGTTTGCTGCCTCGAGATCACAATCATAGTTCACAAAAATGTCAACAAGCATCTGTGGATCCTTACATATTTTATATACCATCCTGCAGAGTCACACTGGATCAAATTATTAATCAAGAAAGGATATAGTGAGTAGTACATTGACAACCCAACATATCATGAAAGTCCATGAACACAAAATCATCAATTTCATATCAATCAAGAAGCTAACTATACCCAAGAACACTTATTTTTTGGTTGACTGGAAATTCTAAACCATCCAGCGGTCTTAGAACTATCAGGGGAAACAAAAGGCCTATTTCACCCTGAAAAGAAAAGGGTAGAGTGTAAAAGCAAGCGATACATGTCAAATTAAAGCATTGCTGAGGTGACACGCTTTCACAAAATTTGCAAATGATATGCTTACTTTGAGACTTTCTCTGAACTGCAATAGCAAAACTGAGAATATTCCCGTTGCGTACTGAAACAAAAGAAGATCATAATCACCAAAAACGAAAAAAAGAATGGAGGAAAAAAATTACACACAGTTCCTCGAACATAAGTGAATAAAGGCAATATGATTAAGCTAAACCTGAAATATGACAGGGGATTGTGAAACGGAAGCGCGCAATAAAGCATATGAGAGATATGCCTTCACTGAATCAATAAAATTGAAGTCCTTTGTGAATGAATGGCTAAGTCCCTCCAACAAACCCTGAAAAACAAAACAATAGACTGATAGTGTGTGATCATGAACAATTAAACAAGAAACTTAAAACAACTGAGAATCCTGCGCATAAAAAATGCAGAATAACAAAAATTGATAATATATCAGCCCTTCTCTTATCCTATTCACATCATACTTCATAAATTCATGTCTTTGACTCGTGTTTTTGTGTTACTTCATATATTGGGGTCTTATATTCAAGCCATCCATTATGAAATAAGGTCCATTCAGGTCACTAAGTTAATCCACAACTCTGTTCTAATACCCTTTTTTTTTCAATTAAAGCTATTGTCTAGCTTCACAATGGGCATAGATGGAATTCAAATAAATCGGCCATATGAAGTAATTTGTGTCGCTTTGACTGGTTATCTTTCAACTCGTGATTTCAAATATAAATTGCTAGGATTGTCGATTGATATATACTTTCAAACTCTAGATTTTTTAAAGTTATAATCCACGGTCACAATCTAAGAGGTTTTGAGTTGTTGGTTAAAAGAAATATCCCATGGAAAGCCATGCACTGAAATAAAAATGGACTTCCAACTGCTAAAATTGACATCTTGCAGTCTGCAAAGTCTGAAAGTGGATTAGCGTGGTCTTGCAGTCTTGGCCTTAGGGTTCTTTTGCAAGGATTTTTGAGACCCTGCCCCGCTTTATAACTCCACTCATCATTCGCATTCTCTTGTGGAGGGTCCATTAAGTACTTGGCAGCATGAGTTTGCTCCCATAGCAGCATTCTAGTAAACTTCTATAGTTAGCTTATTCGTGCTATCTTATTTTCCGATCCTCATCATTATCATGACAGGCCTCTTAAGCTTTTTCAATAGGTATTATTTTCTTCTGTCTTGCTTTTCAACTCATTTTTATTTTGTTTTCCATTTAAAATTAAAATTATTTGAAAGAATCCAATGGAAGAATAAACACACACATTCACAGAGTTAAGATCACTATACAACCTGCAGAAGTTCAAGAGACAATATCCGCTTCTTTTTTGTCACCTCATCATTACCTTCCTTCATACCCATCTGCGATATTTAATGTCGAGCATGTATGAGGGGTTGACAAAATGTTATCTACAACATCAATTCAAAAGCGAGGGATCCAACCTTGCAAATACTGCGGAATACCAACAAAGCATCACGTTGCACTATTCTCATGCTTTCCAAATCAATCCCTCTTGCAGAAATAAGACTAACAGTTTGAGCAACTACTCTAAGAAAGAAATACAAGAGAATCCATTGTACAACATCACTTCATACCGTGCTATCTGTTTGCCATCTTCAGTGTGCACAGCCTTGTCAAGCACGGCCTCTAAGCCCTGTTCAACGTAATACAATCTCGTCAAAATAAATATACCACATATTAATTAGACATACAGATGCACAAGCCTTTTACCTTGATATCAGAACCACCGGCAAGATTTTGAAGTTCCTCAAGAGTTGTTACAAATGCATACTTGACTTGGTTGAGAGCATCACCTGAAGTAATTTGTTTCTCGTCTAAACTATCTGCGGAGGTTTCCGTAGATTTTGTGTTCAAATTCTCTGTTTCTGAAGCTGCCTCTGTATGTCCACCAGAACCAGGTGGAGTTTCATCCTGGACGTTTTAACAGTCATTACTATTGGATATACCACAAAAGCAATAACACAAAGGAGCTTAATATTATGGGATTTAAATTTCAAACCAGATCAGTTTCCATTCTTCTGAAAATAATGCTGATCATCTGTGTCAACATTGCCTTTGATGTTGCTTGGTTTATAGGACTCCTGCTACAAATGCAAATAAGAAAGCTGAGTTCTATAGCCAACGACTACAGCTCACGAAGACAAATTAGGAACCATTATTACCTGTTTAGTGCAATATTGTAGCATACCTTGACAATTCCCAGCAAAGGTTCACCATGCACTGAATTAAGCATAGACATCAATACACAAACATGGATTAAAAAACCACTGAAAAGACAAACAAGAGAGATGAAAAACGAGAGAGAGAGAGAGAGAGAGAGAGAGAGAGAGAGACAAGCCATAGCACAACAAAGTACCATAAACATATTCAGATAGCAAAAAGTATGTCTCCGTCAAGAACCATTTCATTTCATCCCAAAAGCTAAGTTATTAAATGAAAGCCCATGAACGATTAACAAATTGATTATGATCCTTGATACATTCACTCGTACAAGCCCTTCGGTCTTCAAGTGTAAATAATGCAAAAGACCACCATACCTTGTAGTGGAAGAAACTTGACTTGAACTAAAAAAACGGGAGATGGCAAGAATCAAATTCCTGTTGAACATGGAAGCTCTAATACCATGCCAAAAAATTACTAAAAATATTAAGCTACATCTAACCACTGTACAAATGATAAAAGATTAGCCTGGTATACAGAAAAGAGAAAACACAGCATGATTTATGGAAAACATGTTGGAATGGAATCCGTTTAATGTTTCCCAGTTTTTATCTTCTAAGCTTCTCATAAGCCAACTTATTTGGACTCAAATGAATAAAATTAAATGAATTCAAAGAGTAGCCTTAGCTTGACTTCATATCCATACGTCACCAATTTTATTATATTACGTGAAATCATGACAAATGAAGATAACTGAGACTAGCATTTCACATATCTCAATCCAATTAAGTATGCCATGGTCCATGTCACTACAATTAGTGTAAAATCCTCATAATAAATTAAGAAGTATTAAACAGGTAACTTAAGCTACTTTTAAGAAAACTTCTTTTGAATATAATGTTCTGTATGGCTGCAAATATGACAAACACTAGACACCTTGTATAGAAAATATGGCAAACACAAGACACCTTGCATAGAAACTTATACACGAGTAACACGGATGGAAATTTCCTTGATATTTTATTTTACCAACAGACATATACCACAAGAAAATGGGCAGAGTTTTTCTATAACAATAAGCATACCTCTGAACTTTGTGGAAGCCACAGCAGTTAGAAGTACTTTCAGCACTTGGAGAATAGTACTGCAGGTTGATTCTTAAAATTGGATGGGTTTAATTATAAGAAACGGATTTGGTTAGTATTGTCAACGTGCAGTGACCCATACCTGTCTGGAGATGAATTGTCAATACAACTGCAAACCATGTTTAGAATGTTTGCAAACAGTGTGGAATTTTTAGTATCATCCAGCCCAGGATCTCCCTCCAAATGATTGTAAGCAATAAGTTTCTGTGATTACAATTATGAAGCAGCATAAGTTAGCTTCACAAGCTTTTGAAGATTTTTTATAAATATAAAGCATAAGAGTCATGTGGACTATATTTTTTAATGAGTTCTATAAACGTTCAATAATGGATGAAAGACTTCTCCCTTTCTTCAACCATATGTAAGGACCTCATAATAGTAATGCATGCACATACATGAAGACAGTCTAAAGCAGGTTCTAGGATTTTCAATTTCTTTGTCTCAAATGCAAGCCGAAGGGGACTCAAAACAAGCTCCGCATCAGCTTCTTCAAGACTTTGCCCAGCATTAGCTAATGCCGTACTAATATTTCCACTCTTGGGCCTGCTACTATTCTCTGCCTCTCCAGAAATATGTTCACCCTTCTGTGGCTGACCTGCTTCTGATGTGGTTGCAGCTCCGCCTTCACTTTTGGGTGTACTGGCGCAAACCAAAATGATTCAAATGTTAAAACTGAAGGGCTTTAAGGTTCATTAATGGAAGGCTTGATCTAACTCTCGCCAAATAACCATGATTCAGCTGCCTGGAACAGTGGAACTGATTTAATAGGTACCTTAGATCAGGAAAATTGTATAACTACGGTATTAATTGAACCAAAAGGTGGTTATATTTAATGTATAGAAATATAATACAAAAACGATTAGCAACAGATTGCTATTGCGTTCAAAAACTCTAAGATCCTACAAGAACACCTCACTTAAAAGAATCATCCCCCTGCCGGCTATAAGGTCAAGTATTTTTGCATTTCCTGGAGGAGTGACATGATAAAATTAGAGTAGAGTTGGATTAGTACTTTATGCCAAATAACTTTCAGGGGGGGAATCCTTAATTTCTGATTTCTAAGATACTATCTGAAAATCACACCAACCCAATATATGGAAAATAACTCAGGAAAGCCTCAAAGAATTGTAGCACCTTAGGTAATAACTATCGAAATCGAAACAGAAATGATGTCCTCCATAAAATTTATCCAAGATATTTACCCCCCAGCGTCCGCTGACGGTCCTGCTTGATTGACCTCACTTAAATGGGCCTGCTGTCTCTGGTTAGCTTCTTTCGTGATATCTGAAATGACAATAGAGGCACTAAAGTGACCAACGAAATAAACAGGATATCAGTAGACAGTAGCTATAATCGCGCATGAGCTAGTACATGCGAGGTCATTGAAAATAACGTGGGTAAGGAAAAAAATTGTGAGCTAAAAACAAAATAATGCCAAAAAACAACAATAAAAAGGAAATGAAAAATGGTACCTAAAGCTGTAAATTGAACCAACCTATATAAGTCCAAATAGCCTTCTGTAGATCAGAATGCTTCCTACCGGAACACTCTTTGAGCATCGACTCGAATGCACGAGTTACGAAACCCCCGGCTGCACCTCCAGCCATTTCTCCAGTCCCTCCAAACCACCTACACTCCGCCTGACCGAAAAATTTTCAAACGTCCCAGATCACCATCGTTTTAATTGAAAAACAAATACGGATCCCATCGAAACAGCACGCTTTTATCATAAAGAAGCGATAAAAGTTGAATGCTTTTATCATAAAGAAGTTTTTCTCGTTCAAGAAATGCGAGAGCTTAAAGAGAAGGAAGTGGAAGAAGAACATGAACAGAGCCTTCGAAAGCAAGAGAAAGTTACACCTCAGAAATGATAAGGGAGAAGGAGCATTCTGATAAAACGCAGATCTGAAAGGAGCGACGTTAGGATGAGGAATAGCGGATCTGTGCGCATTTAAGTGTCCGTTTTCATGTTCATGCGTATTCTGTATTGATCATGCACACCCCAAGAGCGTCCCATGCAGAACTGCCGATACTGCTAGTCCTGCTGCCACGCAAACCCAAGTTCGCTTTGTTATTTTTCCCGTTAACAACACAGGTCAATGGGGATGTCTTGTTTCTTTTTGGGCCTTCTGCGATTTTTAGTTCATCGAAAATGGAAAGGAGGGAATATTTTGGGCCGTAACCCTCTCAATTCATGACCTTCTTATCTGAATTTTTATATTGTTATTTAATCTATTATTCCAATGACGAATCCAGAAAAATTAGTCAGCATAATTTGAACTTAAGATGCATATTAATTTAATAAATAATTCTAAATATTTAATAAATTATATTAGAGGTAAGAATTTTTGTATGACAATTTTCTGGGAGTCCATTGTAATATTCACATACTGAGATTGTACAAGAGTATAACTAAACCCTAACTGGTGCGATACATAATAGAATTAAGTAAAATTAGGCTGAGCTAAGCATAACAGAATTAAGTTGGGTTATAGTTTGTTGTAATTAGTGTTTGAGTATGTCAAAAGAAAAAGTCTCATATTACCTACATGAGTAAAACTCTTTGTATTTATATACTAAGAAATAGGTTAGTGCATGGGCTTGAGGAGAGTTAAAGAGGCAACGAGTTCTCTTACCAAAATTGTATTTGCAAAATTATTGAATTAATTTTGCCTTATTGGCTTCCCAAAAGAACCACAATTTATTGTGTTTGAACTTTAAGTTAGCTGCATCATGGAGAGACGTGTTTATCTAGGTTCAATAATATTTAGCAATATTTAATTGTTTATAACCTTCGTAAATGTTCACAACGTCACAATAAAGTGTCTTAAGATGTTTTTATGCTCTCAAAACTGCTATTTAATTGCTGCTCAAGGCTATCTTTTATGGCTATGTCTATATATAATGCAGGGCGTGTCATGGGTCAGGAGCCAAGCTCTTCTCTCCTCCTCTATGCCGAAGTATATTATGCTAATTTTTTTTGGTTCTGTGGCTCTACTTATTTTGTAAAATGAGTCTATTTAATATTAAAGAGACGCCTATTGATACAGTATAGTAGAATACTTCCTCCATTTTTATATATAAAAAAAATGATGTCATACATTTTAAAAAAGTTGATTAACTGTGATAATTATGTTTAAAAATAAAAAAGTGGATTAAAATATTTTGTGTTAATCAACATAAATATACATTAATTGTTTCTCGTTAATGTAAATTACGAAGTGTGATTTAAAAAATGTGTAATAAATACTTATTAAAATGAGTGATTTTACCTATAAAAAAAAACAAATCAAAAGTGATAATTTCTCTAATAATAAAAAATGGAGGAAGTAGTTCTTAAGGGCAATATCCTTAACACGACTCAAGCTTTAAATCTACCCATTGGTTCCAACAAAGTTGTCATCCTTCCAGCCTCAATATGGTGTATAATAATAACAACATATACGTTGGTACGTGCGCATGTTGTTTACTTCTTTCAACATATACTCTGCAGGCAACATGCAGTTTTCAATCAAAACTAATAAAGCATGTAGTTTTCACCCTCACGGATTGTATGTATATCATGATCAATATAGGAGGGAAGCCTTTAGATTATGATGAGGCAACCTTGCCGCACAAGATGTGAAAGAAGATGGAAGAAGGGGGCAACTAACGATGGAGGATGAGGTTAGAGAGTTCGTGAATTGTGATTGTATATTTCACAAAGAATGCATAGACAGATGGTTGGACCGTGATCATGACAATCACAACCCCCTTTGCCCACTATGTAGAGCCCCTTTGCTTGCTTCCTATTGCTCATCTGATTCAGAAAGCTCTAGCGGTATGCCACCTTCTCACCTTAGCTGGGCTGTGGAGAGGCTTCTCTATCTCTTTGGGGACGATCTGCCCTTTTGCTAATTATCCTGCGCCCTCAAAAGTTTAATTTGTGCAAAAACAATTACAAGGCATTTGTTATTTATCAATTTTTAATGTCTGTGGATGAGTTAGGTTGATACCAGGGTGGGCTTTGTGCATAGACATAATTTAGGCTCTATATTCTTTGGAAATCAATAATTATTTGCATGGCTATTTGTATTATTGAAAATAATAGAGGCCCCTTTATTGTAATTTCTTTGGCTATACAGTTTCCGTTTTACTGTGATTTGAGTCATGCCCAAATTCCAATGGCTTTCTCAATTTTTGACACCAAAGTTGTTTTGAAGTACGGGTCTGACCAAGAAAACAACAATGGCAACTTACTTTTCGGAGCAAGGCAAAGATTCAATTCCTTAAGTTGTTGTATAAAAAAAACTTCCTTAAGTTACACATTAGGAAAGTTATGTTGAGTTACTGGCTATGACTGGCACGTCCTATTACAATTTGGATTCTCCCCAGTACTAAAATGCTACAAGAAAGAGGGTAATATAAAGAGATGGAAGTACACATAAGTTATAACACGCTCTAATTAATTATTTATTTCCATTTCTTACATCACTACAGTCTGCTAGAGCTGAGAATCAAATAACCCATACTCACAAGGAAGCAATTAGCATATGGCTTCACCTCAGCCAAATATACCTTCTACACAAGAGTTCTATTTGGGCGGAAGGTAAAGGTAGTAATTTTCCCATCTCCTTAACAAAATTTAGATGACAGACTCCTAAATGATCAATGTGCACTTTCTTCTTGTTATTTGAATGTAAAAATAATAAGATACATTATGGCGTTTGCCTTTTTTATTGATATCTCTTCGAAACTTCCAATAGCTCATAGGACAGAGACGAACACTTGAGTAAACAAGGCATTTCTTGCCTGCCACTTTTGATTAGCATGTAATTCTGTCACAGACAATCGTTTGAGGAGTGTTTTCTATAACATTCTAATTTAAATTTTAATAATTAATTTGAGTTAATAAAAATTTTAAAAAATATTTAGAGATAAGTAATTAGTAGGAGAAGATTATTATATTTACTTTAGGATAAAATTCTATGTTAAGATTCTTAAAAAAAATATAATAATAAGAATAATTGTCATCAGTGGCAAATACGGCACGCCATTAAGCTACTAGCTGAGGATTGGCAAATCAAGGTGAACTATACATGCAAGGAAAACAACAAGTGTGCTGATTGAATTGCAAAGTCTGATTTGAATCAATATGCTGAGTGTAAAATTATTTTTGAACCTCTTAAAAATGTCATTGAGTCGTTATATCAAGATAGTAAGGATCATAATGATCCCGGTTTACTTTTCAATTAAATAAGAGTTTGGATTTTTCACTGTTTTTGGTTAAAAAAAACCATAATTGTCATTATTATTGTTGTTGTTAAAAAAAAGGGAGAGGAAATATATAAAAAAAAGGGGGGGGTGGTGATTAACGGATTTATTTCCGTGGCTGTGTGTGTAGGTGTATTTAGAATGAAAATGATGATGATGATGATGACCGTGGGACCCACACCCCGTTTAAAACAACTCTTGCGCATTTCCCCGGGGGAGGGGGGGAGAGCGTCGGCGTGGAAGTGAGAAAAATCTGATTTTAAGATTTTTAAAATTATATAAGTATTTTAAATATTTTTTGTAATCATTTAACTCCTTTAGTTTTTAATTTTCTAATGGTAAAAAATTTAAAGTTTGAAAGAGGGATAAATTTATAATGAATAAAAATAATTGTTGAAGTTGTTAGTAGTATAATAAATATTTTAAAGTATAAATTTATTGATGAAAATTAAATTTGAGACTTATGGATTAAACATTAGACTCTTAAGGGTAGATTTTTTTAAATATCAAAATATAAATGATTTTTTGATATTTAGATGATTATTTGAAAAGAAAAACAGATTATTATGACTATAGAATAATGATTCTAAATTTGAGATTAAATTTGTAATTTTTGAGTATTTTTAGGTAAAAATTTATGAAATAAAAAAAATAAACTTTTGATAATATAAATTGGTTTAAATAATGATTTTAGTTTATTAGTATTTATTGATGATTAAAAGAGGAATTGAAAATTTTACTTGAAAGTATTAACTCTAAACTTGTATTAATAATGTGATTAGGAATTATGTTGTATTTTTTAATTTTATTATTAGAGTTATTTTATTAGTTTTACTAATTAAAAATAATATTTATAAATAATATATTATGTGTAGATTATATTGTTAGTAAAGATTGTGATGAAAAATAAATTGTAAGAAATAATATATTCAAAAATTCACAAAGTAACCATATTTTAATTTATTATTAATGTTACCTCCTGTTATTTGTATGATTATTGAGAAAATTTATGAATTATTGTTGGAAAATTATTTTATTATATTTATGAAAAAAATTATGAAATGATAAATATGTGTTTTTAAATATTTTTGTCAAGTGGAATGCTATATTATAATATTATTGGAAATGAAAAAATTATAAAAATTGTGACATTATACATTTATGTATTGTTAATATTTAAATTGTTTGACTATTGTGAGAGATGTTAGGAGATTTATTGTCATTATGTTTTTGTACCACATGGTATGCCTCTGTTGGAGGCTCAATAGGAGCTTATAAAGGCTCGAGTTAATCTACCTTTAATCAGGTAATTTAGCATTAAGTAAGGGCCATGACTCGAGGTTAATGGAGGGAGATAAGAATGATTGTTTGTACTGCATTACAATATTTCTTGTATTTTTGTTAAAATAATATGATTGTTGTTTCCCCACTTAGCAAACACATATTTAATTTTTTTGTATACACTATCATGTATTGGCATTGGTTATTGAGACTTTTGAGTCTCATTATATAATTAATAATTTTTAGGAGAAGAGTCATGAGTGATGTGTGAAGGAGTCCTTAAGGCTTAATATCATAGATCCATGGTCTCTTTTGAGTATTTTAATTTATAATTTTTAATGTGTTATATTGTCAATGCTGAGGCTTTTTATTTGTTGACAATTATATAAATGTAATATTGTAATCATGCCCTTCAAATTATTTTTGCTTTTGGTACACTTTAAATACTGTAACTTTAATATCTAATTTATTTTGGATGGTTTGAAATGGCATGATTATTACGCTATATATTTGGCTTGTTTTGAAAATTAAGTGAGTTATCTATTTTTGTTATGGTTTATAGTTTGTACTTGTTGGAAGTGTATAGTTAGAAAAATGTGATTTTGACTCAATGACATGTGAAATGTTAAAACTTATTTGAGGTATTGAATTGTGCAAATCTAGACCGATTATTAAATACTTTTATATTGAATTTATTGATATAAATGTATTGGATGACTGTAACCCAATTATGAGAGTAAATATGTATTAACAGTGATTATAAAATTTTAAAATACATAACTATTTTTATTTTTGTATTCTATTGTGTTCATCATATTCTCAATTTTAAAAGGAATCTTTTAAGCCTTTTACACTTATTTTGTTTTTAATTGTTTGGGATCTCAAATTTCAGAAAGGGCAATTTAAGTAGTTTAAATTCTATTTACCATAATAATACTTAATTATTTAATTTAATTTTTTCTATCATTGTAATTATTTTAAAAGATAAAATTTTTTATAAGATTATGTTTTATCATTTCCTACCATGATAGTGTTTTAAATTATATATATTTTAAAATATATATTTTTATATAGGATTAGTTGATTTTTATTTATTATGATAAACACTTACCATGGTTGAATTAATTATTTAAAAAAAAAATCAGGGTGTCATATTTTCACGATAAATACTATACTGTTTTTTAAGAATCTAGATCCATGTGATCCAAAGTACTGTTCGACTTGACACGTCCCCAAGGAGATATCAATACTAGCAATATGTTTGATCAAAGGCCCGGAGGAAGCTCAAACGGACAACAGAACGTCCACGTGGTGAGGCATATTTTACGAGCAGATACAGGTCTTTCATAAGATATCCTGTCCTTCCTTCTAGTGCATGCTGCGCATAATTCCATGCAAGTGCCCACCAGCCATTATAAGCGACATAATGCCTGCTGAAACACTTTCCCTGTTCTCTTAAAACGGGAAGCCATCACCCCAAGAAGTTCTCCAAAGATACCTGCATATCAGCAAAATTCAGATATGAACGCATACTCGGATAGCATTGTATCATCAGCTATCACTACATGAAGAACTTACAAGCATTGATCAACTAAAACATTATCTATTGGAGATTACTCTTGGTAATTTGTAACTAGCTTGTATAATCTTAAGGAGAATTTTCATACAGTTGGGCATTTACTAGCAAATAAATATATGATACGTCACACTAATCTATGTTGAAATAGAGCTTTAACTCTTATTTCTCTGTGACAGCGGTTGTTACCACCAGCCACCAGCCACCATGATCAACTGACAAGCCATAATTAAAGCAATACAGTGCATGAGAAAATGTGCCATGAAAGAAGCTACAAAGCAAGCATACAAGAAATTCTTAATGTATAGGCATGGATTAAGAAATAGTTATCTCCTATACTTTTTTAAAGCATACTAATAAATCCATCTATACAATTTCAGGGTTTTATGAATGCATAAAGCACTAATGGAACTGCAATTAAATCTTAAATCTATTAACAGATAACATAGATTCTCAACTGGAATCTTAACTAACGTATCAACGGCATGTGCAGTGTAGACGTTCCACACAAACTGAACACTTACCAAGACCCACAGATGATGCAAAGACAGGTCTTACAGGCAGTTCTGTATAAAAATAATATAGCAGAGAGGCAAATAATCCTCCAGCTAACAATGACTTCTGGCTTGTGCTTTTCAAATAGCCCATTACGCCACCCATTGCCTAGAAAAAGAACATCAACAATATTATTTTTCAGATCAGTCTAATCTAGTTCAATAGCCATACCAATACTATGTTGCTTAGTACCTGCATATCTGCCTGACTACGAATTACTCTACACCAAATGCAAAGAAAGCCATTTGACACTATTGACCATACTAACATATCAGACAAAGGTATCAATATAGTCCGTTAATTTATTTTTTTCAAAAAAAAAATCACATACATTCCAACATGCTTTTAATAGAACTCAAAGCCATATGCAAACAATGCTTAACAGACAACTTATATACCCCGATCATTTTTTCAGTAGCAAAGAATAGATATAATCAAAAGACTGAAAAAGCCATTACATGATATAGGTTCTTGGAAAACGTATTCCTGTGGCATCCTGAGCTAAGATAGCATTGATACTTAAAAGTGAGAGTATGAAGTGGCAGAAGTTTTAGGAATTACCTCCAAGGAGCCCAACATACGCTAAAGTAAATTTCCGAGACGTTAACAAAGCCATCTTCGTGTCTCCCTCTGATTATCTCTTACCCACGTTATGATCCCTTCCCCTAACGTTACTATCACCTTTGACCCGTGGTGGTAGTTGAGGGCTGGGAGGGGGAAGAAGCAGCCCTAGCGGACAAGTATCGGTTCTGTGTAAGAAGGTGCGTCTTATACAATCTGTCCCTCAAGTAATTCAAACCTTGAAAGAGCGGAGATGAGGGATCAAAGGAAGAACGTAGGCTTCCAGTAATGTCAATGGGAGATTGCAGTTCAAGTCGAGGGAGATGACTGCGAGAAGGAGCACTGGTAGTTCTGGGCCAGTACCCAAATGGGGCTCCTTCGCTACCAGTACTTCTTCAGGCAGTTAAATATTTTACCCAAAAAAAAAAAAAAATACTCATTATCATTTCCCTGAACAACTAAACATTGGAGAATAAAAATCTCTCCAAAGTACATAATAATTTTTTAAAGTTTTTTAGAGATTTTCCTGACATTAATTATTTGTGTTAATACTCCCGATTTAATAAAGAATATGGTCTCCCATTTTTCACTCACCCTCCCAACAATGACTCTCCATATTCTTCGCTTCTCGAGACGAAACTTGGCATTTACCCAGATTAGCGGAAAAAGAGGGTGTGCGCAATAGTGGAGATTAAGGTTTTGCAAATGCAGGAGTAAACCAAGCCCTCCATTATCCTCTGTCGTAAATGCAAGGTTTGGTCTTCTTCTTCATCAGCCATCATACTCACTTCCTCACTTCCTGAGTTCCCATTTTTAGCCAATACAGTGAGAACAATAAGCAAGTGATATATGGTAGGAGTATTCATGGGACGGCACGGAACAAGGGACCTATCTTAAAAAAAATCAGGACTAAATTTTTGTTTCGTATCCTATCCTGTCCCAAAAGTTGTCACGACCCAATACGAATCGTGATGGAATCAAGACATCCAACTGTCCCATTAAATCGGATAATATGGAAGATAAATTTGAATAATAACATTCATTAAAATTTTAAATTTTATAATGCATTAAGTTTAAAATCAAAACAACATAATACATAAATCACAATGATTTAAAGTTAATTATTAAATTACATTAATGATAACTATAAATGTATAACACATTATGATAGTAATTACAGGTAATTTTTAAATTATAAGAGCAACAACAATAAATAAGCTGGCACAATATCAAATCATTATTCTCCTTTTTTAATTGAAATATGTTAAGATAATTATTTTTTTAAAAATAAAGTAAAAATACGATATAAATAAAATTATTAAATAGATAGATAGAATAATAAAAAATATTAATATAATTAATATATTTAATGTTTATTTTTAAAATATATATATCTATAATATTCAAGACGGGACGGGACAAGGGCAATGTCGTGTTCTATCCCATCCCAAACCTCCTTTTCGTCTCATCAATATTGTTTTCAGGCCAAGACGAGATCTGTCTAAATATAATTGGGATGAAGCTGGGGCAATTAAGACGAGCATAAGTTAAAGACTCCTATTATATGGTTAAGCTTTATGCCAGCAGGGACTGAACTTTATTTATTATTCGCATTTTGCGTAGCCTGTGAATTCCAAGTTGTGTTTGTGTTCTACAATAAGAATACGAGTATAGAGGGAAAGCCCATGAGTGAAGGACATCCTTTTGACTACCTAGGATACAGTATGAGCCTCATGGCTTTCTCATACAAAGAAAAACAAAAATAATTAAGCATTTGCAATGAATTCTCGTTTATTCATATCCAAGCTCGGTTCTCACTGAAGCACGACCCCTTCCACTCCAGAGTATTATCAAGCGACGAAACGACGCCGACAAAGGGGGGAAGAAGATTGACGACACTGTGGAGCAAGTTTTGGGGTGAAATGGGGCTTGAGGCACCATACTTATAGGCTCAAAAGTGATTGATGCTTTGTTTGTTTGGAGAGAAAATGTGAGAGAAAAGAAAATGTGAGAAAAAAATTGGGAAGACAACAAAGTTTTTTCTATTTGAATGAGGAAGGAAAAATAGGGAAGAAAATAGAAGGTAGAACCCACTACATTTTCTCTTCAAATTTTCTCCATATATTAAGAGATTTTAAAAAGAAATTTGTTGTTTGGCATGTGCCTTTCTCTCTCCTCGTCTCTCTGTGTTTTTTTTTTTTAACCTCTTTACATTTTGTCAATTTTTCTCTCTTATACAAAGACTCTTTCTCTATTATTTTTCTTTTTCTTCACCTAGAAGCTATGATGTCCATTGTATTGAATAGATTATTTATATTTAATTTTAATAAAATATCTCCTTTTACTATTTTAAATAAAAATAATATATTTTTATTAAATTATTTGGTTTTAAAATATAATAATATGATAATATAATTTTTAATATAATTTTACCTGTTAATTTGGTTTTATAAAAATAATTACATAAAATGTGACATATTTTGATATAAAGATATCATAATCATTATACTATTTGCTTTTTTTTTTCTTTCTCTATTTTCTCCTACTCATCCAAATAGAAGGAGGGATAAGATTTTTTTGTTTCTCAGTTTTTTTTAGAGCCGGTAATTTGGGCCGAGCCCGACGGGCCAGCCCGAACCCGTCCGAAAAATTTAATACCAAGCCTGAAAAAATATTATTTTTTTATTGAGGAAATTCGGGCCAAGCCCGATCAGGTTCGGGCTTGGCCCGAATACCCGAATAAAAAAATAATTTTTTAAAAAAATATATACAATTTGATAAATATTAATTAATTTTTTAAATTTTATATCATTTTATACCAAAATACTATATATATAAGTGTTTTAATGTAGTTATTTTTTTAAAAAAATCAAAATAGTTATATTTCATCTTTTTATTATTTTTAATCAATAAAATATCTCAAAATAATATTTAAAATATATTTTAATATTAATTTTAATATTATAAGACCCAGTTTTTGTTAAAAAAAAATTTGAGTCCTATAAATCATTTGCATGTAAAAAAATAATTTTATATTTTTAATAAATTAAGAGAATTAATTTTAAAGTAAAAATAAAATTGAAAATAATTTTAAAAATAAAATTTAGGCATGTACGAATTTCTGATTCTACTACTAGATAAACATAATAAATAGAATAATATTCTTGAACAATTACTTGGTTATTGTCCATGCTAGATTTGGTTAAAAATTAAGAGTAAACTAGAGTAAGAATCCCTTTTATATAAGAGTTAAATAATATAAAAAGTTAAAGAAAAATGATTTCAAAAAAAATAATATTTTACTCATAATTAAATAATTTTTTATATAATATAATGATGGCAATTTTTTTATATTCATAAAAATGAAAAGTATAATTTACCTAAAAGTTATTTAAAATTTTGAACTAATTAAAATAATAATTTTAAATTAGCAGTCTAACTGTGATTGAATTAGGATCAGCTTAATCATAATTAAATAATATAATTTAATTAAAGTATATAAAATATTTATATATGACTATGATAAGAGCAATATTTAAACAACTACGACATTAATTTACAAGTAAAGGAAATATTCATGAATAAATTATACATAATACAACAAAATAATAATAGAGCTACTTAAATACAAAGTTGATAAATTATTTTTTATTTTATTTTTTTAAAATTAAGATAATATTTTACAATTAATAGAATTTTTTAAAAATTAAAATTGGTTCAGAAAATACAGAAAAATATTTTTAAAAAGTTTCGGGTATTTGGGCCAGCCTGAATAAGCCCGAAACCCGAAGGTATTGGGGCCAGGCTTAGCTATATGGGCTTTTTAGAAGGGGTAGGATGTTTTAAGCCCGATCTGAATAAGCCCGGTCCGAATTGAGCCCGGCCCGAATAAGCTCGGCCCGCCCGATTTACCGGCTCTAGTTTTTTTTCTCCATTTTCTTTCTTCTTAACACTTCTTCTTATCCAAACAAAGGGTAAGGGTCTACAAATTACCTTGAGAAGCGAAGAAGAAGATGGGGAAGGAAGCTATGAGAAACACAGTCAGTTAATTTTTTATTTTAAAATGAAAACATTATAGTCATTTCATACAACAAAAATTAATGTAAAGTCCTGGCATTTTTTCCAGATACCTAATTGTCATTTGTATATTTTCGAAAGATTATTTGTCATTCTCCATTGAACATTTTCATATAATTTGGTTAGCTTTTTTATTGGTAGGAACTTGATTGGTTGAATGGGATAACAAGCATCATCGCAAGGCCAATCCCAATGCGCATTGCAAATGTAGGGCCTTGGAAATTAAAAGTCAACAAAGGCCCATTACGCAACCATTAGCTCCTTTTTGAACTGTTTAACATGCATGCCCTTTCAGCTGCGCGCACACACTAGACGTGTTTTCACACGACACACGCAAGACAAATGAATAAGATTATTCATAATTTTTTAATAATATGACTTAATAATAATGTTCATGTTCCTCCTTTTTTTAGGCGAAATTCCAATATAAACTAATCATCCACAGAAAGATAAGTGCAGAAAAATATTATCAAATCAAATTAGGCACAAAAAAGGGGACTGTAAATACTTAAGATGAGGAATCTTTACTCGCCGGGGAAGGCTTAGCTCGCTCATAGAAAGTAAAACAAAAGGCGCATCAGATTTGGATCATTTCTATCCCCTCCCTCAATATTTGTCTCTATACTTAATCATATATGTTCATTTTATTTTATTTTATTTGGTTTAACAATGTAAGATTGTTAATTATGAAATTAAAATAAACATATTATCCATTTAATATCTGGCATAAAGAAATATTATAATCTTATTTTCAAAAGCATTTAAGTGATGGTAATAACTAATATATTTATTTTAAGGAAAAATTAATCTTTTAGTTCTCTAATTTTTAATTTACTTATAACTCAATCCCTCAATTATGACTTGTTGTAACTCAGTTTCTCAATTATGACTCGCCTATAACTCAGTTGCTCAACTTTTGAATTACTTACAAATTAGTCCTTAAACTTTTGTTAATTTTTTTTTTCATGTTAGCTTATATCTCACATCAATGAGCAATAAGGGAGTATTTTAGAATAATATATGAGCATTTTTTATCCCTCTTATTTGATAAGAAATTTTTTTTAAAAAAAATAAAAAATAAGGACCAAATTATAGGTAAATCAAAAGTTGAGGGACTGAGTCGCAGCAAGTTATAGTTGAGGGATTGAGTTACAAGTGAGTTAAAAGTTGAAGGATTAAAAAATTAATTTTTTCTTATTTTAATGTTATAATTAGCAATCTTACACTATTAAACCAAATAAATAATTAAAATGGATGGATGACATTGAGTATGGAAAGATATATTGAAAAAGTGTATGAAAAAGATCCAAATTTCTTAAAAAAAAAAACAGTTTCTTGTTTCTAACATGTAGATGCATTTTTTTTTATTTCACGAACTATATGGAGTTTAAAAAAATTAGCTTGTTATTGTGAAATTCTAAAAGAAAAGCGTCATGACCTTGATTGATAACAATAATTAAATAACTTTTGTTCGATGTGCATCCTTACATAAAACTTGGTTTTTTGGATGAAAAAGAAAAGATCACTTTTCCACCAAAAACAAATATTAATGTAATTTTTTGTTTGGTCTAATGCATAGATACATCTCCTTCCACCACAATCTAGAGTTAGCCATGGCATTGGCAGTAGAGGCAAGGCAGGCATGGGAGAAATATCAAGAAGCGATTGATGCAATAGGGAATGCAAGAGATTTACACAATATATCTTGGCGTGTCAGGAACTTCTGGGTAATCAGATACCTCCATCACTAAGGGATGAACATCTATGGAAGGATTATACTGTTGAATCACCACCACTGATGAGGTGGTAGAGAAGTCTGAAGATGCCAAGTAACTTCCAATAGGACCTAACTCTTTACAGTCACTATTCTCCACCAATGGGGCCACTGGAGGCATTCTACCCACCAATACTAGATTGCTCTTGTTCATTTCCTTTAGAGCTGTTATCACTCCCCCTTTACTTTCTACTAATCTCTCTTCACACCTCATCGACTCTTGGTTTAAGCTTTGAGCACTCATAAACTCTGACCATGCTTGATCGTCTTCTTGCTTGTCATAATCCGAGCTAATGTCTGCCCCTTTTATAACTTTCTTATCCTTGTTTACCGTCACGGCCACCAAATTTGCCCCAAATGTGAATGTCTTCCCTGGTAAAGGCACAAACTTCACCACTGTTAGCAAAATTCCTGGGTGCTCCGCCATTCTCATCCCGTAGGCCAGTGCTTCTCGGTCATCTCGCCCTCCAAAGAAAGGTAATATTACTTTATAGGATACATCACTGGCTTGAACTTGGCTCGTCCCTCCAAGGCCTCGATCCACCAAAATTCCTACTGAGCAGGGAGCATGCGTGAGCACATTTTGGTTCACTAGGCGGATTGAATGTCCGAGTGACTCCATGGACCCGTCTGCTCGCTGGTGCTTGTGAAAAGGAAGGATAATCATGGCTGCTCGCTTGTGGTGAGCGCTAGTGCATATGTCCTCGTGGATGGTGCTAAGTGCAGAGATGGCAGTCATGGGACGAACATTCACGCTGCTTAACTGCCCATAGGCTTCAAATGGAATCACCATCTGGTCTCTATCCTCTTGTATCTTATTCCAAAAAGGAAGGCCGTTATTGCGAGCCTTATGGACCATTGTGATGGCTGAAGATCGCTCCGAAAGCTCCATCAAGTGCATCGCATATATGCAAAGCTTCCCTCGTTTTCGAGTTCCACGAGATGACTCTATTAGGTTAATGAGAGTAGGAATATTGTGTGTGCTATGGAAGCAAGCAAGTACTCGTAACTCTGTATCTTGATCCTTACGTTGAATTGTTTTGTGCTTGTAAGGTGCTCCCTTACGAGCTGGCTTGTAAACGGCCATCACTATTGGCGTTGTAATAAAGGTGGTAAACAATGCCATTAATACACATATGGCAAATGTTTGGTCATTTAGTACCTATACTTGAAGAAACACATGCTCAGTAAGTTCATTCATTAGTATGAGACACAATTCCATGAATGGTGATAGACTAATTAACAAGACACATATGCATTGTTAAATCAAGAGAACAAGTTGTAAGTACCTTGCGATCCTTGCCAATGTTGAGAACAATGAGCTCTACTAAGCCTTTGGTGTTCATAAGAAAACCAAGTGCAAGGGCTTCTCGGAAAGGCATTCTACAAATAAGGGCCACAACAATCGTACCAACAATCTTTCCAAAGCAAGCAGTGAATATGACTAAAAATAATAAGCCCCATGAAGTTCCTCCACTTATGGTTGCCACATTTGTCTTCAACCCACTAGAGACAAAATAGAGTGGTAGAAAAAGGCTAGAGATGATGTCCTCAAGCCTCTCGATTAAGACCCCAGCAAAAGGACCATCTTTGGGCATGATGATGCCAATCACAAACGCCCCAAACAGGGCATGAATGCCAATAGTATCAGTGGCAAAACTAGAGGCTAAGACAATCATCAAAGTGATACATATGTAAAGCTCTTTCACGGGCTCGCCCTCATGAGAATGCTTAGCCATAATCAAGAGAACAGGTTTGATTGCAAAGACACAAAAAAGGATAAAAGTGGCACCACACAATAAAACCCATAAAGAAATGAGGGGAGAAGTATGGGAGCCAGAGAGGGCGATTGCGAGAGCAAGGAGAATCCAAGCGGCAACATCATTGACGGCGGCGGCAGCCATGGCAATGCGTCCAACATCTGTGGTGAGGAGTTTGAGCTCTGCCAGGATACGGGCTAGAACAGGGAAGGCGGTGATGGAGAGAGCAACTCCCATGAAGACAAGGAAGGCAGTGGGCTCGACGCCCTTGGAGATGGTAGCACGAAGAACAAAGGAGGTACCTATGCCAAGAATGAAAGGGACGGATATGCCAGCAATGGCAATGCCTAGGGCCTTGTGACCTGTTCGTCTTATAGAACGCATGTCGAGCTCTAAACCCACAAGAAACAAGAAGAATAAAAGACCGACATTGGCAAGGGTCTCGAGAACCGTGGAGCTTTTCTTAGGGAAAACGGTATGGAGGAAGGAGTGGCTTCGACCAATTGCAGAAGGTCCCAATATGATTCCTCCCTACAGCAAACACACACACACACACACACACACACACATGTATATGTATAAATAAAGCATGTGTAATAGAAAGAATAGAAGAGAGAAGAGGCTTACAATGATTTCAGCAATGACACGAGGCTGGTGGAGGGGACGTAAAAGGAAGGCAAGGAAGCGAGTAAAGGCAACAACGAGACATATTTGGAGGATGAGGAGGGGAAGAGCATAGTCGAGGGGGTTTTCCTTTTGAAAGGCGCCATTAGAGGTGGCCTTCATGGGGGCGGGGCAGTTAGGAGGAGTAGGACTAGCCATGGGTAAATGGTGGGTGAGAGAATAATGGGGCTTAGAGGTTTGGAGTGAGATCAGAGTATGAGGATGAGGGGAAGAATGGGGGTTGCAAGAAGGGAGAGGTATATAGAAAAGGATTGAAAAGAGAAACAGTGGTGGATAGCAAAAGAGCCTGGATTATGCTAAGAATAGGAGTCGTATGGACTGAACGTTACAAATTAGAGGAGGGCATGCGCTCCTCTTTCCTTTCTTTTTATAGCTTTTGCTCCCTTCTTCTTCCTGCTTCCCTTTCTTACACTTGCATCTATATCCTCCACCTCACCCCTTTTCTTTTTCTCTTACCCTTACTTTATGCAGCTATTTTCTTTTTCTTTTTTTTGCCCTTTTTAATCATCTCATTATTTCATGCCTTCCTTGCACATTTAATTCTCTTCCTTTCTGTTCGTAGTTGTCATCATTTATGTTTTACCCACTTGTAACGGACCCTCTACACCTAATCATTTATGCATGAATTCAAAATAAGCTCATTCATTCTTGCAATTAATTATCTTTAAAACCCATTCATATGCGTGTTCCTTGGTTAAACAGGGTTTGACTCTGTATCCTTTTATGTTTCATAGACAAAAAGATTAGATATATCCCTCTGCACGTAACCATACAAAATAACTCAAATTTCTTATGGTTAGTGAACAAAGTTGTAACAATATGTGTAGAGATTCCCTAGCTAGAAATAAATAGACTTCAAATTACATATCATGGAATGATCTTTTAACCATTTATTCCTTTGGTCCTATTTATAAGGTAGAAAGAGAATAAAAAATTTGGTCCTACTTATAAGGCATTTGTCAATTTTCAATGCTCATTTTTAAATTTTTGCTTTTGCTAGATGCTTTGAATAAAAATACTAGCAATGAAATTTAAGAATATTTATTAAAGGTAAACGTAAAAATTTGTTAAATTTTAAGACAAAAATAATGAATTTTAAGGTTTTTTTTTTTGATAAAACACGTTAGAAATAACTTATAAATAAGATTAGAAAGAGTGTATCATTATTTCCAACAATTGTATCTAGCAAATGTTCATTTTTAAATCATTTTATTGCAAACAAAAATGTGACCTTTCTGTAATTCAACAATTTTTTTTTTTTATAAACGAGACATACATTCTATATGCAGGGTCATATAGGAAACTTGTACTCCATATGTTATTATTTGTGCAATGGACGAGGTAAATATGGGTTGACCGCACTTGAATTAGAATTTGATACACCAAAGAAAGATAAATACAATGAGAGGGAAGGAAAACTTAGAAGAAAATTAAAATAAATGCATACAAATATCATTGTCGTGATATGATACTCTACTACGATGGGAAGAAAGGAAATGTTACGAAACATCAGGCTCCAACTTTTTTAGGTAGATATACAAAGAGATACGAGGTAAATGGAATGGTATGTCTATGAGCACTTAGTTTGGGCTTATTCGGTTTGACTCCAATTGCCTGTTTTAGGGAGACTAAAATTGGCTTGTGCGCGGGATAAATATAAACGGAGTATAGATAAGTATAATATAGCAAAAAAATATTATATATCCTTAAATAAAAAATACTTTCCCCTTTTTTTCTTGTGTCCTGTTTTTCTTCCATCCCTTGCATAGATGCATTTAAAACTAGCCATTGGGTAATTTCTCAATTAACTAGCCGTTATCCTCGATTTGCTTGTTATGCCAAAATCCGATCTTCCCCCGAGGCCTGCTTGACAAAAAACAGGAGTTGGAATATCTCCAATCTTGTGATCACTTTCTTGATTCTGGTATCGCAGGTTACATGGCTTGAAGCAGAAAAGCAGAGTGCGATTGAACGGCTGCATCCATACTGCTATTTATAAATGACACTAGATTCGTCCTTTTCCATTAAGCTTCCCTTTGAAAATCATATCGTCTAGTTCGTGATCTTGACTAACTGTCGCGTATTTCTTGGCAGTTGACATATAGGATCATTCCGGCGATCAGTTTGAATTATACCAGTGTCTTGACCCAAAAAAAAAAAAAAAGATAACCAGAGTACGATGAACACTTAATTCTAACTTTTAAGGTATAAGGTAGGACATATGGGCTTCTCAGAAGTATGAAAAAAGAAGCTTGGGCCATAAAATTAGAGGGAGATGCGAAAGCAGAGAGAAAAGAATCTAATCTATTTTCATTAAAAATCTCGCCATGACCTTTTGATCACCAGTCACGGGGATTCCCTATAAATAACACTGTGACGTCCAAAACTTAAAGAGAGTGAATCTCCACCACCGTCTTAGGAGATGGAGCCGCCGACCCAAGCCTACCAAGAGCCTGCACATATAAATCAAACTTGTTTTCATTTTGTTCAGACACAATTACAATCACGCCAGATTCTAAAAGCCAGCCAGCGAGCAAGTATGATGTAATTCCGAAATCATAGGCTAATCTCCCCGGGGTGGGGGGGGTCATGAAGAGGTTATATTGCAGGCCGTGGATTTGGACTTGTCCAGGATAGACCACATAACTTGAACGTCTTCATAGCCACACGCCATGACTTCACCTTGCAGATCCATGATTCTGTTATCTTGCCCTGCATAGTCACAGTGAAAAATGTGATGATCTTGGCCCACATAACAGGTTGGGATAAGGGTGGGGTGATTTTGTGCGGAATAACAAACCTGCTTGAGAATTCTTGTGATCCCTGGTGGGCTGGTTGTTAAAGAAAGTGCAGGCTTTTCTGAAGGGGGACGTGATGGTCTTCTTCCAAGAGGCCATGGCCGAATGAATGAGCTAGTACGTGGATGGCAGCACTGTTTGAAATGACGGTGAAGTGCAGGGCTTATATAGATATATATATATATATATATATAGTAGTTGGCAAGAGCATGTCAATGGAAGAGAATAAAATATTACAGGGAAGTGAGAGAGGGAGAGAAGCAAGCAAGATCCGTGAGATGAGGTTATATATAGAAGAGAGGAACATCTCTGCTTTCCGCTCGGGTTTCCTTATCAAACAAACAGTCAACCCACTGCACACAAGCACATGGCGCACGCTCTTTCACGCATCTCTTCCTTCCACGTGATTTATTTTTTATTCCCCTCCACTGATTGTATTCGTAAGAATGTTCATGGTCGTTCCGGTACACCCTCTCGCTACCCTTCTCCACCACATAATTAATATAAGTGAACCCATTCCCTTGCCGTGGTCTCGATTTTGACAAGCTGACAGGTACTGAACTGTAACATTACATTAATTCCAGGTAGACAAGCCCTCTGCTTGGCCCTGGACTGCAAGTGGGTTTGAAGTTGAGAGTGATTGCACGTAGTAGTGCAGTGATGAGATCAGGAAACCGATGGACGAACCCATTTCATGGCGGGGAGGGGTCCGTCAACTGCATCCATAGCACCCCATCATAGTTTGATTAATCTCAACACAAACTGCGACGGTGCCGTTCATTCTAATAAAATCATGGGTTGACCAAGACATTCGCTCCTATCCAAGCTAACCCGCGCGTCCCCATTCGCTTCATGTTTAATTCTTTATTCATTAATAATATAATCCCGTATTGTTACCTTCCATTAATATTTAAAGCGTGTCTGATTTAATGAGTATATATTAACGCCATGATTGTGGTTAACGGGAATGAATACATAATGGAGAGCGGAAAGAAAAAATATTGCTTTGTCTCTGGGAATCTGAAACCCCATAAACATGGCGATCTTCTGACAGTGACATATCTGTTTTTTGTATTTGTTTGATGATAAGCATCGTGAGAAGCAACCCCGATACATCTATAGACAAATTGGGTTTTGAAGGAGGTGCATGAATGGAACAGTGCATCCCCTTTGATCTCTGGTATTGAGGAGTAGTGAGCAGAGGCGTCGTTCAGTTAAAATTATATATTCCCTCTCACATGCAAAGGCGAGTGGCAGGGGAATACTGGTCAATTATTGTTCCTATTGAAACTGAAAATGAATTTGAGGGAGGTGCTTGCCTGATTGGTGGGTTCCGCATCACATGTGGCCAGACTGCAAGTTTCCACGTTTCATGTCATGGGATGGTCGGCCGCTCTTCACTCTCTCTTGTTTCACTATAAAGTACAAAGCCTCTGCTTTGCCCCATTTTTATTCCGCCTTCCTTTTTCAATTCAATCCTTTTATTCGTTCACCATGGCATCTTGGGTTTGAATATTCTGAGGCTCTCCTTCCGATTAGGATTAATGCTGCACCGCACCTCTTTTAGCCTCCTAATTTGAGCCCGTTTTAGTTTAATCCCCGTCATCAGCCTCATCTCATTTTTGGTCAATTCCATGATTCAACTTCACATAATATGTTTATTACAGGCGCAGAGGCCCTGCTTGGTTTATAACCCACACTTTCTCTTGTGCAGCTTACATTTTGGCTTTCATGATTCGCTTTCTATATAACTAAATGAACAGTTTTTTATAATCTTCAAGTTTTTTAAGAGATTGTGATTATTTTTCATTTTTAAACCCTATTAAAACATGTAAGATAAATCATAAATGAAATACGATAAAATGTATAAAAAAATAAAAAAGATTTACCCGTTATCTTAAAAAAACACGCAGATCATTTTACCAAAAAAAAAACACGCATATTTCACAGCTCATGAACGAGAAGACTCCTATAAATTTCATATTTTATGTTGATTTGAACGACCCTAATTTTTGATTTAATTTCTTAATTGAATAATCAAATACACGTTATGTATTGAAACAATACTGCCAAACAAAAAAGAGAGAATTGATGAAGACAAAATGGCGTATAGTTTTTTGGTGCAGAATGTTATGGAAAGAGGAAATTAAATAAGATTCAAAATGACACGGGGTTGGTGAATGGTGAGGATGGAGAGAAGGAGGGTTGGCGAAGTGGTACGGTTAGACTTAGATGGATCTGAAGGGCAAACATCGTACCATACCATCACGAGGATTAATACAAAAACAATCGAGAAACAAACCATTTGTTTGTCTTTTATTATGCGTTGTTTAATTGTCCATGCCTCATCTTTTTTACAACAAAGTTTATAAATGGGTCACAAGTGCAACAATCACATTGTCTTCCAAACCAGCTCAACTTGTCCCCCCACCCACGTCTCCCATAACTTTATGAGAAAAATCACGTCCAATAATCTTTTAAGAGAATTATTCATTAACAATGAGCAATATTAAATTGTTTGATGTTAAAATGACATAGTAGAGGCTAGTTCCCCCCAAATGGTGACTTCTTGTTAGTCTTTGTATGTAAACAATTCTTTTGAAAAGTCCCTGAATGCAATTCTTCTAACTTTCTTTGTTCTTACCGTGTCCCAATTTTTTTTTAATTAATGTTTCTCTATACACCTTTTACTTTTCTCTATACACCTCTTACTCATAATATAACGAAATGATAGATCTAGTTTTATTCTGTTGAAATTAACTTCACATGGGTTATAAGCGATTGGATATGTGTTTTCCAAAAATTTCATTAAAATATGTTAATACGTTATTTCATTAGTAAATTACAAAATTTTGATTTTTTTTTATAAGTTTGATGTTAGAAATGGTATTCATAATTTATAAAAGTGGTATTCGGTGCTTCTAAAACAGGGATAATGTGGAATTAACGACCAAATTGGAGCGTGTTTTGCGAGATTGGTCTCAAGTCTCAAACACACATTGCATCGCTGTAATTGCACTAATGCTAGGGTTTTTTTTTTTAAAAAAAAAGAAAAGTTTATATGATTGAATCTTGAGAATTTATTAAAATCAGGACATACGTTCAAGTTCAAAGAATATTTACAGACGTACTTATAAATTGCTCACTAATAAAGCCTTGACATTAACAAGGTTTGAATATATGACTTTTCAGGTTGTGAACTAAATCTTTATCAATTGGATAAATATTCTTCATTTATCTTTTACTCCATTCTTATATAAATTTTTTATTCTCGTATATTGCCAATTTGATTAGTAATGTCACCTCTTTTTTTAATCATATGGTACATGGCATTCATTTAGGCACTCATTCTCACCACTTATCTTGGGTTCCCTGTTTTCAAAATTCGTTACACTCAAATTTTCTCCCTACAAACCACCATAGCCCACATTCCCTTCCTCGCTCTCTTCTTTAAAACTCTCAAGCTTCTCAAACAACAAGCCTATACTTCCCCCAAGCCCATTGAATTCAAAAAACAAAAAATGAAACCAATACTTCATCTCTATCATGTCATCTTTCTCATTCAATATTTTCAAATTTTAGCTTTAAATAAAAAAATGCATGAAAAATCCTCCCAAAGATGGAATTACAAAAATGCCCCTCATGGCGAACTTCTTTTCTCCCCACGGCTAGAGTCACACCTGAGGTGTCTGCGTTGTTGAAGCAAGCTATGAGCTGCTGTACACAAGAGATCAAAGTAGAGAAAATTTGTGGGTTCCTTCACATTCACATACAACTGAGACTCATATTAATTGCGCTTCCACCTTCGTTAGTGAATATGAATATGATGTGTATATCTTGTCTTGACTTTTGACCGACTAATTAAACATGTAATAGACACTTTGCTAATAAATAATCAGGCCACCAACGGTCATGCCCTTTCAGTCTTAGGTTTAACACAGACTATACTAACATGACTTGTCTAGACTCCATCTTCCAATCTTAGTTGCAGAAACAGGTGAGGTTTGGTTTGTGGCTTTTAATTTATTTATTTTAATGTTTTGGATGCAATGTGAGCTACCCTAAGGGGTGTTAGCTCTATATGTTAAAAGAAATCATGATAGCATATTTTGATGAAACTATGCAACCCGGCAAAAACCCTACCCCACGTGTGCTCTCAATATGAAACTCATAATAATAACACCTCATTTGAGAGCTAACATATTGGCAGCTTTATTTCACAATACTTCACTTAGTTTCTTGTTGGTTAAAAGACTCTACAGGTAGTTCTTTTTATAACATCAACACTTCAGTAAAAACATCGATATCATGGGTATAAGCTTAAAGAGATAGTTTATTTCAAAAAAAATTAGCATATTAGATGGGAGAGCCTCTTAAATTTATTGATCTCATTTTGCTTATAAGGCTCCCTAATATAGGACTCAAGACACTATCTCCCTGCTAATTTAGCCTTCACCTTATCCACAATGTAGCTAAATTTATTTCTTGGTTGTCTATCTTCCAAGAAAGGGAAGCCAAGATATATGCTTGTCTCAGTAAAATTTTTTATGCTTACTAATCCCTTAATTTTACCTTTCATTTCAACAGTTACATTTTTAGAGAAAAAGAGAGAGGACTTTGAAAAGTTCACTTTTTCTCCAGAGGCAGAATAGAAATTCTTTAGGCACTTCATCATCACTAACACTTGTCCCTTCAAAGCCTTACCAAAGAGAAGTAAATTGTTTGCAAACATCAAATGCAAGATCAAAGGACCTTGTTTGGTAACATGAACTGGCTTCTATTGACCAAAATCGACAACATCATTTATAAGGTGGGAGAGCCTATCCATACATAGTACAAATAAGAAGGGAGACATTATGTCCCCCTGTCGAAGGCCTATTTAGGGAGAAAAAACCTCAAATTGGTTCCCATTTCATAAAACATTATACAAGACTGTTGAAATGCAATTCATAATTAAGGATATAAATTCAAAGCTAATGCCAACTTCAATCAAAACTTGTTTAAGAAAATCCTACCTTATGTGATCATATGCCTTTTCAGGATTAATCTTTATGGCGAAGAAACCTGGTCTTCTCTTAGTTTTCTTCATAATATGCATGATTTCTTATCTTATGATTATTTTATCTTGAATCTGTCTGCCTGGGACAAAACTAGCTTGAAAAGGGGGTATGATTGAATCCATACAGACTTTTAACTATTGATTGATGATTTTTGCAATACATTTATAGTGAACCATGCAAAGGGAGATTGGTCTAAAGTGACTCACCAAATCTGGATTATTTCTTTTAGGAATCAATGAAATGAGAGTCTTGTAAGCCTCCTCAACAAACTTATGCCTTGGAAAAATTCTGTGATGAAGTGACAGAACGAATGCCCTACAATTCCTCAATTAGATTTAAAGAAAATTGATAGGAAACCATCAAATCTTGGCACTTTATAGGGACCCATAGAGAATATTGCTTTCCTAATTTCTTCTTTCGAAGGGATGGTAGTCAAACTCTCTACAACAGTTAGGTTAATAGCAAGGAAAGAAGATTTAGTAGACAATAGGGTCACGTGAGTGCCTTCAACACTATACAGATTCTTAAAAAATAATATTTAATTTTGGCTTTAAAAAAATAAGTCCTGGCTTTTGTACAAATAATAACAATAGTTTATATTTGCGTATTTTGCATTTAATAATTTAGATACATAATTGAAATCTACAGTTCTATTTAATATAAAAAACTATATTACTTGCTTATTGAATTTGCTATTTAATTTTTTTCAATTGATATGTTCTTCATTAATGTATTTTGGAATTCTTGTTGCATTGCTTTATAAAAATCATTAGTAGTACTCCCTCGGTTTAAAAATATAAAGTATTTTTTAAGAAATTGAATGTTCAAAAATATAAATTATTTTTGATCTTTTGAGGTGTAATCATTACCTTTTTTTTTATTTATTGTAGGATGTTTAATAGGGGTGAATATGAAAAAATAAGATTAGTTTGAAAGTAAGTAATCACTTTATTGAGGGTGAGATTCGGTTAAAATGCCTTACATTTTTTAACAGAGGGAGTAATTCTTATAATTTATTTCATCAAATATAAAATGAAACCAAAATCAAATGATATCGATGTTTTAAGAGCACCTATAATGTTATCTTGTTAAAAATAAGTAGATTATATGTCAACTATATCTTCAAACTACCGCAACAATTGAATGATATATGTAAAATGATTATTATAGAATTGACATGAGAATTCTATCTAGTGTCTCAAGGCTTCTATGATGGTCCAACTTAATGAGTCAAAAATATATAACCCTTACATTCTACTAAGAAAAAATTAAAAAATTAGGAGGGCCATGGCTCTTATTGATCTCTCTGTCTTCACCCCTAATAGGGGGTATATTTTTGAAGTGATGAGGGGAGAGTCTATGGAAAACTTGAGGGCTTGGGTTTGGAAATCAGAGAAGGCGGGGATAGTCCGTGAAAAACTTGAGGTCTACTTATCTCTTTGCATTGATGGAGTTCATTTATAGAGAGGGAGGGAGGGAGGCGAGATCAGAGGGAAATGTAAGGATTTTTTTTTCTTTCATGATTTCAACCATAGGCAATTTAGTAAACTGACACAATTCTTAAATTATAGAAAAGAAATTAGGGGCTATAGATATATTTCGACATTTGGTGGGACTTTAAAATAATAAGAATGGTTATGAGAGATTTAGCATTGAGCTTCTCTAAATAAATTGGCCCATTTGATCAAGCCCAACTTAATAATTATAACTATAGCCTCATCCATGTTTAATCAAAATCCCATACGAATAAGTACACCACCTTGTTGTTTAGTCTTTGTAAACTATTAAGGGCAGGGGCGGAATTACATTGATCATGAGCCACACCCTTCCATAATTATATAAAGTTAAAATTTCAACTATTTAAAAAAAAAAACACCAGCACTTCGTTTTTATTTGATTCATCAGTCACGCTTGCGTATATAAATAAATAAATAATATTTATACTTCTTATAAAATATGCCTATTATATATAATATACTTATTATATATATGATAGATATTGTATATTATAAAATATATAATTTATTAATTTATTAAATATTTCTATCGATTAACATTAATTTTGAATTGATAAAAAAAATGACGCATGATGTTTATATGTACATATTAGTATCTTTTTTCTTTAGCCTGATAAATTAAATCATTTGAAATTATGCATCATTTTTAAGATTTTCCTATGTATAGCCAAATTTTTATTTTAAAAATTATATCGATTAATAATATTTATTAAGAGATGGTTAAAAGGTAAAAGTGGTGTAACATTCTAAATCTCCCGTTCAAATTCTAAGCCACCAACGAAATGCTAAACAAGGGAGGATATTCAGTTGGGAAGAATAAATACAAGGGGAGAAAACAAATACCAAAATGTAAGAAGAAAGAATGAATCCGTAGATGAAAGAGCAGGCTATTCATGCGCTGCAGCTCCATCCCTGCCAAAACTATTGCCAACGAGTATGGCACCCTATTTTGTTTCTCCCTGTAGGCCCGACTTTCTCTGCGAATCGTCGTCCATTGAATATTTTGTTATATTGCATGTGCATGAATTACTTAATCTTACACGCACACTTGCCGTTTTAGAAGGGTCCATAATTGAAGGCCCAGCCCACACTTGATTACTGATGCCGGATGTTGAGAGCCCCAGCCGTGATTGGACGTGAAGGACTTGAGGGAAGCCCTCCGCTGCACCTGATGGTAAATCTGGACCATCCAAAATTATTTAGATGGTACATATTTAATTTTTTTATCTTATTTTATCAAAATAAAAATAATATAAACTATATGATACATTTTTTTATCAGTTTAGACAGTTTAAATTTAATATATATGATCCAAACATGTTTAATATTATAGCTGCACTATCCAAAATATCCCTTAACAGTTAATTTATAAAAATTAAATTTTTTTTAATATTATAGCTGCACTGTTCAAAATATATCTAGACTTGGCTTTTCTCTTAAGGAAGAAGCTAAGTCCAGACGTGAAGGGAAATGAAGGATGTAATCTAAAATGAAATGGGGAACTCGATTTCAAAATGCAATCTCTCCCTGTCAGTGCCAGGCCGGGACAATACGAATCATTTGAAGTTCAAAGTCTGGGTGTAGTGACTGACTTGTGCCCCTTTCTCACCATAAAAAATGTCTTGATCCTCCACGTCCATTTCAATCACCTTTGTCTTACCCCCCCCCCCCCCTTCCTTTTCTTTCGTTTTTTTTTTTTTTTTTGCCCTACTCGTCCCAACATATATCAGCCTTTCATTCCCAGCCCATGTACACCACTCCTACTGCTCCTTCCGTCAGACGTTTTTATGGTCACTTTATTTTCGCTTTTGCAAGCAACATTGCTATTTCTGACTCTTCAAATTCCAAATTACCCCATTGCCTTCCCGCCTTTCATATTTGATAAAGAAACACTCACCCTTCACAATTATAAAAATAATTAGTGTTCATAAAAAATAATTAGGTGTGGTGTCATGAGGCATGCTAGAGATATGAGATCTCAAAAGAATGAAAAAATCTGACTTCTATTCAAACATGAGAAACTTAAACTCTCTTATCATGGTTCACCCGGATGTGAAAATAAGAAGTAAATAAAATTAATGTAAATGTAGGGAAGCAGAGATATATTAATTAAAAAATGAGGTGGGATGCTATGCTGACCGTACAAAAAAATAAAAACTAAAACTACATGATAAAAGGAATACCAAAATAAAGTAACAGACATAGAGCTTGAGATTGGTAGTTTGTTGATACTCATGATGATTATTGAGAGAGAACTCTTATATTTATAGATGATTCTGACTTGGTGTTCAACCCCATGATCGTTACTTTTTTTAAATTTAGGAAGTACTTCCTCCATCGTGGTCACTTATGACAATGGTGTTGATTTAATGGCTAAAATTTCATGAATATTCCTTTTTTATAATTATTTTAATTTAAAGTTAATTAAGTTGAGTTGGGTTAGACTTTTAAATTCACAATTTAAATGTAAATAATTAATAAATTAATATTTGAAGCGAACCCTCACCTTTACGTTGCAAATTAAATTGACTTGTTTGGGGACTTCAGATAAGATTAAAAAAAATAATGTTTTTCCTACTCAAAAAGTCAATGTAACAAAAGATCCAAATAAAAATTTCATCAAAGGGCGCATCCAGTCACAGATCATGGGCTTTTTTGATTGACGATTTTGGCAATTCCGGGACCAAAAAAAAAAAAAAACCAACTTGCTTCACACCTTTCCCTCAAGATTTGTCCCGGGTTCTCATCTCCGGAGCTACCAAACATCAGCATGTGCTGTTCCGTTATCGCATCCCGTACGATTCACATGCTTGTTCTTTTGTTATTTATTTCCCTGTCCTTCACCGCGTCCTCTCTTCTTCCTTGCCTTTTTTGTTGCCTTTTAGCTTCATCGAAACACCTTGTCAAGTTCCGTCTAACCTGTCCCCACCCCCCCCCCCCCAAAAAAAAAAAGAACAATCGCTCTTCCTTTTGTCATTCACGCCGACGCATTCATGGAGGAAGCTAACGGTACCTGCCTTTCATCTCAGTTTCACTTTCTACAATTTCATTCACATCTCTTCCTCAATTCACGCGTCTGTTCTGATTGTGTTTTCTCTTTCTTCTGGTATACTCTCGATCCAGTTTTCTGATTTTAAGTATGGGTCAATTAAGTGATTATGATATCTTCTTTTCTGCCCTTTTACTTGCTTTACATTATAGGAAATTCAAAAAGACCTGCCCTTGATCACTCACAGAGCTTGATGCTTTTGTAACTGTGATGTATCATATGCCTGCGATGCGTATTTTCTCATTCTCTTTCCATTTTGATTGCCATGCTCTTTCTAATTCTATTCCTTTGTACTTTTGCTTAGATTGTATTTACAATCTTCGAGAACCTGTTTAGGGAGTAATAAAGTATTTGAATTTACCACCACGCGCAGAATGTGATGGGCTGATTCTGATTTTATTGATCCTTGAAATTCCCGCCCCATTGAATTACTAATTCTGGAGAAGTCGGTTTCCTATTTGGTTTGTTGAACTCGTTCCTTTTCCTTTTCCTTCTTTATTATGGCAGTTGTCGAAACTAAGGATGGAACTGTATCGGTAGCTTCTGCATTTCCTGGCCACCAGGAAGGTAAAGCTAACTTATTCATGCATTACACTGTTTTAACCTGTTCTGACTGTTACGACGATTCCATTTTAGCCTGAATATTTCATGTTGCTCGCTCCGTATTGTTCTAAAATCTTAATACCTCTATTTTGCTGTTGTATTTTGCTTCGTTAGCTGTACAGGATAGGGACCACACATTTTTAAGAAAAGCAGTTGAAGAAGCATATAAAGGTGTAGAATGTGGAGATGGGGGCCCGTTTGGTGCTGTCATAGTTCGTAATGGTGAAGTAGTTGTTAGTTGTCACAACATGGTACTGAGACACACAGACCCAACTGCTCATGCAGAGGTGACTGCTATAAGAGAGGTTAGATCATAAATAGCCAAAAGTGTTGGTTGTATGACATAATGCTTTCTTTTCTTTTAATTTTTACTTGTCTCAGAATTGTGCTGTTCTGATTAAAGTCAGAAATTGCATGCATGATTTGGCATGATTGAAGGAATTCTATTTGAATTGATGGTGATATTCCAACTCATGTTTGGAGCTTGACAGTGCAACACTTTGATATATCATATAACTTTCTTTTTTTTTTTTGTTCCTTTTTCATTTCGTTCCATTTTAAGGTATTTCAAAATAATATGCAGTTGTTCAATGCTACAACTTATTTCAATTTTTGTTGCATAAGTTTTGAAAGATAGCAGACAAAAATTTAGGTAACCTCTATTGATCTAGTTTGTTGGTGGCAAATTTGAAGCCTTCTTTTAAGATTCTTCTTATAGTGGGCAATTCTCGCCTTGTAGTGCTCTCTAGCCTGTGATGGATGGGGTGCAAAATAATGAATTAGGTTTTGATGGTGGTAGAAGATTGATATTTGAAACTTTTAATCGCTTAGTATTAGTTATTTTTCAACCGGCATATGTTTGAACTTTTGCTTGAGTGGCTGCAATTCTGTTATTTTTCTTTTTTGAGTACATTATTACAGATGCTGCTGAAAGGTCTAACAGTTAAGTGCCGTAAGACTTTGCTTCAAGGCTGTATCTGTTGAATGATGTTCATGGTGATTCAGATTATTTTTTTAATATTTTAATGAAACAAGAATTATCAGAAAGGAAAGAAAATGCAATGATAGTATTAGAGTCAGAAGACATTTTTCAAGAACATCAGTGAGAACAGTAGAAGGATTAGAAGTCCTGAAAATTTATTCTGCCAAAATTCGTATGCCTGGCTTTCCTTAGGTACCTAGTAGGAAGTTCATTATGTGAAAAAATGTGATGCTTTTAGAGCAAACCGAATCTTCATCTGCTCTTAAGTTTCCCGAGTACCAATAATTGATTGTATTATTCTATGCCTATGTCCTATCTTGATGCGTTACAGGCTTGTAAGAAGCTTAAGCGGATGGAACTTTCAGAGTGTGAAATATATGCTTCTTGCGAACCTTGCCCCATGTGCTTCGGTGCTATCCATCTTTCACGAATCAAGGTTGGAATAACCTCCTTGTCTTATACTTGTCAAGTCTGTGTTGTTTTGGATCTTGTGATAGAAATGTTAATTTTGTGGAACAGAGGCTAGTTTATGGAGCAAAGGCTGAGGCTGCCATTGCTATTGGATTCGACGATTTCATTGCCGATGCGTTACGGGGTACTGGATTTTATCAGAAAGCTCAGTTGGAGATTAAAAGAGCTGACGGGAACGTGGCCATCATTGCAGAAGAAGTTTTCGAGAAAACAAAGGAAAAATTTAGATTGTACTAAATCTCACACTTTCCTCCAACAGCATTATTTTACCCTCGCAGTAACTGTGTTTGTCCACGGCTGTTTTCATCTCAATTATTGAAAATGATAATAACATTTGACTTGTGCAAGTTGTATTATGCTGCAGTAAGGATTGCTTCGTCTGGTTAATGCAAACTGCAAAGTATGGGCGTCATCCATCTCTTGATATGCTAGTCCCCATGCACTACGTTATTTTAATAATTGATGATTATGGTATTTCTGAAGGTTTTATCTCCCCATCTACATTTCATTGTGAGAGCAGTATTCAAAAGACGTTCGTTTGAAGAGTGCTTTCATTTTGTGTGAGAGAGAGAGAGAGAGAGAGAGAGAGAGAGAGAGAGAGAGGTGGTATCAGGAAATGCTAGTCCTCATTAAATGATAAAGATGAACAAACACGGTGGTGACGGTAAAGATCATTATGAGTGAAAATTTACTCATTCATCAACAAGAAGCACCGTCCATTAAATATGATTGATCACATGGATTGTATCGTGTCATTATGCTGTATGAACAAAACTTGATCATGTTTGAAAATTGTGTGTGATTATGTTAGCAATTTCTTCATTTGAGTTTTGGTTGTATGCAAGTGAAGTGGCAGGGAAAACGTAGGGCCTAAAAGGTAAAGGGGTGGTTGTGAATTGAAACTGGAAACGAGCGGACCCATCCATATAGTTAGCTTTCTAACTTTCGTACGCCGGCATCTCCGTCTGTAACTGATGCCTTGAAACGTCATGGAATGCAGCCAGATCTATACCTTTCCCCATATATCTGAAACACATGCCTGAGCTGTAGATGATTCGGTCAAGTCAAAAGCAATGGTGAAAGCTAACCCAAACAAAACAAGTCAACAATCCAACCCAAAACAAGGCACCAATCAAGTCCTTTGCTTTCCTTGTTTTGGTGAAAAACAGGAGGGCGCGTGAAGTGCTGCTTGGCGCCGATTTCCTTTACTGCGCTACCACTTTTGTCCTTTCTTCTTTCAACCTCTTTGCGCCCATTGCCTGTTTTCTTTTCAGTTTCTGATTAACCAAACAGGCCTGTTACTTATTTTTCAAACCTAGCATGCACAGCCCCTCCTTTTCCATACACTTGAGTAGTTTTATTTACAAGTTATTTTTAACATATTTTGACAGTATTAAAAAAATTGAAATTTTATTAACTCTTTCAAAAAAAATTTAATTTTTGACTTTATCCTTATTAAATATATAATTTTAATATTATATTTTTAAAAATATTTAATAAAAGAGGAAAAAAAGTTTGTGATAAAAATTTTATGATATGGCTTATGAATGAAATAAAAATACTGATTCTTTTCTCTCTCCTGTAAATAAGATCCGACGGAGTATTATTTCTAACCAATCCCTTCGTTTCGTTTGTTTGGTTTCATTCAAAGTCAAACTCTTCCAGAGGTGAAGTACACGCGCAGCAATTAAAATTCCAACACCTCTGCCCCCACGTCATCTCATGTGTTATCCCGAGTTTGATTAGTGAACTTAAATCCCACGCATCGTTCCCGAATTTGAATGCTAACTTGGATTTATTTTAAAGGCTCGTGGAATTTTATAGGAAATTCTAATAGCAGGGCTAGTTAATATCGCAAGGTTTGAACATGTCGTCTCGAGGAAGTTTCGAGGTTCCTGCTTGTTCCATATTATCATGTAAAGGAACAACTGGGAGTCAATTCATGAAGCTTAAAATAATGATGACGACGTTCTGGGATCGGTACTTTGTCTATTTTTGACTCTTCGTCAAAGCTCCTCGGCAGAGAAAAATATCAAGATTTTTCTTTATTAAATATTTTCGCTGACTACAGCAAAACTAACCCCCATGCCAGCGAAAATTTTCCTTTGACTGAGGTTAGGGTATCTTGTATTTAATTGGACAATCAAAAAGACCGTGTTAACTGCTTAAAATGAACAGCTCACGATTCAATATTGAAGAATGTAGTGTAGTGTCAAGGCAAGCTGGAGTTGGTGAAACATTGATGGTAAGGCCTAAAGGCCTTAGCCCAAATGAAGGGGAACCCAATGCCCCCTCAATCTCTGATAGGCACGATGATGATTCCCATCGTTGACCTCTCTCATCAGAAACGGTTGGTTGCTTGCAAGCGGTCCGTCATATAAATGAGCAACCTCATCCAATGAATGCTCAACATTTTAATTGTGGACAACATCCTCTTTTTGATTTAATTACAACCAATACTGTTATCTTTGATGTGCATTGTATGTTTGCGCATCACTTCAACCTCTTTCTCTCTCTCTCTCTCTCTCTCTTTTTTTTTTGTGCGCGCAGCGGGTAACTTCTTATCAAAATAATAACTTTTATATATATATATATATATATATACACACTAATACACACACATACATGTATATATCTTATTTATAAATTATTAAAAACTTTAAAATTTATTAATTTAATTTTAAAATTTCATAAATTTTTAATTTTATCCCTATTAAATATATATATTTTAACAATATATTTTTTGCTTTAAATTTAATGGAATATAAAAAAAATCATAATAAAAATTTATCAACGTAACTAATAAATAGAAAAAAAAATTTCCCTCCACCCTCTAAATAGAAAAGAGTATATATTTTTTCTTTCCTTTAGCACTACATGGAGGGATTCTAATATATTCCCCCCAATTTTATTTATAAATCACATTTTAAAAAATTCATTTAGTCTCATTTATAAGTCATGATATGATTTTTTAAATAATATTTAAAATATATTTTAAAAACTATTCTTTATGAAAAGAAAAAAAATAACATAACATTATTTTTTAAATTTATTATATAGGGATATATTTAGAATTATTTACTCTTTTTTTCTTGTACTTTTTATGTATTAGTGTTGATAAATTTAATATAAATAACTTATAAAGAGAATGGGAGGAGAAGAGTAGTACTGCTTAATTAATAAATTAACAAGACTTCGTTAACCTTGCGGAAAAGACTACTATCCAGAAAGCCAGGCAAGACTTAACGAGACTAGACTAATTAATGTCGTGGACAAGCATCTCAATTAGCAGATCTCATCAAGCTGCACCATCCATTATATAACTGCTCGAAAGTTGTACTGCCATCTGACCGGTGCATACAAATGGAAGCGAAAGTTGCAGTAAAAGGATTGGTGGAAGCTGATGAAAAGCCACCGCACACATGTGATAATGATATTACAGATGCAGCATCACACGAGAATCATACTGTAAGTTTCCTTGCTGCGCTTCAGTTTTCTAAAACTTTAATATCTACTTTTACGCTTTTAACATTGTTTAATTATATTGAGGAGCAGTTGGGATCCACTCTTCTCCGTTTGAGTCTGAATAACCCGGAAGCACGGTCTCACAAAATTGAAGAGCATCCCGCAGCCCAAGTGAGTGGTCTTTGACGAGTTAATCCTTGCTACACAGTAATCATCAAGAATCTGTAATTCTAGTGATTGTTTTTTTATTGGATTTCACATGATGTACGAGTTGTATTTGGGTATATGCCTTTTAGCTGGGCCTGCTGCGGAACAAGATAGAGGAAATGAAGAAAGAGAATCAGAATCTAAAAGCTATGCTGTGTCAGATCACTCAACATTACGCTGCTCTTCAGAATCGCCTGGTTTTGACGATGCATCAGCAGCAGCAAGAACAATCGCCTCTGAAGGCTCATAATTTGCAGGTGAGTTTGACTCCACCTTTTTTTAATCTGAAAATTTTGATGCACGTCTATCATATTCAATTTGCTATTGGTAGAGGTACATAACCATCAAAGGCTGTGATATTTTTCCTCTTCCCTTTTTAAAATTCTAGCTTCCACGATGGGTGTTAAATCTTCAGGAGCTAAAAATGAAATTAATGTCTGGAAACATGGATGGAGTTTTCTCAGAATTGAGTGGAGAGAATTCACTCCAATATTAATCAAGATTCAGATAGTTGTCTGTCTCCTTACACGCACACTCACACACACTAGAAGAGCCAAAATGAAAATTGCAATGGAGAGAAAAAATTAACGACAGGCAAAATAACGATTTTCCTAACATTGTAACAAGCTTCTGTGACGATCAATATTTTTCTTTGGTTGTGAAATCAACTGGCCATCGTGGTTTCCTCTTAAAAGGTTGGCCGACTCTACAGTCTTTTTCGTGAAATACTGATTCTGCTTGATCATCAATCTAAGTATGCAATATTGGGAAATCATTGGTGGTTGATTAAACTTAAATGCGTGAGTTTGAACCTAAAGTTCACAATACTTGGCTTCATTTGCATAGAAAGAAGATAAAGGAGATGACGAGGAGAAAGCAGCGTTGCCCATCCAGCAGTTCTTGGATATCCTTGAGCCTTCGCCTTCAGAAAGCAACAAATCAGAAGGATTTGTTTCTCCCCGGAACAGCATCATGTGCAGCAAACCTGCAAGTGAAGCCAACAACAATAATGCGAAAAACATAGAGGATGATCAAGCATCTGATCAGGCAAATTCTTGCAGAAAAGTTAGAGTGTCCATAAGGACACGTTCGGATATTTCTTTGGTATGAATTAATCATAACCCATCATTTCATGCATTTAAGAACCAAATATAGGCGCTGACTTTCTTAATGTCGCGTGTTTAGATTGGTGATGGGTGTCAATGGAGAAAGTATGGACAAAAGATAGCCAAGGGAAACCCGTGTCCTCGGGCTTACTATCGTTGCAACATGGGAACCGGGTGTCCAGTTCGTAAGCAGGTTTGTGCTGTACCGGCGTCACTTGACTGTTTTTAAATTTCTTGTATTATTACTCAGAATCATTCAATATCTCTAACTACTACCACTAGATATATATATATATATATATATATTTGATGATAGAGGATGGAATCCAACTTTGGTTCTATTCTTTTCTTTTATCATATGAAGAGGAAGGAAAGAGTTTAAGATGACGAACGTGACTTAAATATGACAGGTGCAAAGGTGTGCTAAGGATAAGAGCATTGTGATTACAACCTATGAAGGGAAGCATAATCATGCACTAGCTGCATCAGCCGCACCCATGGCAGCGGCAACATCAGCAGCATTGAACATGTTCCTCTCTAGCTCAACCATCAGTGCACATGGCAGCACGCAATCAAACTCCGGTCTCTTCTCTTCTGTACTCTCTTCTTCTGCCTTGCCTGCCTTTGCTTCCTTGTCCACAACATCATCATGTCCTACCATAACCCTGGACTTAACCCACCCCTCCTCCAATCAATATTTGCAATTCCAAATGTCTGCCTCATCAAGCCACTCCCATCACCCATTTCCTTTTGCGTTGGATGGTTATGACACCCCACAATCTCAGTGCTCATCCTTGTCAAACGTGTCCTTGGTAGATGTCGTCAGTGCGGCTTTGGTTAAAGATCCTTCATTCAAGGCGGCTTTAGCTGCGTCCATTTCTTCATTTGCCGGAGCCACTTCCTTACAGCGTTGATAAGCACAGCAGCGACCAACGTATCAAGAGTGAGCATGATTCCTCTTGTATGATACCAAATAAATTAAAAGGAATGTGCGCCTTGCCTGCTTGCTGGAGGGATTAACGTGTTTGCATAAAAGAATGCTCTTAAAGGTCAGTTTTAGTGGAGATACATGCCTCTTCCATTCGAGGAAAAAATCGATCTTAACAAAGGTTCATTTTTGTTGTCTGTAATAGAGTTTACAAGAAAAGTTTAGGTTTTAGGACCACGCCATACACGGCCTCAATGTCACATGAAATACGTTGTGAATGAATATTGAAGGCAATCAGCAGGAACGGCTTTATAAAGTTACCAAGCAGTTCTTCCCTCTCTCCCTCGTTTACTTCCAGTCATCGTTCACAGGGAAAGACCCAGTTTCAAGAAACATGTCAGGTAATGTCGAGTGAGAGTTGAAGGGAAATTGTGCTTGGATTTGGAATTTATCGTCATCTACAGGGCACTGGGGATTAAATCACACGAGATTAGTTTCAAGAATCTCACAACACGACGGCTTCGTGCTTTCGTTTCTTTAAGGTATTCTGGTCTATTTCTTCCTCAATGGTCCCCAGCCATCTCTCTTTGCCTTGTGTAGCAAGGGAAATTTGAATGATTGGCTAGTTAAGAATCGAAACATCATAGAAATAATTCACAAGACAAAGCGGGCACCATTTACAAGGAGATTTATTTATTATTTGCCGTAAATTAAGTGAATCTCTTCTCTGCTTCTACTTTGCAAGCAATTTGGATTCGTAATGACACCAACCAACGTGGGCCGGGACTACGCAGATTTTGCAAATCCTATACGAAGATTACCATAGTCAAAGACAGAGTGATATGCTGCCAAGAATATATCTCCTAGCACCCTGCAAACACGTGCCACTATCTCAAGATACGATTCAGAGAATTATTAGGAAAAATAGTAATAAGCACGCAAACATGTGTTACCATAGGGGACCTTGTGGAGGAGGCACATCTAGAGCAGCAAAACCCACATAGCACACGGCAGAGTGCCCTTGTGCAACTCTTAAAATATACTGTCGATACAAAGGGAGCATCCAAGTTTGTAAAGTGTCCAGAAACAAATAATAAGATGGTTCTTCTTTTTTTGACCTTAAATGGGATCCTCTGAGCTCTCACACACAAAGTCTAACTTGCCTGTTCTGGGGAGAGAGAGAAGGGCTTGTTTCCAATGGTGAATGTCACGGATGGCATTGCTGCAACATCATTGCAGTTTATAAATGATTGTCCCCCCGGATTGGGGAGCTTCTCACACAGCTTGATCAAAAAAATAAATAAAAACAAATGATAGCATTAGTAATTTAATGCACAAGATGTATCCGTATCCCCAGAGTAAACAAAAATAAATAAAGAAACAAGTTGTTCTTAAAACAAGTACCTCATCTACATACTCAAATATTCTTTCCTTCACATTCTTTTCCTTAAGCTGAACTTGGATCCAAAACACGATCATCTCACAGAAAGTACAAAGCGGCTTCTCCCTCCTCGATCCACCTAAACTTTCATCATGCACTACTGTTTCAATAACATTGCTGCAAGTCAGAGATGGACTTTTGTTAGCGTAACTGGAACAAGGCAATGAGTCTTAAGAAAACTCATGCGAAATAGAGGGGGGCTGATTGGAGAAAGAGAAAATATCGTACTCCACTATATGAGATTTATTGTGTGAACAGAGTCCTATTTCAACACATATAAATTCAGGTTGTAACTGCAGATATGATAAGAGTGGTTAGGATTCCAATATATTGTGGACGATCATTGGAAATAAGAAGGGGAAAGGAAGAAGACGACAGACCCCAGCGGTTAAGAATTCCCATAGCATATTCCCATAGTTATGGATCACATTTTTACATTCAAAACTGACATATCCTGATGCTCCAATGGCATGGTTGATTTGAGTCACAACAGCCTGCAAGAACGAGCTCAATAGAAAATATTAATATCATCAAAGGAAAGGGAACTAGAATAAATCAATATTGAGATGATACCATTGGACCGGAGATTAAGGATATCCCTGAGTCCACAATGGCAGCACAACCACCCTGGCATAACCCTGTCAATTGTAAACATGAAAATTAACAGGTGATGTAAACCTATGATAATGGAAAACGTGACCTAAGTACCAAGAATCGCAATGGTGCACGCTGGCGGCTGACAATAATACCATAAAAATGAGACGAGAGCACAAGATGAGACAAAAATAAACAGCATATAGTAGATATGTAAAAAGAACCTGTTGAAATTTTCCCAACAAGAATATCTCCCACATCAATCTGGAAATGAATACACCAAACAGTAATATTGCCATGGCATATGACAAGAGTAGCTAATAAAGAGGCAAAAGAAGTTGTAAACTTTGAATAGAACAGACCTGCCAGTAACCCATTTTGGTAATCGGTACGTAAGTATGGTCACCCCTAAAGTGCCTCCAGTCAACACCACCAAAGACAATCTCACCCCCTATCTTTGACATTGAGTCTTTATTCAGCCAAAGGGAGAAAAGTGGTTGACTTAATCGCCCTTGTTTGATCATATTATACCTGTAATCAGTAATTACAGTGGTTCTTCTTCATTTTTTACCATCTAAGATAAATTAATCACCCACTATATAAGAGAGAGTATAGTAAGATGAATAAGAAAGGAGAAAGTGGATTGATAAAATTTGGGTGATGTGCAAACTTGTACCACACTGGTGTGGCATGTCCAACCGCAATATCCTTAAATCCAAGCCCAAGTATCCCATCAAACTGGTGAGCCAAAAATGCCAAATTTCCTTCCTTTGTTATCTCAACAAATTCCTGGAGGATAGGATGTAACTAGCCATCAGTGCAGCCAAAGAAGAAACGTATTTGAAGCATGTAAAACTGAATCAATCATAACTCATACTTCCCAGACCTTAAATCATTTTTTTTTTAAAAAAAAAGGGTCCAAATGCTGACCTGATGTTTGACGGTGATATCCCCAACTCTAACTCTATCTTGGCTGAAGAAGCCCAAAATTGATCCACGGCCATAAGGAATTTTGCAAGGTGTTCCTGGATATTTGCGAACAGAAATTTTAAGTATGACCATAATTACTAAAATAACACTAAAACTAAACCAGTTCCCAAAAAAAAAAAAAAAAAGAGGTCAATATTACTGCCACGGTGATCCAAATTTACCAATTTTGGTGTAAGTTTTAGATAGTCGCGCCCTATACTTGGAATGAAAATAGCAGGCAATCTGCATGTAGTCATGTTATGTTTTAAAAAATAGGATCACTCAACAAATGAAGGGAGCATCAATTAAAATGGAAGATGCATAACTTACAGAGAAGATGCATTTAGAAGATGGGACCCAAAGATTAGAGCTTCCAGTGTCAAACACAACATTGAAGCTTTGTGGAGGAGAACCGATACTAATTTCCCCAAAGTATTGAGCACCGAGATAATTTTTGAGATACACTACAGCTGCTTTTTCTAAATTATTATTCTTATGGGAGCTCCCAAGAGTTCTGGGATGAACAGCCTCCTGGATTCTTGCAGCACGAAGACTGTTAATGTCTAAACTCCTCCTTTTCAGACTAATCCTCAGCAGACCATCATTAACAGTTGTAAAAGCCAACGATCCAGACCAATTCCACAGACATATCAACACCAGAATATATTTGATACACATGGTTACAAGTCATCTGGTTCAGTATGTTAAAGGTAGTTTCAGCAGTAACAACAAATCTACCAAACTATTAATATTATAAGCCCCCCGTGCATCGAAAGGGGGAGGTGAAGCTAGTAATCAGTGTGATAGAGTTAGAAGTGAAAACTTGAAAGTTAATACCTGAGGGTCCTCAAGGTAAGAAGCAGAGCAACTGAGACACAAAGATTGTAGCACATGGGAGATAACTTGCCTTCGGTATATAAATTTGCATGGAAAAGCACGGACCAAGTCCCTTCCACGACACGGCTAATTCAATACACCATGAACAATTTATCCTTCCCACTTTCAAGATCAAAGCCTTACATGCTTCTTTTTTTTCTTTTGATGAAGCAAACGAACAAATAATACTTTCTAGGAAAGCACTGGGTAATTTCGTGGAGGATGATGCAGCTTAAGGGTACGGCAACGGAAGGGGCTTCATCAATTAGAAGTACACAAGGAGTCTGTGTGTGCCTGGAGAGTAACTGAGCATGCAATTCACTGAACCAATTCACAAGAAGGTTCCGACTTGATTATTTCTTGTCCCGATCAAACTTGCTTGACTTCATTGACCAATCCTATCCGTCGAGTGCTGGGGTTGTATTTCTTCCATGCGTATAAAACTAGTGTGGACTATCAGTTGTTTGGATAATCGTTTGTTCTCACTTCTCCGTCTCACCAAAAAATATCAAAATATTTATATTTAACGAAATCTATTTTTACAAAATAGTTATATATATATATATAATTTTTTACTACCTAATTAAAGATATAATTTTTTTTTTGCCAGAAGAAAGTTAATTATATAATTGGCAGAAAGCTATTTGGCTTAAAAAATGGTGGCCTTTTTTTATTTTGGAGTCCCGTACTAGGCATGTAAGATTGTAAGTAACGCTAGTTTAATTAGGAAAGATACTTTATTAATGAATAATAATAATAAATATATTTTTTATATTTTATGTTAATAGAATAAAAATATGCATATTAAATATATTACTTTGTTCTATTAAGATGGCTTTTTAAAGTATTGACTTACATCAATACCACATTTTTGTCACCTAAGATAACCCTAAGTTACTGGTGTTAAATTTTTACCAAAACTTCCTTATTACATGTCTTGGGTAATGCAGTTTATTTTTTTAAGTTTTATGTGATACATTGGCTCACATGGATATCTATAAAATGCAATTTTATTTATAGAAATTAGGTTGAAACATCAGTAGATAAAAATATTATGTTTATTGGATCAAAAGCAAGATTTTTAATGCATGATTCAATGCATTTAATATTAAGGATACTCTATAGTTTAGAAATGTTCAATAACATCAAAGTCGCTGTATGTTTTGGGTCGTCCACATCCGTTGGATTCACACGAAGTAGTCAATTTGCCATTTGCCATGCAAAGTAATATTGTAGAGGGCGGCGTCTGCCTCTTCTTCAACGACCGAAATATTAGTATCTTTATTCTTTGGCGCATTATAGTAACTGATGCGCAAATACGACGTCGTAACATAGAACCCATCTGTTTTTTGACTTTTGGGCCTCCACGAGCCCCACTTGTTCGCACCGCTTGGGTCGGGCATGTTACGTATATCAGGGAGGACGACGACGACGACGACGACGACGACGGAGAAGAAAAAGTTCGATTACCTGCTTTTTTTGTTTCACTCTGGCTTCTAGGTCAGTATCTTCATCATGCGTCGTTGTGCTTAACTTGATAAGCTTCTTTCTCTTTTCTATTGACCATAAAATTTGCTCTACATTAGGGCTTTTCTGCCCTTTGCCGAATTTCATCTGTCTTTCCTCACAGAAGGCTTGCCTTCCATCCAGATTGCACATCTATTCTGCGCTTTTCGGTAAATAATAAAAATTATTCTTTTTTTCTAATGTCTAGCATAAACTATGATACCGGTTAATTTAACCTCTCAAGGCCTTTCGTGACGCTGGATGACAGAGGTTTACAATTTAGATTGCATTCTTCTTGTCTTGATTTTTTCCCTTTAATTATTTTCCATAGAAAGTTCGGAGTGCTCAATGCAGACCCCTCCACTGCTTGTCTCCTTTGAAATTGAGGTCTGATAAGTGAGAACCACGCTTACCTTACCAATACTTTTTTTTTTTTTTTGGGTAAAGATAAACTGCTAGGCTATGGCTACAAGGAAAACTATAGCTATATGTCAGTCGGGAGGTGAGTTTGTAACGAGTAAAGATGGATCACTGGCATACCAGGGGGGCGAGGCCTATGCAACAGACATTGATCTGCAGACAAAGTTGAGTGATTTAAAATCGGAAGTGGCAGAAATGTTCGGTAAGACAGATCCAATGATCATCAAATACCTCCTTCCGAGCAATAAGAAAACTCTCATCACGATAGCGAAAGACAAGGACTTGCAACGCATGATCAATTATCTTGGCGATGCTGCCACAGTTGATTTGTTCATTATCTATGAGGAAGGAGCAGCCCAAAATACATCTATTGTGCCCAAGAGTAGGTAGTTATTTCGCACCTTTTGCCCATCATTTGTGGACTGTCCTGAATTCCTCTTTACTTTGATCTGTAACATAGAAAACACACTTGGCGTATGAGGTTTGAGAGCTTGACTTGTAATTTTTGCTTTAATTTTTCCTTGGTTTTACAATTGGAGAATATGCATATCTGTAGCCTGCATTGTTGTGATACTGTGTTTATGATCAAAATGAATGGCTATTGGATATACTAGAGTCATAAACATCGCAGGTTCGCTTCAATAATAATCTTATAGTACCTTTTTTCACTGTAGGTCAAGCAAGAAAACTGTGTCAGAAGCCCCAGCTGGTCCCCTTGTTGATGTTCCTGTAGATGCTGTCCATCCCACAAATCGACTTGACGTTTCTGTAGCTGCTAGAAAACGTGTGCCCTATGTTCTTACTGGAACGGATGATGAGAAGCTTCGTAAAGCTGCCCAACAGTGGCAAAATATCATCACTGGTGTCAACCAAAGGTTCCGTAGTTTAAGTGAATTCCGAGAAGCATTGCATAAATACTCTATTGCTCATGGTTTTGCTTACAAATGCAAAAAGAATGATGCTCATCGTGTCACTGTCAAATGTAAATCTGAAGGTTGTCCTTGGAAGATATATGTCTCAAGGTTGGCCACCACCCAATTGATTTGCATTAAGAAAATGACCGCAGAGCATACTTGTGAAGGGGCTGCTAGAATAAAAGCTGGGTATCGGTCAACTAGAGGCTGGGTGGGAAATATCATAAAAGAGAAATTGAAAGTCTCCCCAAACTACAAGCCAAGGGATATTGCTGATGACATTAAGCGGGAGTATGGGGTTGAGTTAAATTATTCTCAAGCATGGCGTGCTAAAGAGATTGCTAAAGAGCTGCTGAAAGGCTCCTACAAGCAGTCATATACTCAGTTACCCTCCTTCTGCGAGAACATAAAAGAGACTAATCCAGGGAGTTTTGCAACACTTACAACCAAAGAGGACTCTAGTTTCCATCGTCTCTTTGTGTCATTTCACGCCTCAATATCTGGTTTTCAGCAAGGTTGTCGTCCTCTGCTTTTTCTTGCTAGCTCTTTTTTGAACACAAAGTACCAAGGGGAATTGTTGACCGCAATGGCTGCAGATGGGGATGATGGCGTCTTTCCTGTAGCCTTTGGTGTTGTAGATGCTGAGAATGAGGATAACTGGCATTGGTTTCTGCAGGAGCTAAAATCGGCAATATCAACTTCTCAGCAATTGACATTTGTTGCAGATTTTCAGAATGGTTTAAAAGAATCTTTAGGTGAGATATTTGAGAATTGCTACCATGGTTATTGCTTACGCCACCTTGCTGAGAAACTGAACAAGGACTTGAAGGGACAATTCTCTCATGAGCAAAGGCATCTCATAATAAATGATTTTTATGCTGCTGCCTATGCAACTAAACCGGACGCTTTTGCCCGTAGTATTGACAACATAAAGAATATGTCTCTTGAAGCCTATAATTGGGTCCTACAAAGTGAACCAAAGCACTGGTCCAATGCATTCTTTGGTGGAGCTAGGTATAACCACCTGACCTCCGATTTTGGACACGAATTCTACAGTTGGGTGTCAGAGACACATGATTTGCCTATTATTCACATGGTTGATGTATTACGATGTAACATGATGGAAACAATTTACTCAAGACGGGTGGAGTCCAACCAGTGGACGACAAAGTTGGTGCCATCAAAGGAGGAAATGCTTCAAAAAGAAACTTCAGTTGCACAGTCACTTCAAGTGTTACTCTCACAAAGTGGCACATACGAGGTCTGTGGAGAATCTATAGAAATGGTTAATATTGATGGCTGGGAGTGTAGCTGCAAGGGATGGCAGATTACTGGGTTGCCTTGCTGTCATGCAATAGCGGTTCTTGAGTGCATTGATAGAAGTCCTTATGATTATTGCTTAAGATATTTCACAGTTGGGAGCTACCAATTAACATATGCGGAATCAATACGCCCTGTGTCAAATGATGAAGTGCTATTCCTGGGTGAATCCGCCCGATCAGTAATGGTAACCCCTCCATCAACTAAGAGGCCTCCGGGACGGCCGAAGTTGAAGCAGGTTGAATCAGAAGACGTGATGAAGCGTCCGCTTCAGTGCAGTAAGTGCAAGGGTCAGGGCCACAACAGGAAGACATGCAAATCGTTGTAGCCGTCAAAGTTACAGTGCAATAATCATGTAATCTCCGCCAACTCATTGGAGTCATCTGGACATGTACTAGACTTTCAGAGCACGCGTGAATGGAACCCTTTATAAAGTTAATATGGCTCTTGTATCATAGTTGAAGCTATCTATTTTGAGAGTTCTTTAAGTGTCTTCTTCCGCACGTTGATAGGGAAACGCACGATAGATGGATAGATGGGTTCCAGTGATTTTGACTTAGGCCAAAATCTGTATCTTGTTAGGTGATGCGGCTTTCCATTTGCCCGCATTAATTGTGCAGTCGCTGTTAGGCTATCAGTGGACATTGTTACCTCGTGAAAAATCGATGAACCAGTCACTGGTCCAGTTTTATAAAGGTGCACAGCCGATCTTAAACTAAACCAATCAAAAGTGGTAATACTGGTGGTTCTACCATCAGACAAGTATCAGGTAAGAAACATTAGTGGACAAATGGACGATATTTATATTATAAAATTGTAAGTTATAAAATACATTATATGATAAATATAAATATAGCTTGATTGCTCAATATTCTGAAAGAAATGTGAAAGCTGCATTTGAAGATGGAGAAGTGGGGTAATTGGATCAATACCCAGTTTATTTCCAATGCGCTAGGACGCATTTGTTCTTTTAATAGCCGGAGAAGCTTTATTATTTGATTTATGCTCTAATCACAATGGGTTACAGGTATAAAAATTTAGAAACAGGCTCTGCATGGGTTTAAACATCGAACTGAAAAGGAAACTTGTTATCCTCACGCATTTGTAATGTAACAGAAGGATTCCCCTGAATTACAATTGCTCAGCATGCTCTCATGCTATCGGCATCTTTTATTTTGATATAGTCACATCATACATGGTGCATATATGATAGACAAGTGTTTCAATGGGGATCTGATCTCGATCGGCTGGTTTTCTTTTTTTGATAACCAGGGAAGGTAAAACAAAGCTAAACAAAGGAGCAGTGCATAAGTCCTACTCCAAAACACAAACTAAACAGAATGAGGAAAAGAGATGGGATGAAACCCATTAACACATGAGAGCTGCTTTAGCGATCAGGTCCGCTGCATCATGGGCTTCCCCTGGGATTTCAGTCGGCTGGTTTTAGAGTTTTGAAGATTTCCTCCTCTCGTTGAATGGGCTTTTAACACCGTCATTTTCCTTTTTTGGTGAAATATCATCGTTACTTTTCATTTGCATGATATTTGACATTTGCCACAAAACAGAACTCTAGAGAAAGATAGCGAGATACAAAAAGGCGGAACGTACCATCCGAATATATGAAGCAGGCACAATAAACTACACCGGACTACTTATCCTCTTGCTCATTCGGTGCATCCCTGTTCCATCCACTCTTCGACACGCACCTAATTCCGGAAACAGCCGCGCTAAACCAGAATGATGAAAATGTGACACCTTGCTTCCCATAACTGCCACGTTGCTCCTCATCATTCAAACCATTCCACGTGGCATAACCTCCTTATAGCCCCCCATCAACTGCCTCCCTTATAAACCCCTTCAGCAACCGCTTTTTTCAGCGGTCTGCTTTCAAGTTACAAGTCCCCAATATTTTCTCACGTCGAGTCTTCGGTTGTGTTATTTGGGCGACGCGAATGGGAATGGGTTCCAGGGTGGTTTTCTTGATGCTGATGGTGTGGCTTGTCATGTTCGGCTTGCGTTGCAACTCCTCCAGTGGGGGCCACATGCCATCAAACAAAGAGGAAGCTAATGATTTTCACGAAGCCAAAGCCGAGACCATGAAAGCTGCGGAGAAGGCGGCCGAGACGGCAAAAGAGGGGAAAGAAGCCACAGAGTCATGGACAGAGTGGGCTAAAGAGAAAATCTCCGAAGGCCTTGGCCTCAAGCATGATGATCCCACTAGCAAAGTTCCTGATTACGCCTCCAACACTGCTCACAAGACCAAGGATTACGCCTCCAACACTGCTCACAAGACCAGGGATTACGCCGGCGATGCTGCTCAGAAGACACAAGAACATGCCGGGGATGCGGCTCAGAAGGCCAAGGAATATGCGGGCGATGCGGCTCAGAAGAGCAAAGATTATGCGGGTGATGTTTCAGGCAAGACAAAAGATTATGCCAGTGATGCTGCACAGAAGACGAAGCAATATGCCTCTGACGCTGCTAAAAAAACCAAGGATAAGGTCCAGGACGTCGCTTCTGGTCAGTCTACTAGTTTCTGTTATAATAATGCTCCATATTGTTTCCAGGATGCTCATGGTTAAGAGAGAACCAGTGTCCTTTTCAAACAGTTTTTTATTTTTTATTTTTTACATGTACATGGTAAATGGGCATGATACGGAAAACATTTAATGGGAATGAAACGAATAGAGTTTGTAAAGTTAGGACTTGGGGCACTTGCCCTGACGAGATTTTTGGAATGCAAACTGATGATGTATCCAACACCGAACATGATGGGCAGGGGCAGGTCAGTACGTGAAAGATGCAGCGACCGAGAGGATGAGGGACATGAAGGACGCTGCTGCAGAGAAAGCGCAATACATTAAGAATGTAGCGACGGGCACTGCGGATTCTGCAAAGGACAAGGCGAGTTGGGCATCCGAGAAGGCACAGGAGGCTGCTAATAAATCATCAGAGAAAATGAAGGAAGCGAAGGGAAAAGCATACGAGAAGGCGCAAGAGGCGAAGGAGAGAGCGTCAGAGAGGGCAGAGCAAGCCAAGGAGGCTGCGAAGGAGATGGGAGAGAGGAGGGCGGAGGAGACCAGGGAGAGGGAGGCGGAGGCGGAGGAGCAGCTGAACCGGGCAAAGGACAAGTCTAGAGAGGGTTACGAGACCGCAAAAGACATGGCGGAGGAGGCCCTCGAGTCTGCTAAGGACACCATCGCCTCCAACTACGAGGCCGCCAAGAAGAAGTCTCAGCAAGGCCGTGATGCTGAGCTGTGACCTGCTATTGCATCCCATGCCGCGTACGAGTTACCGTGCTTGTTTCATGTATTCCACTGTTAAGCTGCTATACTACACTGCACACATTTTGCATACGTTTGGCATGTTCGCGTGTAGCTTTTTCAGTTAAAGCACTTGTGATATGATCACCAACCTCTGCATTCTTGTTCTTTATGAAAGGTCATCAATTATTTTGTAGTTTATTAGAATGTGTGTGTGCGTGCGTGTGTATTGGAGTCCATTAGCAGAATCGGGATTGAGAGCCCAAATCTTGTTGTCCATGTCGACAATACAATTCCAAAGGGCGCCACTCCGTCATTCAAAACCCAGAGTGAACCGAGTCCAGAGGCCATTATGAGCGCTGCCCATCATGGACTACTCCCTCGTGCTTGTGGCCCATATTTTGGGGCAATCCTACAGTGGGGTGTCACTGTGTAGAAGGGCTCCAAGTCGGATCATAATTGCTTGTAATAAGAGAATTATTTATGCAGAAATCACAAATAAAAAAAGCATAGTAAGATAGAGGGAGTGATTAAGAAGGACAGCGAAAGAGGCAAGCAAATGGAAAAGAGGTGTGGACATGGGAAGAATGAGTGACGAAGAATCATTTAATGAAGCAGCAGCTTGGCAGGCAAGGGCGTGGGTGTGTGGTGCGTGCGCAGCACAGGTGGAGGGAGTGTGCGAGGCTTTGTCTTGGGCGGTTGGAGTCACGAGCATGATTGGATTGGATTGGATTGGATTGGATGGTGCTTGCTTGCTCGCGGAAACTGCTGGGTTGGAGTAGTGGGTGATATCAATTATCAGATATCTCCAGACTCCAATTCATCCCTCCACATTCACTCATTCACTCGCTATGTGCCTTCTCTGCTTCTCCCTCCCCTTCTTCCCTCCTCCTTTCCCATCAACATTTATTACTTCCCTCCCTCCCTCTTCACCTTATCTCTCCACTCTTTTCCTGCCTCTCAAACCTCTTCCTTAAATTAAGCTCCAAACATTTACTTCTCCTTTATTTATATATATATATATATATATATTACACGTCTTTCCAATATGCCTCGATCTCATTTTTAAAAAAAAAAAAGAGATGGGTTCAAAAAGGTAACTGTTACTACAGCCAATTTAAAAAAAAAAAAAGATAAAAACATTTTTCGCATTATTTGGCGTGGACGGAAATGGAGGGGACAGATTTTGCCATTTAGGCGGCATGAAACAGTCATCGTGTATTAATAGTATGGCTATATAATTTAAATTATTTGTCAACTCTATGTATCTGAGTCTAGGATAACAACTAAAAGTCACGCAATATAATTAAGCGAAAAAAGAAAGTCCCGCAATTAACTAACTATTTAAAATTTTACCAACCATCTATTATTCACACAATTATCTAACTAAGTCAAATTAAAAATTGGATAAACAGTCAAATAGCAACTATTGATTTGTTATGCGTTCATAACCTTCATTATATCGAAACTGCAAATTAAATATGCATATAATGACTAAATCAACGAACATTTTAATGAGAAAACTGGGCAAAAAAAACAGTACTACCTGGTTCAGTTTGGCTTAATGAAAACCAACGAAAATAAATCTATCCAAAAATTCACCCAACCAAATTAATTAGTTTTTAATTATAACTCTTAAAATTTCAAAATATTTTTTTCGTCAAATTACGTAAAAAAGATTTGAATCTTTAAACCTTACTTATATTTCACCTTATCCTTAGCATTTGAAGTAAATTTAGATAAGTAGTTTTTTTTTTCCCCTTCTCAGTACCAGATAGGAAAACCACGGCAATTTTATGGTGATAAAATTTCCTAGTTATCCATTAATATTCTAACTGGAAATTATTAAAATTTTATATTTTGAGTGTTAAAAACAATTTTTTGGCCAAATATTAAAAACATGAAATAAAATGAAATTATACGTTTTTTTTTTTTTTTACCAACAACGAAAACCTGAATTCATTAACCGCAAGAAGGAAACAGTCTCACGGCAAAACAAAACAAAACAGAAGTCACAAGCCCATTGGCAAAGACCTTACGGTAAAGCTAACTAACTGTAGAAGCGAACAAATTAGCCAATTCCTTCTCTGTCCCTATTGGTCACTAGTTGAACATAGCCATTGCAAATGAATTTCAAGAAAATATGAAGAAAGAGATTCTATGCCACAAGCCACGGTACACCTATGGCTGAAAAATGACATTTTTGTGCGGCGCCTGGTCAAAATTTTGTATGAGTGACTTTGTGTCTGTATGAAAACTTGAAAAGAGGAAAAGAAGAAAATGAGAGGCCTAAGGTTTTCTCTACTAGGACTTGCCAATTTGAAGGTTTAAAAGTATTTTTAAGCCATCAACTATCAATGATAAGACTCTTAAACTCTTATCTTTCCTTTCTCTTCTGTTTTCTTAAAGAGTTGAGTTAGAGTTAGAGTTGATAAAGTAATTTTCAATCTAGATAGATTATGGATCCAAACTCATCAACTTAAATAGGATTAATGAGAGTTGTTTATGTTACTTAAATCTAGCATTAATGGTTTTTTAAGTTTTTGATTGGTGAGTGTCATTAATGTCTAAAAATTGGCATAAATGAGATGGTTAGAGCTGTTTTGAAGCCATTAATGATGATTTAAGGGTTTATTAATGATAATGTGAGTTAAGAAAACCTAGTAAACTTGGATATGTTTGATAGTGAGAAGTTGTGATTTTGGGTGAGTTGAATGGTGAGATAAAGTATTGAAATTTATCTAAATAAGGATATTAATAATTATCCTTGTGATTAAATTATAAATTAACTAATTTGGTATCATTCAAGTTATTGGAGCTTCAAAAGTGTGTGTTTTGAGGGGTGAATTTTGACCTCTCAAAGATTAAAATCTTAGCTTATATAATTGCTTGTTAAATAATTAATTAATTGTTGAAGCATTGTTTGAAACTTATTAGGTAGTTGTAAACTTATTTATGCAAATTTTGGCCAATTGTGATGGGTGAAAAATGCTTGAAACATGAAAATGAAATGTATGTTAAACATGTGTGCTTTAGATTTGATCAAGCATGTATATGTATATGTATATGTATACTAGAAAATGAATAATATGAGATGTGTGCATATTGAAATAGGTAGAGTATGATGAAGATGGTTTGTGATAAGTATTGTCATGATATGATAGTTGTCATTGGTTTTGCATACAATATGTCAATGTGTGTATGACATGATCATTCTTGACAGGAGTTCACATATGGAGAGAAGTAGATATGTTAAATTAACGTGGTCGTAGTAGCTTATCATTGGAATCAAAAGCTAACTTGGGTATCGACTGTTGAAATCAAAAGATAATCATTGTCCTATGGTTTAATAGAGATTATTTCAATTGCTCTTCAAGGGACTCAAATATAATTAATCTCTATCAGTTCATAAAAAGGTTAGACTAGAGGTACGACATCTCATGATTGTTAGTATTAAGGAAAACTATGGATTACAAGTGAGTTAACATTGGCCAGGCAACTCCTTATGAGTGAAGGGCTTGGTTTTGAGTTTGAACGTGGCTACAAAATAGCTACTGATTTCATGTCAATGGTATCAAGATGATATAAAGATGACATTGATCACGCATTCTATATTTCTGGCCATATCATTATCATTATTGTAGTCCAACATGAATGGTTAGGGGCATATGATTATTATCATTGTGACCCCACGTGCGCATGTGTTTGTAAGTGTTATGGTGATGAATGTTGTGCTCGACCACATAGCTATTAGTATTGTGGTCGTGGCAACCTTTTAAAAACCTTACAAATTATGAAAAGATCAATATGGCCATTGATGTTTGGAGATTAGGGATGATTAGTAAAGGTAATTTTACTTGTCTAATCTAGAGATGTTACACTTTGGTTTAAATTGGATTCTCATGCTTCCGTAACCTTATGTAACTCTAATTCTTGGTTGTAAATTGTTATTGGGAGTTTTGAATTATGAAACTCGGGATCTCACTTTTGTAAATTGTACAAATTTAATAATCATTTCTAGTTATTATCATGATACCTACAACTTAGAGTTGGTTGTAAATTAACAAGGGAGACAGTGCAACTTGCTATCATATTTTACATCACTTACCTTCTCCCACAATGATTGATTAAAATGCCCCTTATATTCGCCAAGCCCGGGAGCTTTAGTGGCCTTTAAATGGAAGACAGGTTGCTTGAGATTAATGAAGTTTAAATAAAACCATCAATGATGATAAACGAATATAGGGGAGACAAATGCTTGAGAAAGAAGGGATTTGGCTTCTCTTAATTGCAATTTTCCACCAATGCGCTTCCATTGCAAATCTAAACCATTTGGATTAAATTTTAATGGGAGAAATTAAATTATACTTTTTAAAATTATCAAATTTAAATCATCAAATTCAATATAACGGTCTAAATTTGCAGTGCTCGTGGAGGAAAGCCAACTCCTGAAAGAGTCAGTCCAACAAAATAAATAATATAATTAAATACTCCCTCTGTTAAAAAATATAAAGCATTTTTTGAGGAGTTAGATGTTAAAAATGTAATACATTTTTACTTTTTTGATGTGTAATTATTGCCTTTTTTTTCAAAAATGTCCTATTGATAATGACTTTATATTTATTATAAGATATTTAATAAGAATAAATATGAAAAGATGGGGTTAGTTAAAAAATAGATAACTACTTTATTGAAGAGTAAGATTCAATTAAAATTATCTTATATTTTTAAACGAAGGGAGTAGAGGGATAGACTAAAGGATCAAAATAATAGTAGTAAAATTGTGGGGTATATATGCGTTTGGTTTTTATGCTTATCATGTGATGAGAAACCTAGATGATCTAGATTTATAAGTTTTATTTTTATATTTTATTTTATTTTTATTAAAATAAAAAATATATTTTAATAAATTCACTCTATCATCAATCTAGATAATGTAAATTTAATTTAATATTAAATATTTTTATAATTTTTATAAACTGACTATCCAGATATATTCTGGGCAGTCTAGATTTAAAATTTTACAGTTGTGACTTTTTAATTTTTTAAAATGCTAATTTAAAGATTATCTTTATTTTTATTTTTTAATATTATATTTACCAATATAAACATTTATAAAAATGATAAAGACTTTTAATATTCAATTCAATTAAGATAGTCAATTTATAAAAATTATTAAAAAATTAATATTAAATTAAATTATTGAAATTAAATCTATATTATTCATATTGATGATAAGATAAATCCATTAAATTTGTAATGTAATATCGTAAATCAGTAACACAAAAAATCTATAATCATTTACCCAAAATAAATCAAACACAATTTACAAAAAATTTTAAACCCTTAGCTCATCACAAGAGAATCAAATACCTAAATTAATAAAATAAAAAATCAATAACAATGAGAGAACAACTTATAATAATTCATATTTTATTCTGTGGATAAAAGAAAAAATCACTTTCAACTGATTACGTGGACGAGTCATATTTTAAAATACTTAAAATTCCATTCACGATTCTTGAAAACTCTATTTTTGATGGCTTGAGCCAATATTCTCTAAATATAAAATAAAAATATAAAAATAAAACCTTAAAAATTTGAACATGGTCCAGATGAGCAGCATCACCGAAGCCAAACGCGGGTATATATAGAGAGACTAGGGAGTAGGGAGGGAGGGAGCGAGTGAGCTGGGAGATGTTGACGAAAATGTGTTGACACAGGCACCAGGATAGCTGCTCTCAGGGTGTTAGTTTCAGTATTGAGCAACTGAATCTGTGGATGCAGAAGCAAAGCACGAGACAATCCCAATGGTGATCCTGATAGTTTCAGTATTGAGCAACTGAATCTGTGGATGCAGAAGCAAAGCACGAGACAATCCCAATGGTGATCCTGAAACTGGGTAACTCCCCGACGGAGAAGGATGAAGGAATAATGAGGCTCGCCAATTACGAGGTTGGCAGAACTCTGGGCACTGGCAGCTTCGCCAAGGTCAAATTGGCCAAACATGTCAATTCTGATCAGCTCTTTGCCCTCAAGATCATCGACAAGACCAAGATCTTCCATCTCAATATCGCTCATCAGGTCTCCTCCTCTCTACCCCTCTGTTTTGCTTTAGCAGTTCAGCCCCTTCTTATTATGGTTTAATTTTCACTGCAATTTTCTTGATAACAAATTGTAGATAACACGGGAGATAGCCACCCTCAAGCTTCTCAAGCATCCCAACGTCGTCAGATTACACGAGGTACCGTCCCATCATATTCCCTCCCCCTGTCTGGATGTGCATTGATTTATGAGATTGTTAGCACCGATTTGAATGCATTTTCGCATCGAAATCTTCCTTGCGGGGGGGGGGGGGGGAATTTCCGATGGAGTCGACTATCCTGTTCATGGATCATGCAGATGTTGAGTAAAAGCTTTGTTCTAATCATGCCACTGATTTGGGTTATCCCAAATCTTTTTTTAATCAGTCTTGGCTCCTATATCTATGTTTGCGTGAATCTCTGCTCAAAGGAACATGATTTTCCTGATTTCTAGAGTCCAAGCCAGAATACCGAATGCCGATGCCCACGTCCTACAAAACAAATCTACCACGGTGGTCCCCACTTTTCGTTTTCGTTTGTTTTTTTTTTTTCAAATTTTTATGAAGTTTTTATCAATCCTCGCTCAAGTAACTCTATTCTCTCCACAGTAGAGGATTGAGGAGGCTGGTGAGTCGGTGACTGCCCCCATCTACTTTGCGTCGCTTCAAGCTTCAAGAATCATTTCACCTCTCAAATTAAATTAAACATACTTCATGTCTAAAACTTGCAACTTCAATTTTGTTTTTTCGGTTAGCCATTTAATCGAGGAAAACGTTTCCATTTTTATTTTACGTCCCTTGTTTTAACGTCTCATTCATTTCCTGCTATAGCGTCGTGGTGATTGATATTTGATACTGAATTTCGGAGCAAGCAATCTAAATCAATCATACCAACTACCAAGTAAAGAATCTAGTATTGCTTTACAATTTTTCAAAGTGAAAGACAAAGTGGACTTTATGCTTTCCATTTAATTTTCCATGTACATTTGCGTCCAACGGGAGATTAGCATCTGGAACATACGCATACTTGGATACCTTCCCTTTTCACTGTCAAATTGATTCTTGATACTTATTTCCAGACCTTCTTTACTGTACCCTGTATCAATATAAACTATAAAATTAACTAATAATCATATTACTCAATAAGTCTTAAATTGACTCATTGTTCATACTTGGTACGCTGCACAGGGCTCATGTGTTAAGGTTTAATAATTAATGACTTGTGAGAATAAATAGTTGGTTACGGAAGGCTTCCCGTGTGAGTTTCATGTGGCTGTTCTGCAAGTGAGGTTGTCCATGTCAAAATTAGTATCTCAATATACATAACTAAAATAAAATAAGTATTTAACATATATACATAAAGAATCCATAACTTATAACTTCTTGATTACCACAAGTGTAGGTAAACTTACAACCTATTTAACCCTTGTAATTTTTTAAAAGTGTATAGATAGTGGAGAGAATGGAAAAGAAATATGTATGTTGGTTGTTGACTAATGGTATTATATGAATCATATCAATAACTATCTTAATAATTAATTAATTAATTTTTCATTATCTTTGACTTAATCAGTTAAGAAATAGAAAATAACTGATTGCTACAAGTATGTAGGTTGGGCCTCTGTCCATTGGTTTTACTTATATGATCCACCAATTATAGTCCACACAAGATCATAAAAATTAATTTGTTTTGAGCTTATTAACTAATGCAAATTCATAAATAATATATAAATATTCCAACAATCCATTTATAACATTTTCCCCAGTATTGTTATCTATCCTTTATGTTAGGACCATGTAAAAAAATGACGGCCCCCAACAAATAATTAAGCTAGAACTATTTCTATTTGCTCATAAAAGATATATGCATTAATCTTTTGCTTAAGTTGCAACTAGCCTTTACATAGATAGAAAGGGTTGTAAGTGCCATGTTGCGTTTGCAGTTATCTTGTCAATATCAAAATCTTCTGACCAGGATTTCCAACTAATTACGCAGGTTTTGGCTAGCAAAACGAAAATTTACTTGGTCTTAGAGTACGTCACTGGAGGAGAATTGTTTGACAGAATTGTAAGGATCATTTGCTGATTATTTGTATGCTCACTGCATAGCATTGAATTAATTAACGTGCTATTTGTGCTCACAGGCATCCAAAGGTAGACTGAAAGAAGCTGAAGGTAGGAAGCTTTTCCAACAGTTAATTGATGGTGTGAGCTACTGTCACAATAAAGGAGTCTTCCACAGGGATCTTAAGGTTCTTCCTTCTTTCTCAGCCCTCTTCAGAATTATCAACGTAATTTTGGAGCTTGAAATGTTTGTCGGACTACAAGAATGGCATTTTTTAAGAAATATGATTCTATTTTGTTGCAGCTGGAGAATGTACTGGTGGATGCCCAAGGCAACATAAAGATAACCGATTTTGGCCTTAGTGCTTCGCCCCAGCACATTCGGGTATTTGAATCTGATATTTTTACTGTCAACCCGCAACTGAAGGCAAAATCAAAGAGTTATCACGTAGTTTACTGAATGGTGATTGATACTTGTATGAAAAATTTCAGGCCGACGGGTTGCTGCATACAACCTGTGGAAGCCCCTGCTATGTTGCTCCAGAGGTCCTTGCTAATAGAGGCTATGAAGGTGCAACATCAGATACGTGGTCATGTGGTGTTATCTTGTTTGTAATCCTAACGGGGTATCTTCCTTTTGAAGATCGAAATATTGCCGTTCTCTACCAAAAGGTATTCAAATTCTGCCCCTACTGTCCTTCTTTAATACGATTGCTTCAACTGATTTTTATTTTGTGAGGGAGTATAGATATCTAAAGGAGATGTCCGGATGCCAAAATGGCTATCATCTGGTGCCCAGAACTTGCTAAGGAGGATTCTTGACCCCAATCCTCTTACCCGGATAACACTGGCTGGTATCAAAGATGATGAATGGTTCCAGCAGGACAATGTTCCGGCAAATCCTGAGGACGAAGAGGAAGAGAAAGAGAATGTGAGTATCGACGAGGAAGCCTTTTCAATCCATGACGCGGCACATACTGTTATATTATTTACTTGTCAGCTTCTTCTTCTTGCTTGGCTGTAACTTGGACATACTCCCTTTGTAATAGCCACATGAAGCAGAACATAAGAGTCCTGAGTCATCAACCCTTATCAATGCATTTCAGTTGATAGCAATGTCTTCATGCTTAGACCTCTCAGGTTTCTTCGAGAAAGAGATGAGGATTAGCTAATTGATTTGATGTTTATAATATTATTATGTTCTATTAATGCTTGCCAAACTTGTGAGGAAATTTACACATCATCAATCCACGATATGCTTTGAATTCCAGGATGTTTCTGAGAGGAAGATGAGATTTACATCCAACCATTCAGCAAAAGATCTGATCGCAAAGATTGAAGACATTGGAAAAGAAATGGGTTTTAGAGTCCAGAAGAAAAATGGAAAAGTTAGTATTATCGCCTATTTTTGGAATTTGATTCATCAAATCCCACGTAATATGAAAGACAAGAAATATTGCCCTTTTCATTCAGAATATGATGAAAACTTGGAACGAGACATACAGAAAAGATTATTATTTCCAGCACCCTTAAAAATAGGCGAAATATTAGCCGTGAGCTAAATTGTTAATATAATTATAATGCCAATATTTCAGTTGAAAGTGATACAAGAGAATAAGGCGCACAGAAGTCTAGGTGGCCTCTCGGTGGCAGCAGAGGTAGTGATTGTTTAGACTCGGCTAAACCATGTTAAAGCAATGTTTATTAATCAATAACTAGTATCTGTTCAATTTCTGACATATAAAGCCATCTCCATTTCAAACATGACAGGTCGTTGAAATAAGTGCATCCTTGCATGTGGTAGAGTTAATGAAATCGTTTGGAGACTCTTCTGTATATAGGCAGGTAATTTGAAGTTTGAAGCTCCTCCCTCTCCCTCTCCCTCTCTCCAAGCATCACCGTTTTTCATATTTCGACAAGTAGGCCTTTATTGCCCCAAAAAAGATTATGCGGCTTTTTCCTAAAATAAAATTAGACTGCACGGAAAAATATAAATAGCAAAAGTAATCAGTGCTCAATACTGTATTGAAAATGACTTCCCATGATATAGCAGATGTTGATGCCTATATAATTATCATATGCAGTTATGCAAGAAACTATCAGATGATTTGGCAGTAGCCCCGAGCCAAGCGCGTGTAAATTCGGAAGTGGGAGAAGCCGGGGAAAAGAGTTAAGAAGTCATATGATGTGTGTGTTTTCTTTTCTAGGTCAGTTATCTATGTGCACAGTTGTATAACTAAGATGTGAATTAAGGGGCTCGTGGCTGGCCCAAAAGGATCAAAACAAAAAAAAAAAACAAAGGCTAGCTAGATGTGAAAATCGAAGTTGGATACCAAGAGTACCAATTCTTGAAAATAGCGACTGTGCGCTCTTTGTTGAACTCGATGCAACAATTTTTGCACACAAATTGTGGATGTTTTAATTAAAAGAACAGTACAGCGTCATCGAAGCTGAGTTTCGTCCATGTATCATGACAAGCAATTAATGTATTGAAATACAGGCAACATATATTACAAAGTGAGAAAAAAAAAAAAAAATCTACAATACAACATGCTGCGAGCTAATTTCTCTCCGTGATAACAGTTATCACATCTTTGAAGCTTACTAGTGCTCCAACGATATGATAAGATAACATCATATGATAACGGATCAGAAATGACATCTTAAAACAATCTCTCTATCACACAGGAATTTCACTATACAGTTAATTTATATACATGAAAAATATAGCACTTACAAATGCCATTGATCGCTCCCAGTTTCTAAGGATAGGAGGGTTCAATCATTGTAGATCATCCAAGTCCCAGCTTGAAAAGAAATAGCAGCCGAGGCCACAAATTACCACATGAAGAAGGGGAGAGGATGCCCAGAAGATAAAGCGTCTTATGTGGCTCAATCATAGGCAGCACTAGCCTGCAAGCCTGTTGCCAAACTCCTTGCTGTACACCTGAATCAAACCGCTTTCATCCGCAGGATGAAGCCTCTCATCCAACATTTTCTTGTATTGCTCGTCTTGAGCCTCTAAACCACGCACAATATCAACCTACAAAAATAAGATATTAGATAAAAATCACAAATACAATCAATAAGAAACAATTTAGCCCAGGACTTAAAGCAACTGAGAGAGAAAAATCAAGTTATTGGGGAAAGAACAATCCTGAGCTTCATAAATAGTAATTGGCATATTGTAAATTGGCAGCAAACGAGCGTCCAGGGCAATTGAAAGTTATTTCTGACCAAACTATAAAAGAGACAGATTTGTGCGAATGAAATTATCCATCCCAGGTTGGTGCAGTTGCCCCCATGAACATGCAGAGAAACTAAGCTTTTATTTATGTGGTCACTGAAAATTTTGTATTCCAAAAATTCTGGCGCTCATAGTCTGATAGAATCATGATCAAGAAAGTCCCTACAAGGCCACAGCTTCGTAGAAGTTATCACAAAAAGCATGTAGAAGCAGATAAATCAAGCCGAAAAAACTAAATAAAGAACAAATTCAAGGATGATTTATCAATGACAAGACTTCAGATCACCTGTTTTTGGAATTTATCGAATTCATCAGAGCTCAGAGAGCCATCACTGTTTGAATCAAGGAGCAGCATCATTTCCCGGGCATCTTCCCCTGGGGCACCAAGCTCCTCCATGACCTCTGTAAGTTCCTCAATGCTAATTCTACCATCACCATTTTTGTCAAGAAGGGAAAATACTCTATTTCTCTGGTCCGTCTCTATTCCCTTCAGATTTGTACTTGGAAGATCTCTAAGGCGCAGAGCCGCCAGCTCAGCTGCAGCAAGCATGATGGTCTTCAAACGTTTTGCCTGTCATCAATAACCAAATCATCAAAAATTGATTTACTTTTGTCTTCTCTTTAATCTCCAGATACATTTATAGCAGAGCATATTTATAAATAACCTAAAGATAAGAGTACACTGGTAAATGGACTGATATGACTGACTCTTTCCACTCTTAAAATTTAGATTTTATATATGTAAAGATGATATTGCTTTAAAATTGTTTTATAGAGGCGTAAGATAGGGGCCATCTCAATTCTAGCCATAGTTGTTTCTTCATTGATATTCTTCAGTTATAACTGCAAAAAGTGTCCTAACCTCTTCTGGATTAGTAACGCCACCCTTGTATAATGAATGGGATGCTAGTCCACCAACAGCTAAATTGTCCATTTGAGTTGTTCTTATTTGTACTTCCATTAGTGGTCTGGTCCTACCATTGTCACTCACATCCACTGCCATATGTAGACTCCTATACCCGTTTTCTTTGGGCTTGGCAATATAATCTTTTGTTCGATAAGGTATTTCTTTCCACATAGATTGGATGATTTGGTGAGTCCTATAGCATGCTTGCTCTCCAACTTTCAGTGTATCATCTCCAGGCCTGGGATTTAATATCACTCGAAGTCCTAGCACATCATTAACATGTTCTGGTTTCCGACCATCTTTCAAGATCTTCTTCATTGTGCTATACCGACTTTTATAGCGACCCTTAACTGAGATATCATCCACCATGGCTGCCAGCAACGCATCAGCTTCTAAGGTTTGCAGCAACTCGTCCTTATATATATCAATTAGAGAGCTACCCCCAGTCTCATGACTTCGTAACCATGCATCCACATAAAGATAAGAATAAGGAAACAAACACTGAAATGAGAGATCTTCCAATTCCAGTGATAAGTACTTAGTTCCTACTGCATGAGCTAGAGGGGCATGTATTTTCATAACTTCTACAGAATGGATCTGCTGCTGATATCTAGGAAGGTACTCAAGATGTCTCATTGTGTCGAGCTTCAAAGCCAAGTCTAAAATTAAAGCCCTAATGTCGTAGTAAGTCAGGCAGAACTTTCTTACTGCAGCAGCATTATCATCATCTAAAACACCTACGCTGGATGGAATGTTCCTCACACGCAAACTTTCATGCAACAGATGAGCAGTACCAGCACCAATCTGATTTCGTATTGCAGTTATAGACACGGCACCTGCCTCCAACACCTCTCTCAATATTCCAGCTGAGATCACTTCGGCGTCCATCTGCAGTCAAATTTACTATAAAGAAACAAGAAATAGCAATGAAATAATAACGACGAGTAAGTAGCCTCAACAAGTGCGTTAAAGAACCAAGTCTTAAGACAACTACCGCCTCCCCACACACACACACACACACAAAACAAAAAACACACACATCCCACAAAATTAGCATAGTGTCATGAAGCGTTTGAAAGGTATACGGTCCAACTCTGGAATGGATTCAGAAATAATCCACGACATACAAGATGCAAGGTATGTTAAGCTAAGAACAAAATTAGTCTTAAGACAAAACGAGACTTTGTCTGCTCCAGCCTCCAAGCCAAGACCCGATCAAAGAAAATCTAGAAAACTGGAAGGCTTCGTGCTAGTAGACAAAAATAAATGACCAAAACATTGTGCCTTTTTTTTAAGGGGGGGATATAATGGCTTCTCCGGTCGGAACATTGGTAGTAACTGAGTATCCACAAAAGCTAATAAATTCACGGAAGAACAGACCCAAAAATAGTGAAGGGCGTAGAAGATCGAAAAACCAAAGTCAACATGTGATGTCAGGTAAAATCACAGTAGCATAAACAGCAACGACCAAGACCACCTTCAGATCAGCGAGAACCATGGCCACAGACAAGGCCTTGGAAAGTGGAGAACGACCATCAGGAGCAAGAGGCAAGCTTTGCAAGATGGGAATTGACAGCTTAAGAGACTTGAAAAGAAGACGAGAGGAGCCGGTAGACAAGACATTCATCCTTTCCGTCAGCTCGTTGAAAGCACCAACGAGCTCCATCACCATCTTGCCGCCGGCATGCTCCGGGGAAGTCATAGCGATGGGCACAGAGGCATCGGCCTCCGCAACGCACGAAGTGGGAGGCGAGAATCGTGATCCGGGATTCGAAGTCCGTCTGCGACGGGGGAGAGGGAACAATAGAGTAAGGAGATGACGGTGATGAATGGAGAAGGAGGGCCTTGAAAGTGAATGGCTGAGTGGGAAGTCGGGAGGACGGGAAAGCTCCATTGGGCTCTGAATTGAACTCAAGCGCCACCTGTGGTCTCCACTTCAGCTCAGTGAGAGATCAGCTTTTTTTTTTTTTTTTTCACTTTGAACTAATTTTTCTGGCTGGAAATTTGGCCGTTCCTATTACTCTTTGTTGATCGTAAATAATAAAAAAAATTGAATTAAGTTGCATTTTTATTCGTCAACTAGTAATGTTCTAAATCATTTGTTATAATAACTAATTCCTTCAGGCCAAAAAAAAACTTATTCTTAAAATAATTAAAATATATCATATTTATTCCTAACATTAAATATTTCAAAATTAACTGTTAAAAATATTAACTGTAATTTAAGTTTAATAAAAAATGATTCCTATCACGTTAAGTGTATTTATGTTAAAGTACATTTTTACTGTGTTTCAGTTATTTTAAAGTTAAAATTACTATAACACAAATAGTTTCAAATATTAGATACTTCTTAAAAAATAATTTTAAAATAAAAATATACCTTAATTTAAATTTACTTGATATAACATGTGGTATTTTTAATTAAATTTAAGTCTCAATTAAAATTTTTAATAATTAATATTAGAATATTTAGTATTAAGCACAAATATGTTATATTTTATTTACTTTGGGGTGAAATTATTATGATAAATAATTTAAAATATCAGATGTTCTTTAAAAAGTAATTCTAAGATAAAAACATACTTTAATCCTAAAAAATTTGTAAGTTTTCACTGTTTTTAATGGAACTTGTTTACTACTAATACAGGAATATTGTGTGATAAATACATAAATAACTTAAATAAGAAAAAATTAAACATTTCATGTCTACAAACTATGTCAATTTTTATCTATCCCTATAATCTCAAATCACTCCATAAAATTGGAAAAAATTAAACATTTGAGCATGTATGCCGGAGAAAATTAATCAATAATAAATAATTTAAATAATAGTTGATACAGGAATATTATTTAATAAATATATATAATATAAATAAGAGAAAATTAAATATTTCATTCCCACAATTTACGTCAATTTTCATCAATGCCTGCAATTTCATTTCTTCAAAATCACTCATGAAATTTCTCACATTTAATGTGTCACTCGTTGCAGGGCCTAGAAACAAGTGCGCTTCTCCTTACAATTTGGCAAAGTCGTCGTGTATTGTCATCGGGAGTGGGCTTTGTGGAGTCGGCGACGTAAATTATCATGTGCTCAACGATTTGCTGGCTTGCAGATGCTTAACCTTAATTTAGTGCGTGTTTGATTTTTTATTTATCAAAAATTAATTTATCAAAAATTAATTATTATAATAAAATTTATATTTGGGTGCATTTTTTTAAAAGTTAATTTAATAAACTAAAAATTATTTTAATTATATATAGTGAAATGTATTTTTAAATATATAATTATTAAAAAAAATTATTTATGATGCTTCATAATTTGTTATACAAATATAATATATTAGAAATGTCTAAAATATGATAAATATTTTAAATAATATAAAATTTGATATATTAAAAAAAATTATATAATAAATAATTCAACATATATTAATATTAAAAATTAACATGATTAATTGTTCAATATATAATATACAATCTGTTCTTTAATTAATCATAAATTGTTCATCAGAATGTGTTTAAATACAAAAATATTTAATTATTTATTAGTTTTTTAATATTATTCTCTTTTTAAATTTTTTCACCAAATTTTAATATTTTTTTATTTGACTAATTTTTTTCATGGGAACATATGTTTAAATATGAAAAAGGAGGAATTTTTTTAATTTTTAATCAAAAATATTGAATTAACCATGCTTCTTAACTTGATCTTGTAAAAATCACTTACTTAATCAAAGAGTATCATGCAACTGGTGTTGAAGTCTTCACCACAAATTTTTTTTTATAATTTAATTTAATTTGTAAGGGAGCGTAATGATGGAACGAAGCGTAATGAGGGTGAAGTAATAAATGCCAGAGAAGTGTCAAAATGGGGAATATGCTTTCGAATTTTGAAAAGCTTCAGCAGATTAAGTTGGCCAAATGTACATTTAGATCTCATCTTAACGTGTTTTGTCAAAATTAGTTCGCATAACAATTAATATTCAAATAACATCTGATTTTTAAAAAATAAAAAAAAATACTTCTCAGATGTTAAAAACTATAAAACCAAACGGACAAGAGAAATTAAATTATTCATGAAGGGAAAACTCCAGTCATTGACCCTCCCACTCGAGAATTCAAATGTCAAGACTGTTATGCTGAAAATGTTTGCCTGTGGTCTTCCAGCACTTGCATCATGCTGCAGGCAAAACCTCAGGTGATGTAAATCAGTACATGTTTGTAGACGGTCCATCCAGAAATGGAAGATCGGTTCTCTATAGGAACTTTTTCGTACACTTTTATATCAGATCCGATATACTCCTATCGTATTAAAAATATAAAATATTTTTAATTAAATTTTATTTTTTAATAAAGAAATTATTTACTTTCTAACTAACCTTATCTTTTCATATTTACTCTTATTAAACACCTTATAATAAATATAAAGTCATTATCAATAGGGTGTTTTTAAAAAAGATAACGATTATGTCTCGAAAAATTAAAAATATTTTATATTTTTTAATATTTAATTTTTTAAAAAATATTTTATATTTTTTAATGGAAGGGAGGAGTAGTTGTTTTTCATGGATTTAAATGGGAAAAAGCCAGAAGGTCTATCACAGACCGTCCATGTTCTTCAATTTCCTTTGCAAGTTGTCCGAGATTTGCATTGCACATTTGCACTGGTCCTGGCTAGATCATGAAGTTTGTGAAAGTTCTCGTACTTTTCCCACGAAGACCTGCTGTTTCAAAAAGCTCCTTTTTTTAATATCATGACTTCGTAGGGTAATGGAAGCAATCCTCTAGCGGCAAATCTCGTCTTTTTAACTAATAAACATTTTCAATACTTTTTTAAAAGATGACAATCAAAAGCTATTGAAGACAGTTAATTGTCCTGCAGAACTAAATAATTTTGATATTATTTTATAGGATCAAAAAATTTAAATATAATTTAAATTTATTAAAAAAAGATAAAATTACCCTAACATATATTTGTTATGATGGGAGAATTAATTATTGTTAAAATAAAAATAAAACTTATTTTTTTAAATAAAAATTTGTTCACAAAATTACAACAATTTTTTTCTACCAAATTAATATTATGTAATTGTTAATGAAAAAATTGATCATTATTAGAATATATGAAAATATGATTTATTTTTTCTTAAATGAAAATTTATTCACTAAATTACAATAGTTGTTCCTTTTCATCATTAAATTAATTTTTTAGAGTTGTTAATAAATGAATTAATTATTGTTGCTCACCACAAGTGTTCGAGTTGTAACAAGTAAAATAATAAAGGTAAAGTATCATTTTTTGAGAATTTATTCAAAAACAATAATCAAACAAAAAATTAAGTAAATTCAATCAAATTGAGCTATACAAAATTAAGTGAAAATGATGTTGCAAACTAAACTAATATTAGAAAATAAAAAAAAGTAATTGATTCACAAATTTCAAATATAAATTGAGACCTAAGATTGTTTATTCCCCTTACATTTTATAACACTAAAATTACCTCCTCTTTTAATACTTTTAATGAAAATAAATACTAACTTAGGGTTCTAAAAATACTTGGACAAACTCTTTCAAGTCATGAACAAGCGTTTAGTTAAATTAATTGCTTAATCTCTTATTATAATTAATAAAACTTAATTTTAAACACCACCCCTAATGTGGCTATGCAAGGCTAGCAAGTATATCTCTATCTTACTAGCAAAATCATTCATTCAACATATAAAAATCAAGTTTTTGCACCATTTTATCCAATTTCTACACTCAATTCAGTCCTCTCAAACATCAATTAAATGAACCCAATATTAAAATGATGGCCGATCACTTAAAAGTATTAAGAAAGGAGTAAAATAAACAAACAAACAAACACACACACACATTATTAATCACAAAAAAGATGAGGAACTTAATATTAATTCATACAAAGGTTCAAAATAATCCTAAAATAAAGTGTTTAACCATTTATAATCATTCAAAAGATATAAATACACAAAATATTTAGACCCATGTCAGAATATAAGAGAGGAAAGGGAAGATGAACAGAAAAACCAGAGAAAACGAGCTTCAAATGTCTTCAAAACTCCATTCTCTTAAACTCAACTCTTCCAATGCCTAAATCCTAACACATAAAGCTCCAAATGATTGTTCAAAGTTTGAAAAATACATTTTGGGTCGAGCTCTTGGCACATACATGCCTTAACTAACCAATTTCTGATAAATAAAATGCACCGTTTTTCTAACAATGGTGGAAGTAGCGAACGGAAGCCACAACTTTCTGACGACTTTGGTATTTTTGAACTGTTTTCGCAATTAACAAAATTTATCCTTTTTGTACTTGATTTTTTTCATCCAAAAGCCTTCCAAAAACATCAACAAAAATTCCAAAAAATGCATCCAATCAAATCTTAAACTAAAATAACATGAAATTAGGTCGAAAATATTAAATTAAAGCTAAGAATTCAAATTCAAAGTAAAATACACATTTTCTTAATTTGGACACTAAAAATATATACAAATGAGGAAAAATGAATTAAAATCTAAAAAAAAGTGATGAAATGACATGAAATTCTAGAGGTTAACAATTGTTGTTACAATAAAAATGAGACTTTTTTCCCTCGAGTGGGGACTTATTCATTAAATCACAATATTTATTTCTCTCTGCCACTAAGTTAATCTTTTTGGAGTTGTTATTAAAGTAATTGGTTATTGTTACAATGGAAATTATACTTGTTTTTTTTTTCAAATGGGAACATCAACTTACAATGCTTGTTTCTCTCTACTACCAAATTAATTTTTTAAAGCTATTAACAAGGGAATTGATTACTATTAAAATGAAAATGAGACTTTTTTTCCCAAATGGAGAGTTGTTGTCAAAAGAGAATGTGTGTGGGTGTGGGTGAGAGAGGGGTAGTTTTATCTTTTCTCAATAAATTTTAATTCAATTCAAGCTATTAGAATCATTTGATCGTGTAGTGCAATTAATTATCTTCGATGATTATTGATTGTGATTTTCCCTTCTACTTATCTTGTAGCAAAATCTGCTTGGAGGTTGTTGGAATATGGTGGTTGATCTCTGGAGAAAAGTGTTTAAAGGATTGTATTTTCCCAATTTTGATTTTTCGAATGCTGAGAAGGGTCCTCGTGCGTCCTGGAGGTGGTCTAATTTATTGGCCGGACAAGAATTTTTGAATGAGAAGTTATGGTGGAGGGTTGAGAATGATAATCAAATTAAAGTATAGCAAAATAAATGGGTTTAAGGCTCACTTGATAGGAGATTATCAGTTGATTTTGATGATGTTGATGAGTCAGGGAGGCTAGTTTTTGATTTGATTACTAATAATACTTAGAATTTAAATTATATTATTAGTTTGCTGAAGAAGGAGGATAGAGAGTTGATTATGAAAATACCTTTACCCATGTTTAATAATAAGGATGAGTAAGTTTGGGATGGCGCCTTTAATGGGGTTTATATAGTCAAATTGGGTTATAAATTTGCAAGGATGAAACATACTATAATTTATAGGGACCTAAGCACTTTTATTCATATTGATAAGGGTTTGTGTTAGTGTATCTGGAATTAGACTGTATGCCAAAAATTAAGCATTTTATTTGGAGACTGATTAATGGTGCTTTGCCTACATGTGATGCTTTGTGGAAGAAAAAAAATGCTCAATTAATCTTGTGTGTAATATATGTAGCAATAAGGAAGAAACTCGAGAGCACATATGTTCTTATTATGTCATTGGTCTATACCTGTTTGGTTTGGGGGACAGTTGGAATGAAAAATTAGAAGACAGGGTGTGTGAAGAATTGAGGATTGGTGTGAATTTTGGTTAATGAAAGCTTGCTTTATTGATGATATTAAATGTCTAATTGCTCTCACTTGTTGGTACATTTGGAAATTAAGATGCATATTTTTGTTTGAAGGCATTGATGTGGATCTTGGGGAGGTAGATAAATTGGTGGATTGTTCTTTTTATGAAGCTCAGAATACATTGCCAAATAAGGTAAATAAGGTGGTTATTAAACCTTGTAAATATTGTTCATGTTGGAGGTTGTCTAAGAGGGTTATGATTGAAGTGAATTTTGATGGTGCCTTTAATTTGAAAAAAGGGATTGGAGGGATTGAGATTGTTGGTAGGGTTGTTGAAGGCAAATTCATAATGGATGCTAGTAAAAAAGTGATTGGCTCTTTTGCACTAATGGTTGAAGCTTTGGTAATGAAAACATCTTTATTATTAGCAAGAGAGATGGGGTTACAGAAGGTGCGTGTGGAAAGGGATTGTGAAGTTTTGTTTAATGCTGTAACTAAAGGTGTTTTTATAGGTTGCGATTGGAAAAGAGTTAGTGTTATTAAAAACGTTCAAAGCTTGAAGAATTCTATAAAGACTTGTTTATTTCTCTCTAGTTAATAGAGATTGTAATAAGGCTACAGATTTCTTTGCAAGTTATGCTAAAAGGAAGATGGATTCAGTTGGTGTGGTGTTCTCACCTTTAGTTATTTTAACTTAGGTGCTAAATCTTAATACAACTATAGTTTTGAATTTTTCTGTTAATAATAAATATGCTAGTTTTTCTAGAGCATGAATTTGTCAATGATTTTGTTGTTTTTTTTTTAATGTTTAAACTTGTTATTATTTGTTTTTTGTTTATTTTTTCTTGGTGAGTTTTTATATGTTAGGTTGTATTTGTAAGTTTTTTTGAGTGTTTTGCTTTGACTTTGGCTATTAGTATGTGTATTCTAATTCTTTTGGTGATTAATAAAATAAATTCTTCTTTTTAACCAAAAATAGCCTTGCACTTCTCATTTCAATTAAAAAAAAAAGTTGGCTTACTTTTTCTTTCTTTTGATGATTCCAAGCTTGCTCATTTTAATCTGTTTTATTACTATTCCTTCCGTTTTAAATTATAGGATATTTTTTAAAAAAATTTATCTCAAAATATAAAACACTTTAGATAGATTAAGATTTTATTAAATGCACTAATTCTAATATTACCCTTTCTCTATGATTAAATTTTATTCTTTTTCTTTTTAATATATTAAATAATAAATATTTTTAAAAATTTATATTTTAATTTTAAAAAGATAAGACTGTTAAGTATAGTTAATAAAATTTATTAATATATAAAATTTTATTTAAAAATATTTTATAATTTAAGATAAAGAAAGTATAAAATAACAAAAACAAAAATTTCATTTTCCGGAAGTTACAACAATAAACATTCGCGTGCGGTCCTCTGATGAGCTGGCATGGGTCCTGCGTTGTCATTGTCTGTTGTGCTAGGATGGCCTGTCCTTGGAATTTTGAAATCATTTTCTACGGAGTAACTAGGTTCTTATTTATTGATTATGTAGTCATTTAAGGGGACAATAGTTGGGTTCGTTTACTGTTGTATTTTTTATCCTAAGAAAAAGGCCGCCGTAGATTTGAGATCATGATACCATATCAAGCATCTGTGTCCTGAACCCGGCATTTTTTTTTTTGGCTTTCATTTTTTAACGAGTCCCGCGTTCACACTGGCAAGCTTGATCCTAAAGAAATGTGAAAACAGCTAATAAAGCGTATAATAATAGAGTAATTGTTAATTTCACTAGACACCACTTCTCATTCTTTCCTTTTGCCTCAACTTCTCCTCGCTCAATGCTGTTTTCTTCCAGAATGTCATTTTTTAACATTCCTTTTGGCACATTCTTTTCTGTAGTCTGATCCTGATCCTGCCATCCTTGATTACCTTGCCGGCGAAAAGAAGTATGCACCCCGTGTAAAATTTCGTCAAATCGACGACTTATGGTTTGTGTTAGACATCAGGATCGGTTTTTGCCGGGATTTTGGTGGGAGACATAGTTCCGGCAACCATGGCCGCTAGTCTGCCTATGAGTCCTCAGTTGGAGCAGATCCACGGTGAAATTCGAGATATTTTCCGCCCTCGCGCATGTATGCCGAAAAATGACTTTTCTTCATCAAATTTATTTCGACTCTTCTGGTGCATTGCTGCTTTCTTTTGATTCGACGGCTTCGTAGTTGACGTTATATTTGATGCGAGATGGGATCCCTTGTGATGAATGCTGCTTAGAAAGGATAAAACGTTTGAGGCTCTATCCCATATTATGTACTTCGCAAGTAAAAGTTATGACACCATGATTTCTAATATCGGGCGACTTTGGCGTTGAAATATCTGGGATGTTCTTCAACTCAGGGAACCTCTCCATTTTCCCCCCTGCTTTTTCCTCCACTTCCCCAATCCTCACCCTTCATTAATTCTATAATTAAAAAAAATTATTTAATAAAATAATATGGATGGTGATAGCCTGATAGGCTGATAGCGGGGGAAGTGGAGGGAAAAGGATAAAAGAGAAATGGAGAGACCCCTGACAATGAGGGTTGCTGATTAGTAGGAAAGTTCATCCTTGTGATTCGAAAGTAACTTTCGACAGTGTCATACTGTGCCATGAAGATTGTCTGTGTTTGCTTTTGGTTTCTAAAGCAGCACGGTTGCCTAAATACCCGTTAATCGTAAAACGGAGGTAGCTTGTTGTGTTTATATGGAAGACAATGTTGATACAGGACGAAATGAATGTGGCTGTGTATTTGCGGTGGAAGTGGCATGGAGTATAGCAGTTGCACGTGGTGGCCTCCCTGCCACTAGATCTACATACTTATGGTGATAGTGGAAACTGTAAATATTGTATAGAAAAGAACCAAAAGTTGGTCCCTTAATTTTTAGCGTGGTATACTTAAACGATTAACTGTTGCAACTTGTGTTGAAAATATTTATAAGCAGGAAACATAACTTTAGGTTTCTTTATTTTGCACGTGTTTACTTATTACCAAAAACACTGAGAAAAGGTACAAACATCAACAGTAAAACGTGAATAAAGTACAAGGATTTAAAATTATATTTTTTTATAAATATTTATTTTTGAAGTATAGTTGGACTCAGCTATAAGCATGAAATCTATTTTCTTATCCGGCATTTGCCCCCATGAGTCAGGATAAAGATGTTATTGAACTTCGTAAAATTTGATTGCGTCCTGCCAACGCCAATCTCAGCAATTGCATGCTCTTATTCTGCAAATTCATAATTTTGAAGAAAGAAAGTACTTTTGTTGGAATAATCAGTTTGTATACTTTATTCACTTTAGGTTGTTAAAAAGTGTTGGGCAGATATATTTAGTTTGTTCAATCCATTATCAATTTTTAATATTTTCACCCTTTGCATGCAGTAGTGGCTTCCAGAAGCTGGATAAGATTAAAGATTCCAAGACAAAGTAAGCAGCTGGAAGAACTCACAGGGAAGATGAGGGATTGCAAAAGGCAAGTCAGGCATCTGCTTAGAATTTAATTTTTGACATCTTTTGGTGACAACTTTTAAGTCTATTTACTTGAGAAGGAAAACTACAAGTTCTTTTGCAAAGTGTCAGTTATTGTAATTAATTTTTTCAGGTTGATAAAAGAATTCGACCGTGAACTTAAAGATGAAGAGGGCAGAAGTTCCCTGGAAGTGAACAAGCAACTCAATGATGAAAAGCAATCCATGGTCAGCACCAAGGGCCCTTGTATTCCCCCCCACATTTGTCAGGTGGTCTAGTTTGCTGCGTAGGAAAAATGCAAGATCTACTGTAAACTGTGAGTTGATCAGCTTATCCTGTTATCAACTTTTGACTATAATTCGCATGACTAACTGAGTATCCAAGGCAAATTATGGCCACATTTAAGGGCTTAAAAACTTCAAAATATTGTTTCTTTTTGGAATTCTGTGGTTCATGCATGGTATTTTAACACAAGATAACAGCATCGTGAATTTTAAGTTGGAAAATACCAAAGCAATAAAATGCGCTTCAAAAGTTTTTTTTTTAAATCTGGTTAATTGTCAGTGACATACTCTTTTTTGTGAGGTTTTAATATATGGAACACTTGTGCAACAAACTACCTATCATTTTCTCATAGATACTTTAAGGAAATTTTTCGACATTTTTACCTAGTGGTTTTTGTGCTTGTTTGGAATATTGAAATCACTTTTTCCAAGATAAACAGTATATCTCATTTAGCTGCAGTGTTCCTTCACAGTGACCAGAACAAGAATGTATATATTGCACATATTAGTTTGAGAACCGTACATTTCATTGCTTGCTTCATCTTCTCATTTAATATGTGGCATGGGCACTTTAATATGTGTCTACACAAGTATAATTATTGTAATTTTGACTCAGTTATTGGTATTCTGTTCTTTCTGATTGTATTCATTTGTTATTTGCTTCTTACATTAGTGTCCTTGTCAAGACCTACTGTTTTTGACTTAACGACAAAATTATCTTCATGTGGTATTGGAAAATGTCTGCGGGTAGTCGAAATGTTTGTTCATACATCTGTTTGCAATAGCCAATAGGCATGCTCTCAAACAGACAAACAATTCTTTATGCTTGCTTACATTTCTTTGCAGATCAGGGAGCTAAACTCTTATGTGGCATTGAGAAAAACGCAAGTTCATTCAGATATTACTATTTCTGTGGCTGGAATTCCCCCCGGGGGAGATGTAGTTGATTCTTGCAAAAGCACTGGGAAAACTTTGATAACTTACACAGATTTGTCCTATGAGCTTGCAACTTTATAGTAACAGTTTGCTGTCAGTGTGAGTAGTACCAAACATGTAGAATTCAATAGATGAAAAAAAATGTTTTCTGGATACTATATAGGAGAATTTATACTCTTATTTGAATGAATGGCAGATACATGAATGCCATTGGTAATAAGAAGCTTGAGCTTTTTGACATGGGAGCAGGAGCCGGTGAATCTATGGGTGAAGAAAATGTTCTAATGGCATCAGTTAAGGTGCATATTTGTGTTACAGTTAACTGGTCATTTTCTATAATATGCTTAGGTGATTTGTCGTCTTTCATTATAATGTGTCCCAAACCAGAATCACAGCAAAGAGTAATAAATAAGACAGCAACAGCAATAAATATGAGAGGAAAATACTTAGGTTTTGATATTAATGAGATGAATAACCGAATCAGATGTACATGGAAACTCTGATTCTGGCCCAAAACCCTATTTGCTCAAAAAGAAGATAAAACACTCTAGCAACACAGATTACAAGCTTCAATGCAAGAGTCTCACTCCCATTGGCATTCGAGAGGCCAATCTCTCTTTACTATTCCACTCTCATTATCTCTCCTTACTATTCCACTCTCATTCTCCTCGGCTTTCCCTTCCTAAACAAAAGACTACTAATACCTTCAGTGGCTGACACATAGCCCATACTACCCAAAAGATCCCAATCATTACAAAAGATCGCAAAATACTATTCCTTACGGCTATGGACTGAAGGGTAAACTTCTGGACTAGTTCAAGTATTTCCACTAGAGTTATTCTCCCCCTTTGACTTCCTCTGATATGTCTTAGGAAAATAACGGGCCCTATCACATTACTCATCAAATCCCTAGAATTTTGTGCTGTTTCCCCCATTCATGCAGGCAAGACTCGAGAGCTCCTGTAATTTTGATGTTTAAGTGTCCTTTTTTTCCCCACCTTTAATTTTAAATCACATTTTAATCCATTATTGCCTTACAGGTTTTTGGAGTTTGCTAATGCATCACATATCGGTTCTAAAAAAATTTACTAAATGACACCAAAAATTCAAAATCAACATGACAAAATTATAAATAATATATTTATTATTGAAATGGAACTTTCAATTGTTTTGTTTTGATTTGTTTTAGAATTTTTTGTGTTTTTTTTTCCAATTGAAGTGTGCGTTTGGTTTTCAGTTTGCCAAAAGTTCATTTGGTGAAAGTTCATTTGGAGAAAGTCAGTTTAATGAAAGTCAGTTGTTGTAACGAAATTTGTGTTTGGATATATTTTTTCAAAAGTCAGTTTGATACATTGAAAGTTGTTTGGTTTGTGATAGTGAAATGTGCTTTTGAATGTACAATTACCAAAAAGGACATTGATTTATAATGATTTATAATTTTTATTATATAAATATAATATATTCAAAATGTTTAAAAAATATAATAAAGATTATAAATAACATAAATTTTGATCTATAATGCTAAAAATTTGATCTCTAATTATTTGTATTTTTTAATTTGTAATTTTAAAAGATGTAATAAAGATTTGTAATTTTTATTATACATTAATGCTAAAAATTAACATGATTAATTACTTAATTTATAATACTAAAAAAATTGATACCTAATTATTATTATTAAAATAATAATTATATTTTTAATGAATTAACTATTTTTTAAATAAAAAATAAGAGATTAAACTTAGGGTAGTATGGTCAAATAACATCCTACTTTTCAAATCCACTTTTCAAAAGCTTTAGACAGTTACGTTTCAGAAATCCACTTTCAGCTACTGTTTGAATGTACTTTCAGGATGTGCTTTTCTGTCAAATATTTTATCCAAACAACTTTCAACTTTTTGAAAGTAAAATTTTGATTTCTGAACGTGAAACGGAGGAAAACCAAACGCACCCTAAGTTTAATTGTGTTTCAAGGGCATGTTGTCACAATTCTAGAATCCCATGTCACGTTCCGGAAACATCTGCAATATGTTTTTGTGATGCTTTGAAATGTTTAAAACGAGTTAGAATTGGGATCAAGGGTAGAGGATTAAGGATTTTTCTGCACGTGTTGTGCTTTTATTTGTGGCAAATAACGTATTTATCTCACCCCATGCTGGTTTGGCTTATATTACAGCAATGTCAAATCCGGAACTCATCAACGCCGGGATGAAGACAATGGATGAAACTGATCAGGCTATTGAAAGATCTAAGCAGGTGTCAGTTGATTCTTTAATTGCCCCATTGCTCTTATACCCTTATTCTGAACTCTTGGGGTCAAATTGTAGGTTGTGCATCAAACAATTGAAGTGGGAACCCAAACTGGTACAACTTTAAAGGCCCAAGTAAGCTGGATTTGCACTAATTGAAAGTGTGTATTGGCTCAGTAGCTTGATATCTCTTTTCTGGTTTTTAAATGGTACAGACTGATCAAATGGGCCGTATTGTTAAATGACCTGGATTCGATTCAGTTCTCAATTAAGAAAGCCTCCCAGCTTGTGAAGGAGATTGGTAGGCAGGTCGGTATATCTATATGACCTATATGCACTATTTACATTGCTTGTCATGGAACCGAAGCTTGCCCTCATGGACAGGTGGCTACGGATAAGTGCATCATGCTTTTTTTGTTTCTCATCGTCTGTGGTGTAATTGCCATAATTGTTGTAAAGGTATGCCCCTTTCAGTAAGGTGATATATCAAAAAATTCCTTGTTCATATTATAGTTTCTATGACAGTAACATTCGATTTGTTAATTTCTACGCACCCGCATGATGGCACTATGCACCAGAGTGCTTTCTCTGTATATGCTTCTTTTCTAACGGGCGGTGTTCATTTGCAGATTGTGAATCCCAACAGCAAAAATATCAGGGATATTCCTGGCTTGGCGCCTCCAGTTCCCTCCAGGAGGCTTTTGTATGCAAGGACTGGTTGATTATTTTTAATATTTTATTGACTAATTCTCATTTAAAGGGTTTTCTCCATCCTAACCCCCTGATTCTGGGCCGTCAGTCAGGTCTCGTCATTCAATTCGAGATTTTATTAAACAGTTCTTGCCGGCTTGTGTGTGCATATCCTCTATCCTCTTTGTCATTTAGGTAAAATGGTCAATCATACAAGAGCCTTTTTCTTTATTTCGAGTGGCTTGTTATTTTGATGTTACATTTCAGGTTTGTTGTAGGGTTTGAAGGAATGTTACCTTCCTCGGAGATTCCACCTTGTACATGCTCCACTCATTGATCTATGGCCATTTTCCCTTTTTTCTTTAAAAAAAAATAATAATTCTGTACGACTGTACTGTACCTGTAATCTCCTGGTTGTTGGATTTTGCGCTTCATTTTTTTAAGGCGGAGCAATGACTTGCTTTAGCTGTAAAGGGATTTTTTTTAATAAAAAAAATCAGTTTAAAATATATATTTGCTTTTAAATTTTTCAATGGAAACACGTCGTGAATAATTTTTTTAATAATAATAATAATATAATAATTGCCGTTGGATATTGCAGCATGCCAAACCCGAACAGGAATAAATTCTAACATTTATAATGATCCACCTCTATTCAGTTAAAGAGAGGCTCATGGTACATCATTAGCATCTGCAATATCAATCATAAAAATCAAATATAATATTCACAACTTAACAACAATACAATTCATTCTTCATCCCATCAAATAAGAATTATGTCATAGGCTTATTTCACCCCTCCCCTCTGATAAATTACCGCTGCTTTAAAACATAAGCCTGCAAAAGATGCGTCTTACTAACGAGACAGCAGTTGCAAGAAAACCGAATTCCGCGTAAATTGGAAACCCGCTCTTGATTTTTTTTTTCTTTTTTAATAAGTTGCATTTGACTCAGCTCCCTCTTTCTTGTACTTTCCACCTTCCGGTTGCATGGTTAATTGGCTGCGTTCGTCCAATATGAGATAACCTTGATGACACCAGGGGTGCTTCTTCATCAACGCTCATATCAGAGGTGAAGCCATTACCTCCATTATTCCCCTCACTGTCATTGATGTTATCTGCTACATCAATATCAGATGATTTCTTCTCAAATTTCCAATCCTGCATGAGTTGAATACAAGAATTTCCATAGGCTGTCAGTGGAAAATATTTTGACGCGAGCAGAATGGGAAAGCAACATTTATACAATGGCCTAGATAGTTTCCTATTCAATTACTATAATCATCACCCTTTTTTTTTGGGGGGGGGGGGGTTGGGAAAAGGTTCATCTACCACATGTTTCTGGCTCCTGCTACTACACGTAATTTTTTTTTTTTTTACTCTGAAGCATAAAATACAAAGGTATCAAGAATGCATCAGGAGAAAGACCTTTATTGTCCGGTCTGGAATAGTGTCCAGAAGCAATTGAGAGGCACGAACATCCTTGACCTTTATGTAGTTGTACATCACAACTCCAGATAGTGCTGCAGGTAAAATATATAGTTATGAGAAGGAAGGGATATTAAAATAAGTATCATGCATCAAACAAAATCTTACCAATAGCATATCCAATTATATTCAACCCAGTTATTGTAGATTCTGGGAATAGAACAGTTGACAGGGCTATTAAAATCCAGTCTTTCAGCACACCAGCCACCCGGATGGTCACAGCACCAGTTCTACCAATTACCAAGAAAATGGAGAAATTCAAGGCCAGAGCACATAGAGCATTTGAAAAGAAGATCCAAAAATTGAACTGGATTTGTGAAACTTCCATCTCAGGCTTCTCCAGTAGGTACCAAGGTACAAACAGAAACACAAAGCTGCATATAATAAAATTCATGAAAGTTAGTAGCTCAAATGGCAAGCAGAATGCGCTGATCCGGATATGCATAAAACAGGTACAATATGACATCATATATAAAGTGCATAATTAGAAGAAACAAAAGTACATTAATAACTGATCCTAAATTGTGTATACTGCAATTAAATTGCCCCAAAATTATAATATGCACGTATATCACATATTGAATGAAAATAGAGAGAAGAGCATATACACATGAATTAAAGTTATACTCAATTCAAAACGACTATAAAGCAATTGAATAATTATTAGTAACAAAAATAACGCAATAGCCTTATTCAGTTTAATGTGAATATTTTATACTAATTTGAATTTTCTGGATAAAAGTAGTTGACAATAGTTTACCTGCACGGAGCTATGTAATACAAGCTTGTAATAGGATTTAAAGTCAGGCCCTTCTTCTGCAGAAGGACTTGCGTTAAGACCAATCTTAAAGCTTCTGCAAAGATGCCAGTGACTTGGTAAACTGTACCAATTACATTAAAATGAATTTCCCCATAGGAGGAAATGACAACTCCAACACTGACCAGCACCATGTTCATGAACACATCACACCTTGCTTTGTCAGTGCCACACAAAACAGCCATGAGGAATGTTGCCACAGGCACTGAAACATGAGGTTTTACAATTATGTAAACGTTGCCAAAGCAGTAGAGATCAGATGAGAATTGAAAAGTTCATTAAAACATACTTAGAGCTTTGAGCATCTGGATAAAGGCAACAGAGATGTGCAAGTAAGCAGTGTTACCAAACCTGTAGCAACCAAAAATATACTGCTTATTTACTTGTTCCTTCTGAACTACTGACATTACTTGAAGTTTATGCATGATAATAATAGAAATTATGTAAACAATAAACTACCTTTATATGATATGCACAAGCTATCATTTCTTAGAAGAATCTAACTTTAAACAATTTCAAATCCAAGTAGGGATGGACTAGGAGTAGAAAGTAACTGTAGAACATATATTATCAAATTAAAATAGCTTGAGGCTAATAATTATATCTAGACACATTTTCCTATGTACTGTGCGGAGTATGTTGTAAGATGCTACTATTCATGACAGTGAAACTAACTATAAATTTTATATCACTATCCATAGCTTGAGGTTAATGATAACTTTTTTACACCAAAATCAAAGTATATACACTGCCCTTTGATGGGATTTCATGAGCACACTTGATGAAGACCTGAGCTGACTCAGGCATCATCAAAGTTCAACCAAGCACGCGCATATTGAGTAGTCTATAGTTCCATGCTTTACAGCTTAGAAGTTACAAATTCACTGATAAGAGTCTCGAGAGACTTCACTGTAACTCTCATTAACAAGTCTGACCAAGTTGAGCCCTCCAATAAAGGAGACGTCAACACTTGTTGATTTAAAATTTACACTAGAATTTGTAAACTAACACAGAGGGACATATCCCATTAGAGAATCTAAGGATCGTCCTAATCCCGTTTTAATGAAATTTATACAAAAACTACATAAAGCATCAGTTTTTCCATATTGCAGTACTCACCAAAGACTTGAAGCAAAGAAGGCACTTATCGGTACCACACTTGTTGCATATCTGCCACCAAAAAAAAAAAGCATTAGTAAGAAGTTGGACATGAGAAAAGAAGGAAAGCTTAGGATGGCCTAAAATCAATGGCAGTAGAAAGCCAAACTCACATTTCAAACGTCATTTTTACAGGACTTACAACCTGCATGTGCAGAACCAAAAACATCACTTGCAGTACTAACTAAAAACTGAGCATGAGAAGTCGTGCAGGTGGCAAAAGTTCGACCAAAGAATATGAATTATGCACAAGGCACATTAAGAATGAGGACTTGCAAGAAGCATGGACATCCTAGTAAATTTAGTATAACAAATTCCGCATAAAGTCTATCTGCTGCCTTGACATAGTAAAAGTTTAGCATGTGCTTATATTGAATATGAGAAGCAACAACAATGCCGGAACAATGAGATGTTGCTATTTATTTCCACCTTATTATTATGTGAAATTAGCAGTAAATGATCATTGACAACCGATAATTAGTAAAAGTCACGAATCATCAGCTTGACAAAGTGAACATGCATAAACAAGTATGTCAAGTTCATGTACCGGCAACAGAAATCATAAATAAAAAGAAACAGACTGAGCAGATCAAAGAATAAATAGGATGACATACCTTGAAGACGCGAACAAGAAAAAACGCCACGACCCCGGAAAAGCCCATATGAATCATAGTGAGCGTTATAGGAAACGGAAAATTAAAATATTTCGGAGAAAGAACCCACTGCCAGGGGAAAAAAGAGGAACAAGAAATTAATGATACCAACCACGCAAACCTGGAAAAAGAAACCCAAATCAGAAGCCAAATAAACGAGGTTGCTACCTTGTTGTACAGTATGACTCCAGATGAAAGTAAGATGTAGATGAACAGGTAGAGATAAGTGAGGAAAAGCGTTTTGTTGATCATTTCCACCTTCGTTTTTCGTTGCACGGAAGGGACTCCAAAAATCTAAATTCTCCCGCTATCTATAACATCTTTTAAGATAATTGAGTAATAGGCCCGAAAGCAGAAGCACGCTGCAGTTGTTTAGACTTTAAATCGCTGGAGGATTCATTCCCTCAAGCAAAGTTAATGTCTTCTGAAACGTCGCGCAAAGAAGGCAAACAAATCTAGAATGAGATAGAGAAAAAAGAAACCCAATGAGGGAAACGAAGAGATTGTACAAGGACAATGCAGATTTGGATCCGATCTAAGGCGCGAAACAGAGTACAAGCAGAGACAAAGAGGGGTAAAAAAAAGCCGAGATCCCTGGCTGCTACGGTCGGAATCTGGAGAGCGAGGAGCTCGCCTGGAAGAGACAGCCGCAGAGACAGGGAGTGTGGCGGGTGGGTGTCCAGCGGAGTTTGTCTCAATCGCAAAAATGGGGTCTGCCTTCGCAATTTGGCAGCCCAATCTCACAAATCAGGACGAAGCGGCTAATGCCAGTGCCAGCCTCTCTGGATTGGACTTTGCAGCATGTGCGTAATTAGTTAGTCACGCGCCACGCTAAACCCTTCCACAAATAATAGGCTAATGGCCAAAAATATTATCGTTTGGTTGATCTAAAATAATTGCATGTATTAGTTGATACCAAAACATTTTAAATTTTAAAATTTCATTTGAAATGTGATTTTTTTCATTATTTCTTGTTCTCAATTTCACGAATTTGAATTGAATCAATTCAATTGATTGGCAGAATTTTTAGAAATCAAATTTATAAAAATTAATTAATTAATTCATCCCCAAATATTTTCTTACCAATATGAGGTTGATTTTAAAAATAAATTCTGGAATATGAAAATAATGTACTTCTTTATGGAATTAAACTTTTACAAAGTTGACCCAAAAAAATTGAGTGATAACCTTACAATTCAAAATTTAGCATTTTAAAAGTAAAGTATAAGTGACATTTCTTTATTTCTTCTTTGAAAAATAACGGAATTGTCATTAAATCAATTGAGATGATTAGATTTCACATAAACATCTTTAATATAGAAATTTAATTCATAATGTCATCTTATTATATCTAATTAGGTGTAATAATTTAATTGTAGTCTCACAATTTTAATTAATATTTTTGAACTCCAGAACTGATATTTGATTGAATATTCAATAATTGTATAATTAAATGATATGTGTCATGAATAAACGTTGAATTTAGCTACTAAAAGAATTTTTTTTATAATTTTTTTCCTTTTAAAAGAATTTTTTATACATGATATAATTTTTTCATTTGGTAAGCATATTGACAAATATTTATTAATTGTTTGTTAAATAATTTTGTCATTTAATATATTTTGCACAGGTCAACATTGGAAATCGAATTGCCTTAAGAATCTATCTTCAATGGAATATTACGTTATAACATTGAGAGAGAGAGAGAGAGAGAGAGAGAGAGAGAGAGAGAGAGAGAGAGAAGGGCAAAGCTGCATTAAAAACGTCGTTCAGTTTGAATTTAACTTGTGAAACAGGCTTTCATATTTTAATTTTACTGTGCATAAGTCAAAAGATTGGGACTTCTGCTTTTTTTATAATTTCATTGAGTTTTGTACGATTTTTTCCATTAATTTCATTGTGAATACTAGTATTTAACAAAATTAATGCAACCAATAATTAAAATTTTCAAGCAGTGAATTACATAGGTTTCTTTCTTTCTTTCTTCTTTTTTTGGGTAAGGTGCATTGGTTTTTTTTTTTCTCTCAGGTAAAGAGTGCATTAGATGGTTAATACAAATTGAAGTTGCAAATGTCGAATAACGTGATTAGCTAACGAGGTCTGAAACTTCGTCATGTCGTGGTAAATCGAAGGCAAAGGAGCCTCAGGATATCTTGAAAAGGAAGTACGCTTGTATGGGTTTTTCTTTTGTTGGGGCTATTTTTTGCTTGAAATCGGGCTTTTAGTAACTTTGTCTTAGCGCCCATGAAAGGCCCTTTGGGGTTGATTTTGGGTGACAAAATAACAGCAAGAGGAGAGATTCATATTGTTCACGCACTTGTTTTTTTTTTCATAGAAAATTTCGCGCAGTTGTTGATGCAAATATTAATGGGAAAAATGTAGAAAATATGGTGGATCCTTAAAGCCCAAGTAAATTTAGTGTGTATGGAAACATTTTCAAACACAAATAACAATTATAACAACGAAGGCCAATTTTTTCTTGGGAAAACCACATCCTATATCCTTATAGTTTTACTTAGTTTTGATTCCAGTCCCTTTATTTTATTTTCTTAAAGCGTAATCCTCATATTTTACACCGTCTGAGGCATTAATCCCTTCACAACTTTGAGGACCACGACATAAGGCTAACGAGTGGCTTTGTGTAGCCGAAATGCAGGGGCCATGTTGAAATTTTTGTCCAGCTAGATTGAAAATGAGACTGACATGCAATAAAGTTATAGTGACATCAATGAACATGAAGTACATTGGAGCATTTTGTAATTCAGTGTTTGAATCCATCAAATTCATTCCATTGCTTAAAGGTTGAACTATTAACGATTAAAAATTCAAAGAAATAATTACTTTAGATGAGAGTTGCTGTAGAAGTTGAAATAATCATTGCGATAAATTTCGTAAATGATAATGATAGCGTGATTCTATCTTGTTTGGCATTGTTTTATATTGCTTACATCATCTTTTCAGGGAGGGAGGGGAAAAATTGAATAATTTCAAGATGCAAGAAAAAATGGAAATCCAAAGGGAGGAAGGAGCACTATACTCTATTTTTGAACAAGAAAAACAGAGTACAAATATGAACCATATACAATGTTTAGAAAAAAAAATTATAGATTTAGATAACAACACAACACAATTGCAAAGAAATCGAACAACTTGTCGTATTTAAAATGAGAACGAAATCAGATATCTAATCTATTTACACTCAATAATATGTTTAGCCTGATATCCTCGATCATGGTTTCACCAGTCCATATATTCACTAAGGTCCAAGGCCAAGAGTTTGTTTCCCACCCCCATTCCTTCATGGAATCCAACGTACACACTAATAATGACAACAATGAAAGGAAGTCCTCATGATTTTTTGAAGGCTCTACTCTCCGCTTATATCATTTTTATCAAGCAAGGCACCCCTGCGCTGTATTAATGAATATTCCATTTGATGTTTTAATTACGTTCAAATTCTTTATTTATTTTAAACTCCTGCGCTGATATATGATGAGTCTTTTGACCCAATGGAATGGGAAGACACCAGACCCAGCTGCCCTGGACTGTCCGTAAAACATTAAATGACACGGCCGCTGTATTTCTACATCGTGTTGGACCCGCCAACGCATGGGTTTTACCCTAACACATCCATTTTTTATGATCTCCAATATCTTATGGTGAGGTTATTTTTTAATATATCTATCATGGATCAAGTTGACTTTATCATCATTATGAAGACGTTTTAATATATAATTCTATTATCCAGCAAGGTGAGGCACAAAACCTTCTATTAGAAAACGATTATATTAAGAATTAATTAATAATGAGACCTCATTCCGTAACAACAGTGGATAAGTACGTATGAAAATAGGAACAAGGAAGTTTTTTTCGCTTTTGTTTGTAATACTTAGAGTCATGTGTAAAGCTCTCCCAAATGAAATATATTTTATTTTATTTTATCCCTTTAATTAGTTGCAAGAATTTCAGTTTCCATCCATTAATTGACCTATCCTCCACAGATTTAGAAGCTAAGTGTGAAGTACTCTTGAAATTGGAATTTAAATTTACACTCAAAATTCTTTTTAAGTTTCTATTATGACAACCCATCCTTTTCCGTCTTTGCAATTTTTTCTCTGAATACTACTCCCTTGGGTTCTATTATATTTATAGAATAAAGAGAGTTTTTTTTTTCAATTTTATTTATAAGTTACGTTAATAAATTTTCATCATAAATTTGATCCTTTTTACGTACCTTCCATTGGATGTTTAAAAAAAAAACTGTTAAAGTATGTGCATGTGTGTGCATGTATATATATTTATATTTAATTAATAAGAGCAAGGTTAAAAATTTATTAAATTTATAGATACAGTTAATGAATTTTAAGATTTTTTAATTATGATAAAATATGTTAAAAGTGATTTATAAATAAGATAAAAAGAATAATAATTTTCTCAAACTCAAAATGCTCAATCCAAAGCTAAAAATATCATATATATATATATATATATAAGATGGATGGAGAAATGTTTACTGGGGTATTAAATCGAACTTTCTTGAACTTTGGAGTCAAACAATATGTCAAATTGGTTGGGAAAATTCGATACTAGGGAGGCTTAACACTGGCAATGAACCGAAGGAAGTGGGCAAAAAGTCAATGACATGGCGCCCTTCCTTTGGAATTGTCCCGTCCAACACGCTTTATTCTTTCTTCGTTCGTTTATACGATCAAACCCTCCATGGAGAAGGAACGAGCATTTCCCCCCTCGCATTAAATAATTAGAAAATGTTTCGCGCCTATTTTATAGTCGTTAGCACTACATTCCGTAGATTATACTGCTTCAACAGAAGCATGTGCGTGCTAACCATCGTGAACAAAGAAAGTTCACTATTTTAGACTATTGTATATTGGTATTTTTAAATAAGTTTGAGTTTTTAAATCTTATGAATTTTGCATAATTTAAAAGATCATGTTTAATATAATTATGTACATAGTTTCCACGAAATTTCCGTGCAATTTCTATATAAAAGTCTTGTGTAATTTCGATATATATAGGTGCGCTAGAACAATGTAAACAAAGGATTAAAAAAGTTGATATGACATTAAAAACAACAGCATCAAATATGGAAGAATCAAAAGTATCGGCTAACGTCTGCTCGGAAAATTAGGAAGACGGGACAAAGTATCTGCTAGCTTTGCCGATGAAACGGGCTATATATCATCATAGTTACTTGCACTACGAACTCACAACCAGGTGAAAAACTGTTACCCACATCAGTAGAATCACTCAACAATTTAAGCATTTTAAGTTATAAAAAGAAGTCACATTAGAAGGGAAATAGAACAGAGAATGCTGATGTGATTGGAAACAAGAGTGCATGGACGATCAGATCTGGCTGGTGATTTGTTACGGGGGGACACAAAGCATCAGTGCATGCATCAGAATAATAAACAATCATATAGATGTGTGTATTTATTGGATCACTGGGCATAGAGTAAAAGCACGGTGTCCTGGAGCAATAATATGTGGGGCCTTTGAAACACAAGTGCTTGAGAGGATGAAGAGTGAGACGGAAGTGGTGGGAGTGAAGATGGTAGGTTCAATCACTTACGTTTAATTACGCACTCGAGCATGGACCGTACCGCCTCAACTTTCCTTGAACAAGTAACTTGAGTGGGACCACATGGGTTCTATGCAGTGGCGGAACTACATACACTTGAGAGAAGGCATATACGCCCTCTCCACTTAAAGGAAATTACAAATAAAAAATAAAT